CTTCGGGTTGATCTGGAAAGATCACTGAGCCAATGGATGGCTTAGTGAAGTGACCACCTGCTAGATCTCTTTCACCCTATCTGCTTTCATTTCATGTGCAATTCTGGTAAATTGCTTTTTAAAGTCCAGTGTGAAAACCTTAGCCTTTCATTTAGAGTGTCTAAGAAAATTAACTTATAATGTAATTACTGATATTTTTTAGTTTTGAGTTTGATGGCTACTATTTAGTCATTTGTCTCATCTGTACTTATTCTTCTGTCCTTCAGTTCTCATCTTCTATTGGGTTGATCAAGTTTTATGTTTCAAGGGAATTTTTTAATTAAAAAAATTTTTTTTCCATTTTTAAATTTTTTGTAGGGGTGGAATTTCACTATGTTGCCCAGGCTGGTCTCAAACTCCTGGTCTCAAGTGATCCTCCCACCTTGGCCTCTCAAGGTGCTGGAATTACAGATGAGAGCCGGTGCACCCAGCCGTAATTTTTGTTGTTGTTGTTCAGATGGAGTCTCGCTCCCAGGCTAGAGTGCAGTGGCACAATCTTGGCTCACTGCAACCTCTGCCTCCCAGGTTCAAGTGATTCTCCTGCCTCAGCCTCCCAAGTAGCTGAGATTACAGGTGCCCACCACCACACCTGGCTAGTTTTTGTATTTTTAGTAGAGATGGGGTTTCACTATCTTGGCCAGGCTGGTCTTGAACTCCTGACCTCAAGTGATCTGCCCCCCTCAGGCTCCCAAAGTGTTGGGATTATAGGCATGAGCCACTGTGCCCGCCGGCCCTAATTTTTAAAAAGCTTTACGCATTCCATTATACCTCTTCTTTTGCTTTTTGGCTGTAACACTTTGCATTTTTTAGATGGCCACGCTAGAGAACGCGATATGCCCTGAGCTTATCAGTTTCTCCTGCTCTTCCTCATGACAAATCACAGTAATTTTAAGAACCTTACAGCTCACATCCTCTGTGTGACTGTCATATATTTGACTTCTACGTGCTATACACCCCACAATATACCAATGTTATTTATGCTTTAAGCATTCAATGGTCTTGTAAAGAACTCACGCAAAGAAAAAAATAGTGTATTTACCCACATATTTACTATCTCCAGTGTTCTTCCTTCCTCCCTGGAGGCCTGAATTTCCCTTTTTTTTTTAGCACTTTTTTGGTAGTACTTTTCTCCTACAATGTACTCTGTCAGCATTCCATGAAGTTGTTTTTATTCCAACTTCTTTTTTTTTTTTTTGAGACAGAGTTTCACTCTTGCAGCCCAGAGTGGAGTGCAGTGGCATGATCTCAGCTCACTGCAACCGCTGCCTCCCAGATTCAAGAGATTCTCTTGTCTCAGCCTCCCGAGTAGCTGGGGTTACAGGCACTCACCACAACGCCCAGCTAATTTTTGTATTTTTAGTAGAGACAGGGTTTTGCCATGTTGGCCAGGCTGGTCTTGAACTCCTGACCTTAAGTGATTCACCTGCCTTGGCCCTCCAAAGTGCTGGGATTACAGGCGTGAGCCACCGCGCCTGACCCCAACTTCGCTGAATATTTTCTGTGCATGTAGAATGTTAGTTCTTCTTTCACCATTTTATGGCATCACTCCACCGTTCCTGATGGAAAGTCAGCTGTCATTTTTGTCGTTCATCTACACATCCGGTGGTTTTCTTTTCCTGGCTACTACTTTTTGGTGACTGTATCTTTAATTTTCAGCATTTGACTACGATGCATCTAGGTGTGGCCTTCTTTATATTCATCCTGCTTTTAAGAGGAGGGAGTGGTGATTCCATGAAGCCAGATGCAGATCAAGAGAGAAATGGTACATTTGACATGCTGTACTCTGTTCCCTGGGGAGAAAGGGCACACCATGCACAGCCACTCAGTGGAAGCAAACGCCAGTTATGGGGCACAGTGAGCAGGGGAATATGGGTAAGACCCCTTATGGTGGTTTCCCAGGAAGGAAAAGGTGAGGCAGGGTCAGCAGAGTAAGACTGACTGGAATAATCTCAGCAGGCGCTGGGCCACAGTGGCTGTTGCAGGTTGTCTGGTACTGCCCGGGGGTGTCAGGGTGCTGGCCTGGAGCTTGAGCCCAAGAGGGAGGTAGTTATGTACATAAACTTGATTGTCTACTCTGGAGGACTGACTGGCCTCTAGCCAGGACCACCTCAAAGCTAGAGCCTCAAAACTGGATCAAGACCGCAATTTTAAAAACCAACAGAATTTTGGCCAATATTTCTCCGTATCTTTTTTTCTGCCACCATTTTCTCTCCCATCCTGGGATTCTAGTTGTGTAGTTATTACACTGTCTCACAGTTTATTGAGTCTCTGCTCATTTATTTATTTTATAAACTTTTCTATTTCATTTAGATAATTTCTTTAACCTGTCTTCAAGTTCGCTGACTTTTCTTCTGCAAATGGGGAAATGGGAAGATGCTGATCAAACAGTGCGAACTCTGTTTAAAGATAAGTTCCGGGGAGCCGGGCACAGTGGCTCACGCCTGTAACCCCAGCACTTTGGGAGGCCAAGGTGGGCCGATTATCTGAGGTCAGGAGTTAGAGACCAGGCTGACCAACATGGTGAAACTCTCTCTACTAAAAACACAAAAGTTAGCCAAGTGCAGTGGCAGGTGCCTGTAATCCCAGCTACTTGGGAGGCTGAGGCAGGAGAGTTGTTTGAACCCAGAAGGCAGAGGTTGCAGTATGGCCAGATCGAAACACTGCACTTAAGCCTGGGAAACAGAGTGAGACTGTCTCAAAAAAAAAAAAAAAAAAAAGTTCTGCAGCACGGGTGAGGATGGGTGTGCTAATTCAGTGGTGATAATCACACAAAGCACATGTATAACAAACCATCACAATATATACCTTGAATATACACAATCTTTGTCAATTGAATTAAAAAATAATAGACAAATTCAGGACATTTCAAAAGGCAATTAAAAAGCATCCACTTAAGTCTAAGAAAAATGTTTATAATCATTTTAACTTTCTTATTGAGTTCAACTCCTTGGTTTTCTATGGGTTTGTTTTTTTTCTTTGTTTCTTTGAGACAGGGTCTCACTCTGTTGCCCAGGCTCAAGTGCAATTGCATTATCACAGCTCACTGCAGCCTCAACCTCCCAGGCTCAAATGATCTTCCCACTTCAGCCTCCTGAGTAGCTGGGACTAAAGGCACACACCATCACGCCTGGCTGATTTTTTGTATTTTTTGTAGCGATGCGGTTTCACCATGTTGCCCAGGCTGGTCTTGAACTCCTGGGGTCAAGCAGTCCATCCACCTTGGCTTCTCAAAGTGCTGGGGTTACAGGTGTGCGCTACTGTACCCATCCTGATTTTTTTTATTGATTCCATGTCATATATTCTCACTTCCTTTCATGCCTACTGATGTGATTATATACTAGACATTCTCAATAATATACTATAGAGACTCTGGATTCAGTTTTTTTTTCCCCTTAAAAACTGTTCTATAGAGTTCAGTTACTAGTGATCACCTTGAATCTGTGAAGCCTTAATTTTAGGCTGTATATGGGTAGGCCTGTTTTAGTTTTGCCCTCAGTCCTAGACCCTAGATTTGAGCTCTGTGATGTGGTCCTAATCCTAAGGCCTACACCCTGGGTTTTTAATAGAAAGCCTGAAATAGTTACCACATCCCTCTAATTTGATGGAACATGAATTATAAACTTCTCCCCAGCACCAGACATATTCTGAAATCTCCGCTCAGCTTTTCCAGCCTTCCAAGTGTTGCTTTCCATTTGGAATCTTGCCCTGTCTATGTACAACACAGGAACCCGCCAAGAACTTAACGAGACTATACAAGGCAAAGTTGGGGGCTTCTGTGGTTTCCTCCTTTCTGGATGTGCCCCCACACCAGTCTGCAGCTGCCAAGAATGTCCTGAGTTGACTTGGCGCCTGGGCCCAGTCAGACTGCCACCTTTTGTTTTACCCCTGTGAGCCACATGAGGAACACCAACTTAGACATGGATCTTACCCAATGTGCTTCCCTTCTTCTGAAGGCTACTCCCCTTCCTCTCTTGCCTGTATCTCAGCAGACTGCAGTGCATTTCCATCATTTCAATAGTGTGTGTAATGATCAGGAGTAGGCTGGTCTGATACAAGCTGCTCTGCCCTTACTGGAAGCCAGACTGTAATCAGATGTTTAAGTGTTAAAATAAACTCCAACTTCCTTTTCTTTATCTGGGTGATGGATATGCAAGAGCTCTTACTTTGTGAAAATCTATCAAGGTGTAAGTTTATGTACTTTTCAATTTGTGCTATAGATCTCAACAAAAAGTTTATTACAAGAAAAAACCCATTGCGTGCCAGCACCCAGTTTAAACCCCCTCTGGGGCCTTCCTATGCCCCCAAGATCAAACCCAGTCCCCCTCTCCTGGCTGTGTGGTTTCCATGCAGCTCCTTCCATGAGATACACACTAGCTCAACCACCTCCCTCTCTGCCCACCCCTCGCCCAAAGGAATAGCCCCTACTTAGTCTTCTGGCTTCAATCTAAGCATCAGCTCCTTGTAGCAGCTTTTCCTGACCACAAAGTCCCTGCTCCTGAACCTCAGGGCCCCTCTCTTGTGCCCTCACAGGCACCAGGTGCCCCTCCCTCCCCTCTCCATTGTCACACAGAGTCCATATCCTCAATGCATATCCACTCCGGAGGAGGAGCTCAGGGAACCCGCAAAACGAAAAGTCCATGCCACCCTCCTAAGGAACTCCGTGGCAAGGCTAGGCCCAGGGGTCTCATGACACCATTCTTGCCTTGAGGTTCCCCCTCTCACTTCACCTGTTGTGTCTGCCTGGGGCAGCTCCCAGAGGTGGAGGACCGAGAGGAGACCTAGATGCCATCCTCAGAATCCAAAGAACTGGATGCAACCCAAAGCCAGCCCCAGCAGCAGACAAGACTTAGGTGAAGCCCTCCCTCTTCTGTCCCGGTTTCCAGCTTCTGCTAGATAAAGGGCTTGGACTTTGCACTCTATCAGTTTGCCCTTCTGAACACAAAAACTGAATGACTGCGCAGTTTTAAAGAAGACAGGAAAAGTTTATTGTGTTGAGCAGACCTTATTTTCATTACAGTACCAGGAAGTTCTTTCTCAATTCCCCTCAGATGCAGAGATTCCGCAAACATTTAAAACCCCAATGCTGTTACCAAGCAAGGAGCAGCACCTGAACACATTGTTGCATTTAATGGAGCAGAATTACCGTAAAATCAGATGTTCATGAAGAAGATTTGCAAAGTAGTTTCCTGAAAAATTCTAAGATTTTCCCACCTTTATCTTGTTATTACCATGAATGACTGGTTGGTTGGAAAACATGGTACTTGATGATAATCTTCGCTGTCGAGCTTAGGTTAATGTATTCTGCTTTTTGTTGTTGCTGTTAAAAGGCGCTCTGCCCATTTCTCTGGAAATCTCAATGGTGACAAGTAAGGCAAGGCATACAGTACACTCCTGTCCCACTGCAACCTTCCATGGCTGGCTCTGCGCTGCTGGGTACCTGGGAAAGACTCAGGAGAGGACCTCTTGCTTGCAATTCTTGACCACGGAGCTTAACCTTTATGTGCTCCTTCTAGGGAGCAGCATGTGGCCGCCTGCCACAGACTTTGCAGTTTGTTTTTAAAAATTGTCACTGCTCAGTGACAGCCTGAGGGAATGGGACCCTCTACTCAATTCATTGACTCCCTGCCACTACTGCCTTCCAGAAGTGTCATTTCTGTATACAGAGAAATGAAAGACCAAATAATGAATGAGAAATCTGTATCCTCCAGGTATTTCAGGTATACACCCTGAAATATCAATACCACTAAAGTTCATGATGTCTCATTTGCTTTAATTCAATCAGGTAATTACCAAAATCCTGATTAAGATCTCTCCCTTACTACCTCAAGACAAAGAAAACATGAATTTAGAAGTTGTCTTATCAGACTAGACACACGACAAGCTCTATCTGATTAACTCCAATCATCCCACAAAAATGCGCCCATGAAATCAAGTGCTTAAAAAACTAATTATTAAAATTACACAACAAATAGGCCAGGCGAGGTGGCTCACGCCTGTAATTCTAGCCAGCACTTTGGGAGGCCAGGGTGGGTGGATCGCCTGACATCAGGAGTTCGAGACTAGCCTGACCAACATGGTGAAACCCCGTTCCTACTAAAAATGCAAAAAGTAGGCCAGGCATGGTGGCTCACTCCTGTAATCCTAGCACTTTAGGAAGCCAAGAAGGGCAGATCACTTGAGGTCAGGAGTTGGAGATCACCCTGGCCAACATGGTGAAACCCTGTCTCTACTAAAAATACAAATTAGCCAGGCATAATGGCAGGTGCATGTAATCCCAGCTACTCAGGAGGCTGAAGCAGGAGAATTGCCTGAACCCGGGAGGTGGAGGTTGCAGTGAGCTGAGATAGCACCATTGTACTCCAGCCTGGGCAACAAGAGCAAAACTCTGAGAAAAAAAAAAAAAAATACACAATAGAATGCATATATTTAGATGACTCTGCACATAATATACCTCCATTTTTATTACCAAGAGAAAGCTTCCATCAGGTGGCTTTACAATACATTTCCATTCCCATGAAATGTAATACCACAGTACAAACATTATATTCAGAGAAATAGACTACAATTCCCTTGTAACTCTTTTTCTTTTTTCCTGTAACTCTTGAGTTATTTATCTTAATCATTCAGGCCAAACTAGGTATGGCAATTTTAGAAAAGGACTGCTTTCAAGTATATCTAAATGTAATTCCAGAGGGTGGGAGAGAAGGAATCATTTTACACTTGTCATTATCAGGGTTGTGTCTGATTGTCCAAGTCATGGGGTCAGTAGAGTAGGTTTCCTGGCTAAAGGAAACTCTGCGAGTTCCTTCCTCCCTGAGACCATTATGTGGTCTCTTCCACATAATGATCCCCTATCCCTTGCTCTTGGCCCTCTACTCAGGGACTTGGTCCCCACGATCAGAAGAAAGCTCATTCAGGCAGACCTCGACAAGGTTCAGAACACAAGGGTTTGGCTGGACATGGCTCAAGCCAGTAATCCCACCATTTTGGGAGGCTAAGGCAGGCAGATCACCTGAGTTCAAGACCAGCCTGGCCAACCAACATGGTAAAACCCCGTTTCTACTAAAAATACAAAAATTAGCCGAGTGTGGTGGCAGGCGCCTGTAATCCCAGCTACTTGGGAGAGTGAGACGGGAGAATCGCTTGAACCTGGGATGCAGAGGTTGCAGTGAATCGAGGTTGCAGTGAATCGAGATTGCGCCACTGCACTCCAGCCTGAGCAACAGAATGAGACTCAAAAAAATAAATAAATAAATAAAAAACACGGGGGCTTAAGGAGAGCAGAGCAAATTAAGCTCCATTTCTGGAAACTGTTTCTTAACATACATCATGCATGCAATCTTTGCCCTTCCAAGAGGCATTCACCCAAGTAAATAGGCAAGCATCTATGTGTTCAATCTGAAATGCAACATTGGTAGATGCACAACTTTATCCCCCTTAGAGAAACTAACATGTCATCCATCACTCTCCATGTGGTAAACATTCAGTAAACTTCTAAAACCAAACACAGTACCCTGGCATATCCCACAGCCCCAGCAGCAGGCTGTGACAGGCTTTGATCTCAATCGAATGCCACTGTTCACAGAACATAAAAACAGGCTGACGGTGCTGCATGTCACTCTGACATTCACATTATTTCATATTACTCTGTCTCTTATTCAGAAACAAAAGTTTCCACTATGGCATGATTAAGAGAAAAAACAATTCATTATATATAAATGATGGCTAAGAACAACATATTGTGAACAGTTTACAGAGTTTGAACATTCAGCAGAATCAATTCTTACTTCTTGATTTTTTTCTTGGAAAAAAATCTCTTACCTATCTTTTCCATCACAGTATGCCTTCTTAGAGACAATATTTTAGTGGTAACATCATTTTCTGGGGCATTTGGTTAATTTTGAAAGATGAATATGCCACAGGAACTAAAAAAAGAAACTGACAGGAGGAGGAGGGTCCTAGACCATTTTGCAAGCAAGCTGGGTCTTGCATTATTCAGAGTCAATGATTAAGCGGACTTATGTCAGGGTGGTGACAGATAAGAGGCAATGAGTGACACCAGGACATGTATACCACACAGAGAACATGGTCTACTCTGCATCTTCCTTGCGTAGAATAAACGTAAGAGGCTTGGTAGAAAGACATGGGGAAAGGTTCCATGGGGCCAGCATTTGGAAAGCATATATCCCAGTAAAGATTTGAGTATCCCCGTTCAACCTTCTGGAAAAGAAACTTAGAAAAGGCACACCTCTGCCCACAGTTGTGGACAGCAGCCATCACTCTCTGAAGTTTTCATTCAGTGTGAAGATGCAGCTTGAACACAAGTTTTTTAATCTCACTGATCCCATCTCTCCAGCTGCTCTGACCAGAGGGGCAGAGTGGGGGAAGTCATAATCAGGTACCTTTTCAGTCTCTTACCCTCTTTTGAGCTCTCCTCTCCTTAAATTTTTTTTTTCATTGTACCATTAATCCTCTCCTCAATTTTTAACGGAATTATAAAGGCAAAGTCAAAAGGTCCTTCGGGATGAATGAGATGCTTCCTAGACTAACTTTTGCATTGAAAATGGAAAAAATAAATTACGTGATATTTGTGATAAGACTGATTTCTTTAAAAGTCTGCACATCAATATATTACCTGGCTTAGAAGGGTGAGGATATGGCTATCCATCTGCACCCTCTCCTCATATTTTTTAAAAACAAGCAAAATATGTAAGCAAAGGCCAGTGTGCATTGGAAGACAGAGCATGCCTATCTGTGCCAGTGCTGCTGTGCCCTGCAGCCTGGCAGATGGAGTCGCATGCCAGCGCCTCAGGCCTACTCAGGCCAATAACACATCCAAGACTCTACAGCCTGTTCATCAGCACAGGCTGCCCTGAGGGGCACTAATGACTGTGGAAGTGAAGACACACAAAGCAGGGACTAAAGGCTAATGGGGCTTCATGATGCAACACGAAGAAAGAACTGCTGTGGGAACCAAAGGTAACCTACGGTGCTCAGATACAGGAAAATAGGACAGGAAGCCACGAGTTTCATGGGCAGAATTGTTCCTGGTCTTAGATCTAAGGGCATTTGCAGAGAAAAGTCCAAGGCAACTTCCCCTGGGTCTGAGAGAAAATCCTCCACAGGAGAGGACAGACAATGTGGTGCTCTTCTTGAGGGGGCCTGAACCCTACGGACTGGATATGAAAGGGGCTTAGGATTGCTGTATCCAGTAAGGAAACTGGTAACAGACTTTTTTAGAAAGTGGAAAGAAAAAGCAAAGACATTCACAAATACAAAAATTGTTTATAAAACAATTACCTAGAAAGTTCACTGCAGTTGGTTGGGGAATAAGAGTAATGTTTTCATTTCAAATAAGCCATGATGCTACTAATGGTTTATAAAAGGGAATGGCCAGTTCTTGGTCTTCCTTCCCTTCCCATAACCCCCAGAACCTTCCTACTCCTGATATTTTCCCTACCCTCACTGCAACCTACCCCCATCATGGCCCCAAATTAATTTGCCCAGCCACTGCACCATACCAGCCTTGACACACCATGTTGGTTGTATTTCACTTCATGCACCTAATGCTTGGGAAGAGAAGGTGGGGAGGGCACAAGTAGCACGTTGGCTTAAACCTGGAGGTGTGTGGGCCTTGAACAGAGCTTCTCCCAGCCAAACCCAGGACAGGGTGGGCATCTGCAGTACAGTGCATGCTGCAGGTAAACTGAGGTAAGGAAAAACATGGCGGCTCCAGCTGGCCTGCTTTCCGACACAGTGCAGCATGTGTGTACCCTTGGGTGTAGGCACCAAAAGACATTTTCTTCCGGTTGCTGCTGCCATTCCACCCTCTGGCTAGAAGAATGCTCTTTACAGAGTACAAAAGAACAGCCACTTGGTCTTCCTCTGAGGTACAAATCCAATAGAGCCTTAATCCCAAAGATCCAGAGCCCACTGGAGTGCAGAAGTCAGAATCAAATGCTCAGAATCAAAAGGTATGGCACTCCTGCCCAGCCAGTTTATCAGCAGTTGTATAGACAGATCAGAAAAAACTAGCATTTAGTATAAAAACTGTTTTTCAAATGGGGTGATTTCCTATCTTTCTCCAGAGATCATAATTCTTCACGTTTCTGAGGACCTAAGGAAAAGAACCACAGAAAAGAAAACAGATGATCTTCAAATTATAAACACCACCAAGGGCATTTTTCATCACTGTAACCTATTTTTTTGTACCTCCACCTCCATCGTATTTCACTTATTAAATCTTTTGGAGCTTGGTTGGGTGTTTTTGTACTCCATTTTAAAAGCGAAAACTAAATTAAGGATTTTTTAAAAACGGAAACTATCCGTAAATCCCACTCCAGAGGAATTGCTTTCACAAATACAATATTTACTTTCAGTACATATGCATGTATTTTTTAGTCAGGATTTTAATTTTATTATTTAATAGCATATGGACATTTTCTATGTATCATTATAGCTCATTCTTGGATGTTTAAACTGTTTTTAATGCTTTTGGCTTATAAGTAATGGTAAAATAAATTTCTTCATGTATATAACTTTTTTTTTTCTGTTGAATTATTTCTTGAAGGTATATTTTCAAGAGAGGAATTACTGAGGGTATAAACACCTTAAAGGCTCCTACTAGCAGATATACTGCTTTTTACCAAAGGCCATACACAAAGCTTCATCAAGGTTCACAACAGTTTCATCACCATCTCCCAAACAAATGGCATTATCACTATGTCTATTTTTTTCCACATAGCAGATATTAATAATAGACTGCTTTAATTTGATTACTGTTTCCTCAAATTTATTTATTATTTGTGTTTCCTCTTACTTGAACGCATGTCCACATTCTTTGCCCATTTATCTATGGAAATTCTCAAGGTTTAACTGATGAATCTGAATGAATGATTTTTATGGTTACTATATAGCCTTCCAGTTCTGATATTTAATGTCATGGTACGATCTGAGGGATGTATAGGCAAACCACTCAAGATCCATGTTCTGCAACTGCTTTTTTTGGTTGATTTTGAGACAGGGTCTTGCTCTGTCACAGAGTCTCTCTCTGTTACCTAGGCTGGAGTGCAGGGGCTCACTGCAACCTTGACCTCCCAGGTTCAAGCAATCCTCCCACCTTAGCTTCCTGAGAGGCTACGATTACAGGTAGCAGCCACTACACCCGGCTACTTTTTTAGAATTAGTCTAAAGCAGAATAAATCTTAAAAATCCAGAGGCCATGTATATACCAAAACATTACTATGTACTCCATAAATATGTACAATTATTATGGACAATTTAAAAGTAAATAAATTTAAATTTTTTCTTAAATCTAGAACTCAGCTTATTAATATTTTTAAGTCACTTTAGTATTCTAATGATTTTTTTTCAGTAGTTATCATTCAAGACACACACAATGGGGAAAACATTAAAGACTAAATTCCTATTCTTACACTAAACTAAATTCAAGCATTCCATCCCAACATGCTTGTTTTAAAGAACACATTTTCAGCCAGGTGCAGTGGCTCATGTTTGTAATCCCAGCACTTTGGGAGGCTGAGGCGGGTGGCTCACTTGAGGTCAGGAGTTCAAGACGAGCCTGGGCAACATGGTGAAATCTCATCCCCACTAAAATTACAAAAAATTAAAAATAAGTAAATAAATAAAAAATTAGCTGGGTGTGATGGTACATGCCTGTAATTCCAGCTACTTGGGAGGCTGAGGTATGAGAATCATGTGAACCTGGGAGGCAGAGGTTGCAGTAAGCCAAGATCATGCCACTGTACTCCAGCCTGGGCAACAAAGTAAGATTCTGTCCTTAAAAAAAAAAAAGAGGCCAGGCATGGTGGCTCACAAGGTCAGAAGTTCAAGACCAGCCTGACGAAAATTGTGAAACCCTGTCTCTACTAAAAATACAAAAATTAGCTGGGCGCAGTGGCAGGTACCTGCAATCTCAGTTACTCGGGAGGCTAAGGCAGGAAAATTGCTTGAACCTGGTGTAGGTTGCAGTGAGCCTAGATCATGCCACTGCACTCTAGCCTAGGTTACAGAGGGAGACTCCATCTCAAAAAAAAAAAGAATTTCAAATACATACTTGTCTTGATCTAAATTTATTCATTCACTAGTATACTGATAGATTTAATGAAAAAAACAAAGAATCAGACAAGAAATCTGCAAAAGGTTCGGTTTATGTATCACAAAACTCATAAAACTAAATAACAGTCACAATTAAAATGCTCTTTATCCCTCTCACCAGAAAAAGGGGAAAAAAAGATAGCAATTGCATTAATAAATACTGTTTAGAAGACCAACATAAGGCCAGGCACGGTGGCTCATGCCTGTAATCCCAGCATTTGAGGAGGCCAAAGCGGGCGGATCATAAGGTCAGGAGTTCGAGACCAGCCTGGCCAACATGGCAAAACCTCGTTTCTACTAAAAATACAAAAATTAGCTGGGCGCAGTGGCAGGCACCTGTAATCCCAGCTACTCGAAAGGCTGAGCAGGAGAATCACTTGAACCCGGGAGGCAGAGACTGCAGTGAGCCGAGATGGCGCCATTGCACTCCAGCCTGGGCAACAGAGCAAGACTCCATATCAAAAAATAAAAATAAAAAAGACCAACATAAAAAGAAAATGGAAAACATATACTGGTGGATGTCAGAATGGAAGGATTAATGGGAGATTTTTCTCTTCCTATTATTCATTATTCTATTGTCTTTACAACAAGCAGAAATCATAAATGGAAAGAAGTACTGAACTTTCCATTTGAAAAGTCCTTACCTTCCAATTGAAGGTAAGTAAAAGCCAATGATTTGTGCTTACCTTCTCGGCTTGGTTCTTTTGTCTTCTCTTTATACAGCGTTCCTGTTTCTTTCTCCTTTTGAAAGCGGATCTGTAGCTGTTTGATCTCTTGATCGTAGTCCTGCCACTCTGGGACAATTCGCACAGCTGCTTCCAGTTTAGGCTCTTTGGTCATTGGATTATTACACTGTGAAAGTCAAAAGAACACACTTCAACTGAGTTGAAGAAAGGCTACATAATAGAGAATTCAAAGGTTCTTGGGTTACAAGTCCTAACTGGACAGAAAAAACAACAGTTAGGAACCAAATGTTATACTACCAGAAGCAATATGGTAGTGGGCTATGTAAAGCTGTATTTACACATCTACAAAGAACCTATGAGTGGCTACTGGAAGGCAGGAAAAGTAAAAGCCCAAAATTACAGGGCACAGAGATAAAGTGGAAGCCAAGGAATGACTCAGCAGATTATAAGTTGTGAAAACAGTCCATTAAATGCTAGGGGATTTGGTTTCCTAATGTAAGTGGGGGGAAAAAAAACCACTGAAATATTCTATAAGTCCACAGTTTAGGGACAAGCTGCTTCAGAAAACCCCCTTAACCCGGCATAAGCTGACCCCCTCTTCCCCACTTTGAGTGCCCTGTAGCTGCATTTCTGAACTTCTATCTAGGCACCACATCAAGGCTGCCAGACGTGTTAAAATTGAGTAAAGCCTGATTACAGCCATTTGGGCAGCTTGGGGGAGGACAGGGAAAACAAATGTTTATATCCGTACTTGTAAATTCCTGTTTTATACATACTGTAAAATCTTGTCTTTTAAAACTGCCACCACAAAGTCAGAGGAAGTTAAACTATCTCTGTGCCTGTTACAAGCTAATGGATTATCTGTGTCCTAAAACTTCCTTATGCCCCTCTCAGCCCATATAAACCCCTCGTTTTGTAAGCACCGGACTGTCTCCTCTGATTGTTACAGAGCAGCCTGGCAGGTTAATGAAATTTGCTTGCCTAACTTTGGATCTACTCCCCTTTCTCTCGACTAACCTTACATTTTGGTGCCAAAATCTGGGAAAGGGTAGGCTCTGGCCAGGCGTCCTTAAGGTACTCTCTTTCTCTCTCCCTCTCCTATCGCCTCTCTCTCGACCAACCCTCCTCCTTCCCAAACCTGCCAAAGACCCGGAGGATCTCCCAGATTCTCCCATTGCTGGCGACCTCATCCACCATCAGAGCCTCAGCTGGGATAAGAGACACTCTTGCCGTTTACCCAGAACCCTTGACCATCTCTGCCTTTTCAAAAGACCCAGTGCTGGGCCTAGGGATTCCTCCAGTCTCCAGGCCTCCAGTTCCTCCATCTCAGGGATGCCTGACTCGGTGGCTACCTCCTCTATTCCAGACAGGACCTGTGGGACAGGGGACGCCCTCTCCTGCTGCCCTTGTCACAACAAGGGGTTTCCTCCCAAGGGAACTGGATAGTCAAAGATCAAAATCTCATCCTCCCCAAGAATAAACCAAAGAAAATCTAACATCTCTTCACCAATCCTTCCATATTGGTGTACACTCCCTGTACCTTCTTCTCCTTTGCCTTTATTTCTCTTCCCCCCACCTATTTACCTGCTAAAAGACATAACCTCAAACTGTCATTTATATTCTGCCACTTCCTCCCAAGGGGCTCTCCTCTCTCCTCCTATCCCTACACATTAGCTAAGAGGAACACTCCCAAGGAAGACTAGCAAATAGACTTTACCCATATGCCTCCTGTTAAAAAGACTAAGTTTCTTCTTACTCTTATAGACACCTTCTCCGGGTGGGTAGAAGTGTTTCCCACCTCCTCAGAAACAGCTGCGGCAGTCTCCTAAATTCTTTTAATAGAAATCATCCCTAGATTTGGTCTCCCGCATTCCATACAATCAGACATCAGCCCTTGCTTCATCTCCCAAATCACCCAACAAGTCTCTTAGTTCCTTGGCGTACAGTGGCACCTCCCTATCCCATACCAACCCCAGTCATCAGGAAAAGTTGAAAGGGCAAATGGGATCCTTAAAATTCAGTTAACCAAATTCACTCTAGAAGTCCAGAAACCCTGGACCTCCCTTCTGCCCACAGCCCTAGCCCACATAAGAGCCAACCCAAAAGCACCCTCCTTCCTCAGCCCATTTGAGTTAATGTATGGACGCCCTCTCCTCTTACAAAACAGGCCCCCTTCTAGCTCTTAGCTGGAGAATATCTCCCAATACTTTTCCTCATCCACCATCTCCTCCATGAAGAAGCAGACTAGGCTCTCCCAAAGCTCCACAAAGGCCCTACCAACCAGACCTTCCTACCAGGAGAAATGTCTTCCTAAGAACTCTTAACACAGCAAGGCTTAAACCAAAGTGGGAAGGTCCCTTTCGAGTTGTTCTCACAATCCCCACTGCAACTAAACTGTCAGGACATATCTTTTGGTACCATCTTTCCAGGTTAAAAAGATCTCCTGAAGCGCCCACTGACCTGCCAACTGCCACCCTCTGCGGATTCTCCAGCACCCTCCTTATTCCAACTGAACTCCGCCTTATGCCCGTCCCCAAGGAAGACCCATGAGCAGTAACTCCTTCATATATCACCTCTGCCCCTGCTCCAGGTGCCAAGGTCCTCATGACAAGGAACAGCCCCCGACCCACTCCTGACAGCATACCAAATATTAGAAGTCTTCTCCTCTCTCCCCATTCCCACATGTAGAAAAGTCTTAACTCACCTACTTATTCATTGCTCATTTGCAAGGAGAATTTGACTATCCGTGGGATGCTATTAGCCACTTCACAGACCCTCTAGAAGAGGCCACCTCCCAATACAGCCCCTACCAACTCCTTCCCCCAGATAGAGACTCCGATTCTTCCTCAAGCTTCTAACTCTTTTAATAGTCAATCCCACTGCCTCTGCTCCCTCAAAGTCCCTTCTCACTTCTACAAGGCTCAGATAACCTCTCAATCTCACTCACTCCTTGTTATAGTGCTCTAACTCTACACGTGCTTCCGTCACTGGACTGCTTTTCCCTTTCTTCTACTGCCTAGTCAACCACCCCAATTTCTTGGCCCTGGGACCAAATTCCCATTTGCGTTTCATACACCATCCAAAAAGGCTCTGCCTTTGTAGACAGAGTCCTCACCCTCACTGGGAACTATCCCACTGCCCTTGGTAATGGAGCTACCAAACTTCTCTCCATATACACTGCCAATTACAGCCATACAAAACTCCCTCACCCTGCTATCCAAGGTCCCATTCTTACGTGTTACCTCTTCCAACAGACACATACACATAGGCACCATCCCTCCCTCTACCTGTGGCTCAACTCAAACCATCTCTCATCCCTTTTCCCATACCTCATTCTGAGTAGATTATTCAGTTTCCCTTGAAGCTAACTCGCTCTTTACCCAGCCCCTCCACATAACCTCCCTTCCTGCCTCTCAAACATGGAACGCCCCCTCCCGCCAAAGAAGTTGTCAAAGGGGTCTCTCTCTCCTCCTCACTCTGAGCTGTTGAAGCTGAACCAAGTCCCTCCAAACGAGGAACCTACACACTCCAACACCTATTCTCAATCCACTTGTCTGTTTGCATTAACACCACGGGCATCTTCTTCCTCTGCGGATCCACAACCTACTTCTGTCTCCCTACCAACTGGACAGGTACTTGCACCCTAGTCTACCTTATCCCCAACATTAACCTAGTCTCTCCAAAACAAGAACTCTTCCCTGCTACATTACACGCTCGCTCACAAAATAGCAATACAGTTCATTCCCTTTCAGTAGCCCTTGGAGTCACCACTAGTGTCAGGTTAAAAGCAGGATGCCTAGAAACCTCATTATCTATTTCCAGTCACTCTCCTGAGACTTCCAATCGTCACTAGAAGAAATAGCAAACTCTATCACTCACTTCGAAAACCAATTAATCTCTTTAGCAGCAGTCATCCTACAAAACTGCAGAGGCCTAGACCTCCTCACTGCTGAAAAAGGAGGTCTGTGTCTCTTTTTAATAAACAATGCTGTTTCTACCTCAATCAATCTGGGCTAGTATGAGATGCTGTCAAAAAGCTCAAAGACCAAGCACAAAAACTTAAAGATAGTCAGTTCACCTGGCCCCAGTGGTTCCGTAACTCCTGGGCACCCTGACTACTGCCCCTCCTGGGTCCTGCCATAACCCTTTACCTCCTTCTAGCATTTGGCCCCTGCCTCTTACAACTCCTCACCCAGCTTTAACAGGACCATATTAAAGCTTTCACCCATGGAACAATATAAGATATGATGCTGTTCCACGAATAGTGACAGCTCCAGGAACGACAATCCCTACAATCTAGCCTCCCCCAGACAGCAACCCTATCCAGCAAGGAGCAGATGGAGACAATGGTGCCCCTCTTCTATTACCAAATAAAAGGCTGGAATGGTCTACTCTCCTTTCTCTCAGCTAACCTTACACACAGCCCCAACACACTATACAATTACAGAGAAAGTCTAAATAAGAATCTAGGAAACTCCTAAAGAATCTAAATAAAAGTATTAATTATGATTCAGTTATACATCCACTGGACGAACATGCAGAAGTGTACCACAGAGAATCTTACCAAATCAATGGTTTTTGCCCTTTTCTTAGAGGCGTCATCACACCACGTTTCACACCAAAGCCATTCTTGAGGGAGGGATTTAATTGGCACCTGATGAATCATGTTATTGGGCAGATCCTGTTTGGTAAATAATAATAATAATAAAAAAACACATGTATCTAAAGTTCTGGTAGTATTTATTTATTTATTTAGAGATGGGGTCTCACTGTCACCCAGGCTGGAGTGCAGTGGTGTGATCTCAGCTCACTGCAACCTCCACCGCCTGGGTTCAAGAGATTCTTGTGCCTCAGCCTCCTGAGTAGCTGGGACTACAGGGTCCTACAACTACACCTGGCCAATTTCTGTATTTTTACAAAACATGGGGTTTTGCCATGTTGCTCAGGCTGGTCTCAAACTGCTGAGCCTGGTTCACTGCCATCACTGCCTCCCAGGTTCAAGAGATTATTGTGCCTTCGCCTCCTGAGTAGCTGGGACTACAAGGGGTCACCACCACACCTGGCCAATTTTTGTATTTTTACAAAACATGGGGTTTTGCCATGTTGCCCAGGCTGGTCTCAAACTGCCGAGCTCAAGCAATCCACCAATTTCGGCCTCACAAAGTGCTGGGATTCCAGGCATGAGCCACTGTGCCCAGCCAGTTGAGGGGAACTTAAACCAATGCAGCACATCAGTGATGCAGCTGCTCATTATGGATCACATGCCAATCACAAATGTTCAGAATGGGAAAAGTCCCCACCAAAGCCTTAGAGAAATTATTGAAAACTATACATTTTAGAGGATCCATAAAATATCTGCCCATAATAAGCAACTGAAAAGCTATGGCTTAAAACTTACAAAGAGCCTGCACCTAAACCTCCCTTCATTAGGGCAATCTTAAGAAAAATACTCCTACTGACTTTTGAAAGTCAGCTAAATAGAGTGGTGGTTCGTAAATTTTACAGTTTCCTATCAAGGAAGCTTTGAATCTACCTTGTCTATTGAGACTCGATCCCAAATAGATGAAATTATTTTTTCTAGCCAATTCTACTCTACACTTTAAACCTTTTTTCTGAGGAGACCGTCTGACTTTGCCACAATAAAATGTTCCATCGTCCTAAGATTTACATGGAACAGAGAAATGTACAGAAATTATTAACTGTGATACTTGTAAAAAATGTTCCATGATGGTACAAAAATAAATAGATTATACTTCTCTACAAAACCCTGTCAACAAACTAAAATTTAAAATAGCTGCTGAAGTTGGTAGATCACTTGAGCCCAGGAGTTCCAAGACCAGCTGAGGCAACATGGCAAAACCCCATCTCTATAAAATATACAAACAATTAGCCAGGCCTGGTGGTGCGAGCCTGTCATCCCAGCTACTCGGGAGGCTGAGGTGGGAGGATCGCCTGAGCCAGGCACTTCAAGGCTGCAGCAAGCCATGATCGATCCCATCACTACACTCCAGCCTGGGTGACAGAGTGAGACCTTTTCTCAAAAAAAGAAAAGAAAAGAAAAGAAAAAAGCTGGATTAAGGTATCAAATACTCATCTTGATTTATCTTAATTTCACTTCAAGTCTTACAAATTGTTGACCTTGTGGCACTGCTACAGAAAGCTGAATCAACACAGTATCAGTTCCAACTCTGCTCTGCTTGAAAAATAGTAGAACTCTACTTTCAGCATTTGGGGACTAGATAAATGAGACTAGCACGCCTCCTGAGGAAAACTAGAATAGCTGAATGAATTATAAAAAGCATACACCTTTTGAAGGCACCAGAGAACTAACAAGACAATAATTACTAAACCAGGAGAGAAAGAACAAAGACCAGAAAAGATAACCCAGGAATTGGGTTTTTCCCTCTGGATCTATGTTGCTACTCAGGCCTGAGGTAACGAAGATTTGTATATAAGATCTGCAGTGGTTGAGGGGAGTTCTAGTGAAACCCTTTGCTTTGGGTTGGCGTACCTAAAGAATACACATTACAATTTAGAGTAAGCCAGAAAAGGCATGAGAAAAATGCAGCTCAACTTCCAGTCATCAGAATTCTTAAAATGGATTAAAATAATCCTGGATAGCCAGGGCCCCCAAGTTTCTGGAAAAAAAAAAAAAAAAAAAAAAAAGTGACAAAACAAAACAAATACTGTTGGATGGTATCATTTTTGAACTCAAATTATTCCCCAAAATAATTCTGCAAAAACATGCCTGATACACTAGAGGAAATAAACAGATATGTGAGAGACGGTATGAACAAAAGAAAACAGAAATAATACAACAGAATCAGATCCACAGTAGCTCCATCAATTAGAAGATACCAGATATCACACAAATTTTTTAAAGTAAGTAGAGCCGGGCACTGTGGCTCATGCCTGTAATCCCAGCACTTTGGGAGTCCAAGTGGGAGGATCCCTTGAGCCCAAGAGTTCAAGACCAGCCTGGGCAACACAGGGAGATTCTACCTCTACAAAAAAATAAACAAAAAACTAGCCAGGCCTGGTGGTGAGTGCCAGTAGTCCCAGCTACTTAGAAGCTGAGATGGGAGCAGTGCTACAGCCTGGGAAATTGAGGCTGCAGTGAACTATGATTGTGCCACTAAACTCCAGTCTAGGTAACAGACTGATACCTGTCTCTGAAAAAAAGAAATAAAGCCAATCTTACACAAACCAGTTACAAGTAAATGGAAAAGAATAAAATCCAACTTATTCTGTGAAGTCACCAGAGCCTTGATATCAACCTGATAGGAATATTACAAGCCAATGTCACACAAAAACATAAATGAAAAAACCTTAAATAATAGCACAAATAATCCAGCAATATATAAAAAAGGTAATAAATAATGACCAAGTTGGTATGTAATACATGTTTTATAATTCAGGGATTATATTTAGGTATATAATTCATCATCAAACACAAAGAAAATAACTCAGAAAAATATAGTAAAATTAAAATGATATATTAGAAAATACTTAACACAAAACAAGGCAGTAATGAAGAAACTGAGGAACAAAAAAGATGTAACACATAGAAAACAAATAAGAAATGACAGCTCTAAATCCTCCCTCATTAATAATTGCATTAAATGTAAATGGATTAAACTCTCCAATAAAAAGCCACAATGGGATGTCAGCTCAAACCCACCAAAAGAACAGACTGCCAATACATATTTGTCAAAACATGGAGCAACAGGAATTCTTACACACCTGATGGGAATGTAAATTAGAACTACTTTGAAAAACTTTGGAATTAGCGATAGTAAAGATACACATATCTGATGACCCAGCAGTTCCACTTGTAGTTGTATAAATAATTGGAATAGTGCACACGTGTGAGAGTAGTCACAGTAGCAATATCTATGGAAGTCAAAATTGAAAACAACCCAAATGTGAATGGATAAATAAAACGTACCACTACACACAGTGACATGGATGAAACACACAACATAATGCTGAGCAAAAGTTGGACTCAAAAGAGTTCATCTGGCTGGGGGCAGTGGCTCACACCTATAATCCCAGCACTTTGGGAGGCCAAAGAGGGTGGATCACTTGAGGTCAGGAGTTCGAGACCAGCCTGGCCAACATGGTGAAACCCCGTCTCTACTAAAAATGCAAAATTAGCCAGGTGTGGTGGTACATGCCTGTAATCCCAGTTACTCAGGAGGCTGAGGCAGGAGAATCGCTTGAACCCGGGAGGTAGATGTTGCAGTGAGTGCAATCCAGATCATGCCACTGCACCCCAGCCTGGGCAACAGAGCGAGACTCCATCTCAAAAAAAAAAAAAAAAAGAAAAAGAAAGAAAGAATTTCTCTTTTATTATTCCACTGAGATACAGGCAAAGAAAATGAGCAAATTAAACTAGTGTTTAAGAATACATGCTTATGCTTAAACAGTAAATCTATACACAAAGAAAAGCTAATGATTACCATAAAAGTCATGATGCTAGACACTTTTGTTAGGAAGGAAGGGTGGCTTCTGGGATGTTAATAATGTTCTATTTCTTGAACTAGGTTGTGATATATGGGTATTTGCTTCGTAAGAATTCCTGGATGTATGTGAATATGTTATGTATTTGTTTTATATACTTTTCTTTATGGATGCTACATATAAAAAAACCTTCACAATAAAGGTTTGAAAAAATTTAAGTAGACTTCAGCGAAACAAAATGCTTAAAATATGTGAAATATGTACCTAAAACCCTTAAACTTCAATCTCACCTCTGAAAAATGCTTAACATTAACGAACAGTAATTTAGCTAGCCTTTAAATAGCTTATGGTTTCTGACATAGAAAAAAGGGAAACTGTGATACTATACTGTGATTCTATACTATGAATCCTGAGCTATTTAGTTCCTACAGTAGAAAAACAAATTGACCCTAGCAGGTAGAGAAACAAATCTATGAGATTAGTTTGAGTACAAAATACAAAGACATGGTAATGGTTCAGAGAGGCATAATTCTCCTTCCATCTCTCTCCCCAACCAGCATCAGATCTATGACATTTTTCGTGCTGAAATGTCTACTCTTGAAGGCAGATACAAATCTCTCTCTCTCTCTCTCTCTCTCTCTCACACACACACACACACACACACACACACACACCCCATGAGAAAACAAGACACCATCCTGAGAGAGGAGAGAAGTGAAGACACAAATAATACTTCATTTTCTGATGCAACACTTTATACCTGTCACTCAAAGTTAACCATAAAAAATGAATACTTACTTGATCAAGATTTGAAAGGCTGTTAGGATCTTGACTCAGACCTTGGTACTGTCCCCTGAGTCTGTCACCAGCAGCTATTTTCCTAAACTTCTTCAGATCCACAACGTATAGTGCACTGAATAAAGAAGACCCACTTGTTACAATCAACCATGGATTATGACAGGAAAACTAAACCCACTGAATAATGAATGGAACAGGTCACTAGCCAAATATTCTGGCTTTTCTTTGAAAAGGTATGCTACAGCCCTACAGTGGAGTTAAAGTGTGCTACTTTAAAGATCTCTAAGAAAGTCACTGTAAAATCTATACTGTGCTATGCTTTTGTCACTGTTCCATATTTGTCATCCAAAAGAAATAATCTCTGACAAAAGATTTCTAGCAAATGCAGCAGTAATAAATAAAAGCCACAGTAACTGGTAAATGATCATTATTCAATGATATCTGATGATGTCTTCAATGTTATGAGGGGAAAACCCCAGAGTTATTATAGTCCTTACAGTTCTTTTGGACCAGGAACATAACGAAGCTGCAATCACTACACCCCAGCAGTGATCTCTGCATGTGCCACTTTCTACAGGTTCCTCTTCCCTGCACATCCTCCAAATCACACTTCTCACAGAGAAAATAATGGAGCGCTCATTAGAAATCTAATGCATACACTGTTAGACCTAAAAGGTCTACTTCTAGGAATTTATCCCAGAAATATATCTGAGATATGAAAAATCATTTATTTAGCAGATTATTCGTTGCAACATTGTAGATCATAGGAAAAAACTATAAATAACACTCACACACTGGAATAATATGCAGCTATGAAAAGGAATAAGTCTCTCAATATACTGAGAAGATGTACATGACATTAAGAGAAAAAAAAAGCCAAGTTATAAAACGTATAAATAAGTAGCATATTTTGTGTAAAACAAAAATACACATTCACAGCTGTTTATGTAAGAAGAACATCTGGAAGGACAGACAGTAAATAAGTTGGAAGGTTATCTGTTGTAAGAGCAGGAACTGAGTAGGAAAGAGAGAGACAGGATTAGGAATTTTTTTTACACTGTTTTTTTTTTTGAGATGGAGTCTCACTCTGTTGCCCAGGCTGCGGTGCAGTGGCGTGATCTCAGCTTACTGTAACCTCTGCCTCCTGGGCTCAAGCGATTCTCCTGCCTTAGCCTCCTGAGGAGCTGGGATTACAGGCGCCTGCCATTATGCCTGGCTACTTTTTGTATTTTTAGTAGAGACGAGGTTTCGCCATGTTGGCCAGGCTGGTCATGAACTCCTGACCTCAGGTGATACACCTGCCTTGGCCTCCCAAAGTGCTGGGATTACAGGTGTGAGCCACTGCACCTGGCCACTGTATATTTTTTATAATTTTTATTTTTCAAGCATACTAATGTATTGCCTATTCACAATTTTAACTACACAAAATCAATTTTAAGGAATATTCCATAACAATGTTAGGAGTGCTTCTTTTCAGTACCTGATATGATACTTTCGGCCAGCTAAATGACTGGCCCAGTACCCCGACTTCCAGAACCTGTAGCCATCCATTTCTCTTCGGCTGTCACAGAAAGGAGTGTAACCATAAGGAGCACCGTCCAAATTGAAATCTCGTAACTCTTTCAGATCTGTTCGTACAATCTGGAGAATACCAAAAGTCATCTGTTAAGCAACCATGCAGACAGCTCTAATGCAGCTTCCTTAAGATAAGGTGTGTGGGAGTAGAAATAAAACAAATTTCAATTGCTTAGCCTTTCTGTGCCTCAGTTTCTTCATCTGTAAAATGGAGATAATGATAGTACCTATGTCACAGGTTGCTGGGAGGAGTAATATGTAAGTTAACATACGGATGGACAGATGTAGAATAATGCCTTTTCCATCTTAAGTACTCAACAAGGATTAAATGTGGCTATGTTAGAGTCAGGAAGGCAAGCTTCAGGCTGAGCCAGCAGAAGAGAATTCCAAAGAGGTGAGTGAAGCCTCTGTCCCAGTGACTTTCACACACATTACATCCTTCCATTCAGGTGACAGACTCATGTTTCTGCCCGCTTGGGCTGAAGTGGAAGGCTGTGGGCAAAAGTACAGTTACGCTGCTTGAGTTTGTATGCTCTAAAATCACATGTTCCGTTTCAGTAAGTCAAATCCTGGCAGCTGGAAGAATATCCAGAGGTTCCCTATTGCCAAAGCCAGGCATCCACCTGAGCTTCATTTATCACCAGTGACAATAACTCTACATTTTGGGAAGATAATTAGAAATGATGGCAAGCACTGCTAAATGCTAATTTTCTAATTTTTAGTTTTCATGTTAAATGAATTAAGTCAGATACAAAAGTGTACGCATTATGTAATCACAATGATGTTAAAAAGACAGAAAAAGATGCAAAGGAGATAAACTAAACGCAAATTTAAAAAGTGATCACATCTGTGCATACATGTTTCCATATTTTCTAAATGTAAAATAAGCATGTTCTTTGTCATAACTGAAAAGAGAGCATTTAAAAAGAAATAAGCCATTTGTTGTTTTTAATACAAATTGTCAAAACTTGGCCTACCTGATCAGCGTCCACAAACAGGAACTTGTCAACAACTAGTGGGAAAAGTACATCCAGGAAGAGGATCTTGTAACCCCAGATGATGCGCTGCTTTTCAGTCTGCTGATGAAGCCACCGGGGCCACTTGTACTGAACAAGCTCATACTGGAAATTGTATTCATTTGCCATGTAAGGTATAAACTCCTATTTGTAGACAGGGGAACAAAAAATAATCATTTCTTCTGATTGAGAAAACTGCTTTCATAATGTAAGCCATCAACCATGATACAGGACAAATAAAACACATTTACCAAAACAGTGGTCTTACAAAGACTGGCCCTGAACCACTCATAACAATATAGAAGAGTAGATGTAAACCTCTGTCAAATCCCCATTTCTTTATGACTTCTGGTCACTAGATGAAATGACAGAATGTTCAAAAGAAGGATTTTAGATTTATGTCCTTCTGTGTGTGTTTTTATAGCACATGAATTTGAAGTCCATTTGTCTAAACTTGATTTCAGTAAAGCATTTATTGAGCTTGACAACAGGCCTTCCTAAAGGCCAGGAAATAACATGGCAAAGCCAGAACTCTGGACAAATGTGTTGCCCTTAATGAATAAGTCTTTCAGATTCTAAGTACAAGCACCTTTAGGGGGCCAGCAGTAAAGTGCTTATCAAGGAGAATGGTTACCGAATATATTAAAAGTCATTTAGTAAATTCTACAGAAAAAAAAAAGGATGTAAATAAATCAACTTAGATGACAAATACTGGCCAACATAAATAATGCAGAAAACATTTCAAGTACATGTTTTGCTTTGCACAGAGGAAGCATTACTTCCATATATCATCTGGGAGTAGTTTACACTAACACCAATCTTCTCCTCAGTGTAAAACATTGTTGTGCTTTCTACATTAAAGCAAACATGCAGGCTTCAGAGGAAGAGAACATTATCTGAGTAAGACATTGCTCCTAACAACAACAAAAGACTCTCCTACTGTATTATCCAGGTTTCAAATGGGTCACAATTTAACTGTTTCCCTCAGATACACCAATCTGGAAGAATAATTAAAACAGAAATATGCAACCAAATTAGGGTATCTTAGTAAATGGAAAATTTGTTAAAGTATACAGATAAAACAAAAGTCATCAAAAATATATAGTAATATATACATTCTCCTTAATAAGAATGTTTTCCCTTTCCCTGTGAAACAAACCTTAAATGTGGGGGACAAGTAATTCTTCAAGAACCAGAATTTCACAGGTGTCTTGGTATTCTTCAGCACAGATAGCATCATTATGCTGCCAAACAAAAGTAGATAATAATAATAACTTTCCAATGTGTTTTAACCTCAACATTATGTAGAGTCAATCACAAGACACCTAAATGCTCTTTATGGCAGAGCTAACTAATGGCTCAATTAGGCAGATGCTCAGTGACGGAAAAGGAAAAAATGTACTTATTCTAGCTTATAAAGTTATCACTGAAGAGAAGGGGCATTCCTTACCTATAGAACTACACTTTACTGACAGAGGCAAAGGTTTTAATTCTGTTACAACTCTAAATAAACTGCTTCATGAACTGATATATTAATTATGGTACAAATGAACACTGGACATTGGGGTAACTGACATCACTCTCCAAAAACCCCTGTCACGTGACAGCAGCAACTGGCACTGAGGGAAGAATGTGTAATCACAGCACCTCCTGGAGCCTACACAGAGGCCCTGCTTGAGGGAGGGAGGCTACCAGCTCAGGCCTCCTTACTCAGAAAATAAAACCATATTTTGAATTGAGGAATGTAATCAAATTCAGTTGTCATTAGTATCACTACTTTAGGTAGAATATTATTTCTTGGAAATAAAAGGGCTAAAAATAAGACAAATGACATTTTGATTTTCTATACTAGATCTGCAGTGAAAAATTAAGAATGAACAGAACCCTGGTAATGAGAAAAGTCTCTCTCAGGCTTTCCTCACACTGCAACAAGGCACTCCCAAGTGCTTTTGGTGACCACTACATCAACCAGCCCTAGTCCATGGCTTTTTCTGGCTCTGGCTGTGTGACCTCAGACAAGTCCCTTCACACTTGGGGCCTCAGCTTCTTTATAAAATAGAAGTGTTCATATTTAAGAACTAAGGTGTCTCCCAGCTCTAAAATGCTGTGAATCTTTTCCATGGTTCTGTTCTCACTCTATTCTCTATGTCAACTTCCTAACCTCTGGGTTAAGCAACGTCTGGCAGGCAGTAAACAGCACAGTCCATGAATGTGTATTATTTAACAGTGATGTTAAAGGGCTACAGCCTTGTGATATCCAGAGGCACTGACTACCTAGCTCAACTTCACAGAGTTGACGGGATCAAAACAAATACATTTATAAAAGGCAAGCTACTCACAATGCTCAGAGTGCTTCAAAGACACAGAAGTATAATGAGCAGAATCCCACAAAACCTTTTCGCTCTATATAAGAACACTGACAAATTCAAACATATATAGTGAAATAATCAAGACTGACCGAAGAAATCTTTCGTAGAGGTGACCAGATGCAACGGAGAAAATATTAATTATGTCATCTTTATCTTGCTTCACTTCCTCAGTCTTCTGTCCTCCTGTAAAGCCCCTATAACAATAAGGGTAAAAATAAGACCACTTGAAATACTGGTATGGACACAGAGTCTTTTAAATTAAGAGGAAAGAGATGGCGCTTCCCATCCTTCCCTAGCAGATAAGCTGCAGCAGGAGTGGTTATGAAGCTTCCCTCACATCCTAGAGAGAACACAAGACCAACAAAACCAACCTATGGGGAAAACAAAAAGAATATTCACTCCCCAACGGTGTTGCTTCAGGAAGAGACTGAACCAGAATGCAACTTAGGCAACGGGAGATAAACTGAACAAGGAGCAGTCAAATTTCCAAAGAGCCGGCACAGGCAATGAGAGTCACAAAGTATGGAGCAGAAGTAACTGCTGCATTAGGAGAACCTCTTTTGGATTAATCAAGTGTAAAATACCCATCTATGCCAAACTTAAGTGCAAGATGTAGCTACGCAAAGTAGAATGTGAAAGGCCCAAACAGGATCACAAGATGCAAAAAGAAAGGATGGGTAGTGCTTCTATCTCAGTTTTTCTTAAAGACATAACTCTTTATAATGTCAATTTACCATTTGAAGGAATCCCAAAATCCAGATTCATTCTCATTCGTTCCATCACTCAGCAAGTCTTCATTCACCATGTCTGCCTTCTTCTGAACCTGCAATCAAATGTGATAAACCTTACTCCCAGTATGTCTCACAGGCATAAAACTGCCTCTCACTGGATATATACTGTAAGTCTGCCATTAATAGAGAATTATTAATCAATTCTCTCACGAACAGGCACAACCCCACCCAGAGTCTAGAAGGATTCATTAGAAGTATCTTCATCAGGACATTCACAACAAAACCTTATGTGAGGAGAGAGCAACCTCTTTTAATTAGACCAGCCTCATTTTCAGCTTGCAACATAGGCAAAGAACTGCAAATTCAACTGTGCAAGAAATAGTCTGAGTGAAACCAGAGCATAATTCAATGACCAACCGCTAGTTCCAGGGAAGAGTGTGGCTGCTGGGGCTCTAGCTGTTGGGAGGGAGGTACTTCATGTTATAACCAGTTTTCAGAATTCACTAGCACAAACAGGGGTTGCTTCTTGGCAACACTGTGACCATTTTTCTGCTCAACAATGCATGGCCTGTTTTAGGTTTCACTGTGTTTAATGATTATTTATTCCAGAATATACTCTACTTGAATTTAAGGCACTAAGAACTTCAAAATTCTGAGAATGGAAAGTAGAAGTCAGAAGAAATTAAATAGGACTATCATTTTATTATCACTGTTGCAAAATTTTTTGCCATTTCCCCCAATATCCCAAGGAGAGAATCATCAACAACACTATGAATTGTGGCCATATAAACAACGTAGCATCTATGAGAACATTTTATATAAAATGGGACATGTTCTGCTCACTGAGATTACCCAAAAGGTACAACCTTTCAGTTGAGGAAAGCCACAAACTCACATTTACAAAGACATTTTGCCTTAAAGCAGTATTCCTACAATTGCCACAGCAAATTCCAGAGACTCTTGGGCTGGTTCCAAGATACATATTTTTACATGACAGCTGTCCAATAACAGAATGCCACTACTTTTACCAAACTCACCTTCACTTTAATAATTTTGCTTTTGAAGTTGTTGAGGACGATAACCACCTCATCAGCATCAGGGGGAGAATCGGTGCCATCATGGCTTTGCAAGAAAAGAAAGACAGATATTACAAGGCACAATTCTCAAAAGGCCGCAAATGTTCTCAGAGCATCTGAGTCCATCATCTTTCTCATAAAGGAGTTTTCCAGATCAAACTATCTTCTTGCTCCTTAAGCTCCTTCAAGCTGCACAGAAGCATGTGTTGAAATCTTCTCTCTTTATATAGGGTGCTTGCCCAAACCTCCTTCAAGAATCCTCCTTCAAATTACCCATCACACAGTGAGAGGCATCTATGTGTGGCAACCACATGGTGAGTACTAAACAACCACCTGTGTTCACAAGCTCTGAGCCGAGCACAGTGCCTTTGAGTGCAGGGGGAACAGACCCCTCTCAACTTGAACTGCACTGGAACTGCACTGCTTCCACTTTTTTTTTTTTTTTGAGACAGAGTCTCGCTCTGTCGCCCAGGTTCGAGTGAAGTGGTGCAATCTTGGCTCAACGCAACCTCTGCCTCCCAGGTTCAAGTGATTTTCCTGCTTCAACCTTCAAATAGCTGAGTTTACAAGTACTCACCACCATGCCTGGCTAATTTTTGTATTTTAGCAGAGACAGGGTTTCACCATATTGGCTAGTCTGGTCTCAAACTCCTGACCAAAAGTGATCCACCCGCCTCAGCCTCCCAGTGTTGGGATTACAGGCGTGAGCCATCACACTCAGCCACTACTCTTTAACTGGAATAGTGTTGTAAAGGAATCTCTTTCTGCCTGGAGGCAACGATCAATCAAGAACAGGCCCGGTACTCAACCTGGTATCTGTACACTATACGAAGAACTATAAAAAACTCAATTTGCAGGAGACAGGAGAAGAGGAAGAAAAATTAATGTTTCCCTACTAATCAACAGCAATGCCAAAAATTTCCAGCAAAGTGAAGAAAGTCATAATTATAATAGGAATTCACTGCATTTACTGTCATTTAGCAGAGAGTAGAGTTCTCAGGCAAAGTAACATTCTGCTGGGGGAGCCCTGAACAGCTAGGAAGAGGGGGCACCACGCTCCTGGGAAGGGGAGAGTTGGCAAGATCCAGGGCACCCAAAAGAGAAGGAATTTGGAAGTGCATCCAAAATTTTTAAAAACCCTATCTGAAGAAGATGTTATTTGGAATAAGACCTTCTATTTTTTTTTTTTTACTTTTTTTTTTAATTGCATTTTAGGTTTTGGGGTACATGTGCAGAACGTGCAAGACAGTTACATAGGTACACACATGGCAGTGTGTTTTGCTTCCTTTCTCCCCTTCACCCACATTTGTCATTTTTCCCCAGGCTATCCCTCCCCATCTTCCCCCCCACCCCGCTGCTGGCCCTCCCCTTTTCCCCCCAATAGACCCCAGTGTTTAGTACTGCCCTCCCTGTGTCCATGTGTTCTCATTTTTCATGACCCTCCTATGACTGAGAATACGTGGTATCTCATTTTCTGTTCTTGTGTCAGTTTGCTGAGAATGATGCTCTCCAGATTCATCCATGTCCCTACAAATGACATAAACTCATCATTTCTGATTGCTGCATAATATTCCATTGTGTATATGTGCCACATTTTCCCAATCCAGTCTATCATTGATGGGCATTTGGGTTGGTTCCAGGTCTTTGCTATTGTAAACAGTGCTGCAATGAACATTTGTGTTCATGTGTCCTTATAGTAGAACAATTTATGGTCCTTTGGATATATGCCCAGTAATGGGATTGCTGGGTCAAATGGAATTTCTATTTCTAAGGCCTTGAGGAATCGCCACACTGTCTTCCACCATGGTTGAACTAATTTACACTCCCACCAACAGTGTAAAAGTGTTCCTTTTTCTCCACATCCTCTCCAGCATCTGTTGTCTCCAGATTTTTTAATGATTGCCATTCTAACTGGCGTGAGATGGTATCTCAATGTGGTTTTGATTTGCATCTCTCTAATGACCAGTGATGATGAGCATTTTTTCATATGATTGTTCGCCTCATGTATGTTAAGACCTTCTATTTTTTACAATGATGTTATTATAATACAGAATTCTTCTATTTCCTGGGTAAGAACCAGGCACTAATCCACTGTTTCACGTGTGTCACTACAGAGCTAAGGCAAGGACATACTACAGGGTGCTTCAAATGTATTCTAATGGAAATCATCCCCTAAACAAATTAGCAGCAAGTCTTTTCACACAGCTTAAATCTAATTTAAATTGTGTTAAGCAGAACTGATATCAAACTTTTTTTTTTCTTTTTTTTTGGGGGGGAGGGAGGGAAGGAGGATGGGAGGAAGGCAGGAAGGGAGGGAAGGAGGAAGGGAGGAAGGCAGGAAGGGATGAAGGAAGGAAGGAAGGGGGGGAGGGAAGGGAAGGAAGGAAATCAAGCAATGAGAGAGACACTGCCAACCTGAATCTAGAGGTTTACAAGTTGATTTCTTTTTTTTTTTTTTTTTTTTCTTTTTTTTTGAGAGAAGGAAAGAAAAAAAAATGAGTAAAGGAGAGGAAGAAAGAGGAAGAGAAAGAGGGAGGGTGAACAGAAATATTGCTTTATTCTGAAAAAAAAAAAAAAAATGGGTATTAATAATGGCCAATCAATGTTTCATTTAAACCTATGAGTAGGTGTGATGTGGTATTGACAAGAATGTATATTTTATGTATTTGAAGTGGAGAGCTCTATAAATATTTATTAAGTTTACTTGTTCCGGATCTGAGTTCGAGTCCTTGATATCCTTATTAATTTTCTGTCTCATTGAATCTAAGTCTCTATGTATCTGGGTGTTAGGATCGTTAGCTCTTGTTGTTGCATTGATCCTTTTACCACTATATCTTTGTTGCTTTAAAATCTATTTTATCCGATACGAGAATTGCAACTCCTGCTTTTTATTTGTTTATTTATTTATTTATTTTTGCTCTCCATTTGGTTGGTAAATCTTTCTCCATCCCTTTGTTTTGAGTCTTTGTGTATCCTTGCATGTGAAACAGGTCTGGATGTAACATGCCATCAGGTTTTGGCTGTGTCTTTTGATTGGGGGATTTAGTTGATTTAAATTTAGGGTTACTGCCATTTGATGTTGACTGGCTGTTTTATCCATTCGTTGGTGTAAATTCTTCTTTATGCTGGTGCTCTTTACTTTTTGGTGTATTTTTAGAAAGGCTAATACTGGTTGTTTCTTTCTGTGTGTAATGCTTCTTTCAGAAGCTCTTGTAAAGCAGGCGTGGTGGTAATATAATCTCTGAGTACTTGCTTGTTTATAAAAGATTTTATTTTTCCTTCAGTTTTGAAGTTTAGTTTGGCTGGATATGAAATTCTGGGCTGAAGGTTCTGTTCTTTGAGGATATTGAATATTGGCCCCCACTCTCTTCTGGCTTGTAGAGTTTCTGCTGAGAGATCTGCTGTAAGTCTGATAGGCTTGCCTTTGTGGGTAATCTGACCTTTCTCTCTGGCTGCCCTTAGTATTTTCTCCTTCGTTTCAACCCTGGTGAATCTAACGATTATGTGCCTTGGGGTTGCTCTTCTTGAGGAATATCTTTGTGGTGTTCTCTGTATTACCTGGGGTTGAATGTTGACCTGCTTTGCTAGTTTAGGAAAATTTTCCTGAATAATATCCTGAAGGGTATTTTCCAGCTTGGATTCATTCTCTCTGTCGCATTCAGGTACACCTATCAAATGTAAATTTGGTCTTTTCACATAGTCCCACGTTTCTTGGAGACTTTGCTCATTCCTTTTTATCCTTTTTTCTCTAATCTTGTCTTCTTGTTTTATTTCATTAAGTTGGACTTTGACCTCTGATATCCTTTCTTCTGCTTGAACAATTCGAGTGTTTAAACCTGTACATACTTCTCGGAGTTCCTGTATTGTATTCTTCAGTTCCGTTAATTCATTTATATTCCTCTCTAAGTTGTCTATTCTCAATAGGATTTCATCAAACCTTTTTTCAAAGTTCCTAGTTTCTTTACGTTGGGCTACAACATGTTCTTTTAACTCACAGAAGTTTATTATTATCCATTCCCTGAAGCGTGATTCTGTTACTGGGATGCGCTTGTTCTCCATCAAGCCTTGTTCCATTGTTGATGTGGAACTGTGATCATCTTTAGAGAGAGAGGCATTCTGATTTTGAGTGTTCTCAGCCTTTTTACGCTGGTTTCTTCCCATTATTGTAAATTTATCCTCCTGTCGTCTTTGAAATTACCAACTTGCAGATTAGGTCTCTTGAGTGGACGTCCAAGTTGTTAGTTCCCAGGGCCAGAGCAGCGGCGTTAAGACTGATGGTGCTTTTCTTCCCAGGATTCTCCTGTCTGGTTTCCTTCTTGTGTCCATAATAGGCAACTCTGCCTTCCCGGGGCTCCAAACCTCAGTCAGAAGGGGAACCAGTCTCGTTTACTCTGCGGCGAGAGCTGCCACGCGGAGGTGCCGTCACAGCCACTGTGCCGGCCTCAGGAGTCGTGCTAGGGACCCATGTGGGTCCTCCAAACCTCGGTCAGAAGGGGAGCCAGCCCTGTTTACTCTGCTCCAAGAGCTGCCGTGCCGAGGTGCTGGGGATCTTCTGCTCCGGGAGCGACCAGAATTTGTCTGTAAGTGTGGCGTCCTCTAGTTCTATGTGCTTTCACTGACAGCTGCAATCCCGAGATGTTAGCGATTGGCCATCTTGGATCATTCTCCCACCAAACTTTTTTAAAGGTAACATTTATTTTTTTTCAAGACTGAGGAGTCTCACTGTGTCATCCAGGCTGGAGTGCAGTGGCATGATCTTGGCTCACTGCAACCTCTGCCACCCGGGTTCAAGCAATTCTCCTGCCTCAGCGTCCTGAGAAGCTGGGATTACAGATACCTGTCACCGTGCCCAACTAATTTTTGTAGTTTTAGTAGAGATGGGGTTTCATAATCTTGGCTAGGCTGGTCTTAAACTCCTGACCTTGTGATCCGCCCACCTCGGCCTCCCAAAGTGCTGGGATTACAGGTGTGAGTCATCATGACAGGCCAACATAATTATTTTAAATAAACCTGTGCAGTAAACCTTAATGCAAAACCTGGCTACAGAGGGAATGTTTTAGTAGTACTACCATACTACCAGAGATCAAGTAGGACCTGCACTAACAGCATGGCTTCAAGACCAAATCTTATTTGTACTGTGCATTTGCCAATTACTCAGGGTCAACACATATTCTCTCTGGGCAGAAAAGTTTGGCTGTTCTTCCTTTCTTTTCTCCTTCCTTCAAGTTTCTCATCTGCCTATCTGTGAGTTGCAACACAGTGATACAATGATCTGATTCTGGGATATTGTTAGCACAAAAGAATAGTTAAAGAATAAAGCCTCACTATACTCATTAACATCTATACCACTTATAATCTAATTCTATTCTAACAATTCTTCCATGTTTAATTTCCTGGAAAAACCATTGTTTCATCACACACAAACTGCAAATTAAATTCATGTTGCCTAGTTAACTGCCAGGGTAGCAGTCGATTAGAGCTAATGCTCATTTCTAAAGGTTCTAGGAAAATGTACCTGCAGCACTTACACCTACCTGTAGATTCTATAAATATCTTCAGAGCGTCCCTTCCTAAGTCTGAGGATCCAAGCTCCTGGGTTGGCTTTCAGCTGAAAGTAGCCCTAGGAAAAGAATAAAAGTCCAATGTTAGCTCTCTTTGAAAACACCAAAATGCTATTTCTGAGGAATAGTTACTTCTATTTCTGAAATATCAATCACCTATATTGGAAGATAGTAAACAAATCAATGCAACTCTTAAACCAAAACTACACATTAAAAACTCTACCACAGGCCAGTTTGCAGTAGCTCACACCTATAATCCCAGCACTTTGGGAGGCCATGGTGAGTGGATCACCTGAGGTCAGGAATTTGAGACCAGCCTGGTTAACATGGTGAAAACCCATCTCTACTAAAAAGGAAAAAAATTAGCTGGCATGATGGTGGGCGCCTGTAATCCCAGCTACTCATGAGGCTGAGGCAGGAGAATCACTTGAACCCAGGAGGCAGAGATTGCAGTAAGCCAAGATCATACCACTGCACTCCAGCCTGGGAGTCCACCTCAAAACAACAACAAAGAAAAACTACTCCAATAAAGGCCAGTCACGCCAATAAATCGTCTGCCCTTTAGCTGTGCTTCAGGAAAGAATCAACGTGTGATGCATGAATAAGCATCGTACTTCCAAAGGCTGTCAGCTCATGAGCAATCTATTTTCAGGGGACAATTCAGTTATAGCTGAGTATTCCACCAGCACGTTTTTTCTTGACATGTAATGCTAACCTACAAATTTACCTGAACTAATGATTTCTGTATTGACCAAATTCAGCCCACAATCAATTTTAATCTCTATGGTTAAAAATGCTAATTGCTCCATCATAAATTATAGTGCCCAAATTAACATAACTACAATATCACTATCTGGTGAATGGATTATTTACCAGATTGGCCATAACAATGGTGTCCACAATGACCGGGTTGGCTGAAGTTCCTAAAGTAAACTGCAGTCCCCGTGGAGGTTGGCCTGTGGTGATGTCATAGCAATGACCTTCTAGTAACAGGTACTCCAGCTCATACTCAGCAGCCACTACACTGTCCACCTGCAATGCCAAAAATCCAATCATTTGAAGGCACTCAGCGACAACATGAATAAATATGAAATGCATTATGCAAAGTAAAGGAAGCAGGCAAAAAGGATTTACATAATATACAATCATATATTAAGAAATTCAAGAAGAGACAAAACTATAATGACAGAAAGCAGATTAGCTGTTGCCTAAAACCAGGGTGCGAGGAGTGTACTGTCTGCAAATGGGTACAAAAGAACTTCTGGGGGTAACAGAAATGTTCTGCATCTTGGCTATGGTTGTGGTTAATGACTGTATACAATTAAAAACAGTGGGTTGGAAAGAGAAAGGAGAAAAAAACTAAGGAAGTTATTAAAAAAATATGAATGAGGATAAGACACTAAATGTTGTTGAAAAAAAGTAAAGACCTAAACAAACGCAAAGACATCCTGTAGTCATGTATCAGTAGAAAAGCTTGCACAGTGTTCATAGCAGCATTATTCATAATAGCCAAAAAGTAAAAACAATCCAAATGTCCATTTGTGAAATTATAAATAAAATGTGGTATGTCCATAAGTGAAATATCATCTGGCAAGTTAAAAAGAATGAAGCATTGATACATACTATAACATGGATGAATCTTGAAAACAATTTGATACCTGAAAGAAGCCAGTAACAAAAGACTACATGATTCTATTCAGACAAAATGAATAGGCAAATCCATAGAGACAGAAAGTAGACTAGCAGTTTCGAGAGGCTGGGGGGAATGGAGAATGACAGCTAATGAGCATGGGGTTTTTGCTGGGGATGATAAAAACATTCTAAAACTACATAGTGGTGATGGCTGCAAAACTCTGTGAATACACTAAAAACTCTGAACTGTACACTTTAAAGGGGCAAATTTTATGGTATATGAATTCCATGTGAATAAATCTGTTATTTTAAAAAATATACCATACCTGGACACTAATGTCTCAGAGGCCCACTAGACTGTAATTCAATCTGTTGTATTATACATGATTAGATATTTGGAAGCAATGATATTCTTACCTCTTCTAAATAAATATTATCAAGATCATATGGTGTTCTGACAGATTCTACCATCCAGCTCTCAGGCGTGTTCAAATTCAGAGTGAATAGTGGAGACTGAGGCATATCCAAAAATTTTGCTATTGGACCCTTAGCAAAGCTATTGTCTGAAGTAAAAGAAATCTCTGGTTCTAAGACATAACGGTAAAAGCTGAAATTGAAAAGGAAAGTGTTAGTTTTTTTTAATGTAGCAACTGTACTTGAGTGTACAAGCCCCTACACAGGTAAACAACTGGTTAAAACAAATTAGATTTGGAGGAGTATCCTTCCAGATTGGGAAAAGTGTTTCCAAAATCATCTTTTGACCTAATGATGCCACCTGTGGTTGCTGCAGATGAAGAGAAGGCAAACAAGGACGGCACTAAGGAGGAGGCCACTCCTTCGCTTGGATGGCTGCTGTTGGGGTCACAATTAGGTCCTGGGCATTTTCTTCCCTTGAGGGAGGATTAATTTTTCTCTTTAAAACCAAATGCTAAATGCTGATTGAGTTCTCAGGCTAGTCCTGAAAACATTAACAATCTAAACATTTCTCCTACACAAGAATAATGATGAAACAAACAAAAACTAAAACTAACAAAAAAAAAGAATAATGATGGAAGGTGGGAACCCTTTGGCTACTTGTAAATGCTGTTTCAATCCACTTAGAAGCTAACCTATAAACACAGCACATCGACGTTAGAAATTTCCCATAGCCACAACACTAACTGCTTTTTCTATTACTTTTTTCATAAATGACCATTCCAAAGCTCGTGACAATATATAGCTAAACAAGTTTATTCTAATATGTATATTCCAAGTTGAGATGAATATTCTTCTTTTGAGATGAAAAGCACAAATGAGGCCAGGCGTGATGGCTCACACCTGTAAACATAGCACTTTGGGAGGTGAGGCAGGCAGATCACTTGAGGCCAAGATTTTGAGACCATCGTGGTCAACATGGTAAAATACCGAGTCGACGAAAAATACAAAAATTAGCTGGGTGTGGTAGTGTGTGCCTGTAATCCCAGCTACTGAGGAGGCAGACGCTGCCAAGATCATGCCACTGCATTCCAGCCTGGGCGACAGAGCAAGACTCCATCTCAGGGAAAAAAGAAAAAAAAAGAAAAGGCAGAGATACAAATAGCCTGGGTTAATGCCACCTAAATGCTCTAAACATACTGTTTTTAGAACTTCTGATTAGAGTGAAATTTGACAAAAATGAACATTTAGTAAATGACCATTTGAAACGATTGAAACCATTTCAAATGATGTCCACCTATAAACCCATCTGCTCCTCTAACATGCAATATCGGAACTTGGATTTAGCACCATTTCTTCAACTGTTTTCTTACATAGCATGTTTTACCTTTTCAAAGGCATGTCGGAAAGTTTAGATTGGCAGTTCATAAATACTCTCAGATTCATGTTTATCAGCTGAGCCAAAACCTAAAAGGAAAACCAGATGACAAAATATTTAGAATTTTTTACCTCAGAAATATGTTGACACTGATATTAATACCTCAAGAAAAGATACAAAGATAGTAACAGCCACAGAGTCTGCACTGGAGAAACTTCTGGAAATGACAACTCTACTGCAAAATCTAAATCACACATATACATAGGACACAGCCAAAATAATGGGAGGTAGGCTGCTGCAGCTCACTGCTCTTCACACAAAGGCAGTTCCTGTGGGGAAGCAGCAGGCAGATCATGTAAAAACTACAGGCCTCATAGTGATCACTCACATGCCAGAGTATGAAAAAACAGAGACACCAATACTCACAAAAAAGGTCAGGGATTTATTCGGCAGTGAATGTTGGAGTGGCTGTGTCTTTGTCAGAGCTCTTTTAAATGTCCTAAAATTATAACATGCTATACATGTCTAAAAGACATGTCAAGACAAAAAATCCATGGTAGTTATAAAAAAGGACGAACACCAAAACATACTTATTTTACCTCTTGTCATTATAAATTAAAATATAGCATAACTTAATTCCAGGACGTTTTACTCTGAATGAAAATGTTAATCACTTTTATTTTATTACATGAGGCAGCCAACCACACCTGCACCAACTTTCTAGGGCTGTGAAGTTGTTTCAGAGCCACTGCCAATCTTTGTAAAGACTGCTCTGCCCTAGAACAGTCTTTGTCCAGTGCCTGTTGAAGACAACTCAAGGAAAATGAAGCTCTCAGCGAATTTCAGAGCACGTGACAACTTCAGACAAAGGTGATATACACTGCCTGCACGGCATTCCTACCAAGAGCAAGGGAGCAAGTCTCTGTGCGTCTCTGGTGACAGGGTCAACGACAGCCACAACATCAAAGTACGTCTCTCCTTCCTTCGGCCTCAGTTTAATTGCACTAAAAGATCAAAAGGATAAAACATTAACCTGGAGGACACAGTAAATAAAAGGTTTTTTTTTTTTTTTTTGTAGAATATAACCTTCAACCTGCTTAGCGTTTCAAAAGGTTTTTTTTTTTTTTTTTGTACAATATAACCTTCAACCTGCTTAGCATTTCAAAGAACTGTAGATCTAGAATGACTAGACTATGACAGTGGCCAACTATATAATTCTGTCCACTCCAAAGAATGCAAAACCTTAATAATGGATCTGAAATGAATTGAAAGGTCCATGTAAAGAGAGGAAAAACAGTTTGAAATTGTATTTAACCAAAAACTGCGAAAAGCTACTGAAGTCAGCTTCTGATAGTTACTGAACCTTAAGCCAATTTTTAATTCTTAGCAAGAAGAGTACAAAGAGAAAAGGAATAAATAAATTAAAAAAAAAAAAAGAAAAACATGGGAGCCGCGGTGGCTCCGGCCAGCTGTCCTGGCGCTTGATGAGGCGAGGCTATGAGTTCAAGGCCAACCTGAGCAATGTAACAAGCTCTCATTGATTAACAAAAAAAAAAAGAAAGAAAGAAAAACATTCCAGAAAACCTGCAAAACAGAGAAAAAGGAAAAACATAATCACAAAATATTCACTATCCCAGCCCACTTAGCTGTATCTCTATGTAATCCTTTCTAGATACCTGTATAAACATGAATTGAAGATACAGATTAACAATTTCCTTCCTTCTCCCACTACTGTAGCATAAAGATTTTCACATGTTGTTAGCATCCTGATTAAGAAATAATATGCCATTTACCAAATGAATCTGTCAGAGTTTACTCCAGCTATTCTTTACTGCTGGACATACAGATGGCTTTCAACCTGTAAACAATTTGTATATCCAACTTTCTCCACATTTGGAAATTTCTTTAGAGTCAAGAAAATATCAGACGTGAAACTATGGAGTGAAAGGATACAAATACTTTTGTGGCTAATAAGTATTGTCGATCACATTTCCTGAAGAACTAAACAAATGTACAAGGCCAAAAAATAAATTTAACCACATCCTTCATCAGTATTAAATTATAGACATTCTGCCTGTTCTTTTTCTTATTTACTTTTTTAGAGACATGGTCTCACTCCAGTCCAGGCCAGAGTGCAGTGGCACGATCATGGTTCACTGAAGCCTCTAACTTCTGGGTTTCAAATGATCTTCTCAACTTAGCCTCCTAAGTAGCTAGGACTACAGACACATGCCACCATGCCGGGCTAATTTATTTTTTTGTAGAGATGGGGGTTTCACTATACTGACCAGGCTAGTCTCAAACTCCTGGCCTTAAGTGACCCTCCTGCTCTGGCTTCCCAAAGCGCTGGCATAAGCCACCGCACCTGGCCCTTCTCTTTTTTTTTTTTCATTTAAAGACAGTCTCATCATCCATTCACCCAGGCTGGGAGTGCAGTGGCGTGATCTCAGCTCATTGCAACCTTCACCTCCCGGCTCAAGCAATCCTCCTGCCCCAGCCAACAAAGTAGCTGGGATTACAAGTGCATGCCACCATGCCCAGCTAATTTGTATATTGTTATCAGAGATGGTGTTTTGCCATGTTGGCCAGGCTGGTCTTAAACTCTTGGCCTCAAGTGATCCACCTGCCTTGGCTTCCCAACATGCTGGGATTACAGGCGTGAACCATCATGCCCAGCATCCTTGTCTGTTCTTAACTAAATGGTAACTTCCTGTTGCATGTACTCCCTGTGAAGTCATACTGACTTAGGTGTCTTAAAAGGAGCAGGGACCTCTGATGTACTTTTAAAAGGACTCAACTTTAAAGAATTTAAAACTATACCCAATTTTCAAAAACCATTAACTGTTTAAACCATAATCCTTTTTTGCACTTAACAATACTATAATGTGGTTACTATACTAACCACTATTTTTTTTTTTAACCAAACAACATTTACCTAAGTGGGATGAATACAAAAGAATACCATAGAACAGCATAACCAAGAAAACTGGAAACAATTTACATGCTCATGAAGGTTATTTCACATTTTAACTACTTTGGAAGTAACCATCAGAACAGCTTTGTGACTGTGTTGAGGTAGGTGCTTTCAATCTCTGGTATTATCAACAATTTCAGATTAAATCCCCTGCCAATGATGATTCTTCTCATATAACAAAACTTCTGTTACTCTAATACAACTGTTCTCAAAGTGTGGCTCCAGAGCAGTGGCATCAGCTTCCCCTGGGCATTTGTGAGAAGCAAGTCAGGATCCAACCCAGACACTGAATCAGAAACTCTGGGGATGTGTCCAGCAATCTGCATTTTAACAAGCTCTCTAAGGAAAAGCCAAATTTTGAGAGCCACTGACTTAATATAATTTGTACCTCTGCTATTCTAAAATTCTATAAGAAAAAGCTCATTAGAAAATAGCATTCTACAAATGCTCCCAAGGGAACCAGAGAGAACATTTCAAACAGGACTCTACACAAGAGTGTAATATCTGATCATGCCTGCTCACATCAGGTTTGGCATAGAGTTTCACACGACATGTTCACGTTCTGAGCCAGCCGTGTTCTAGGTGATGTAACAGGCACACCCAGAACTGACGCTGTGAGGTCCTTTACTCACCCCACATCTCTAGAAAAAAGAAAAAGGGACTAGAAAAAAAACAAGGAAAGAGGAGTATTTGTGTGGAAATGGGAACAACATGAGCTAAAAACATGATGTTTAAATATATTCACTACATTGATCAGAGAAAAGACCAAAATAAAACTAAAAAGTGACAGAGACAGGAACAAGATTTGGAGATTATACACATTTGCATAGGGTGCATAGAGTAAATGTCAAAGAATACTATGCTTAACACACATGGGACTCCCCTGGGAGCAACTTGTTAAAATGCAGATGCTCATTCCTCAGGACTGTTGTGTGTCCAAAGCCTGCATTTCCAACAAGCTCCGAGGCAATGTCTTGCTGCTGGTCCACGGACCACACTTTGAGGGCAAGAGTACATATAACAGATGGTTCAGACCTTTCTATTTCTAGCATAAATGAGAAACTTCTGATTTAAATATAACAAATACTCATTTAACTGACACAACTTCAGTAAGAGAAATTTCTCTAATAATTATAATTTGTCTCATAATAGAATTCACAATTAAGGTATTTTAATTACACAAAACATGGAGACCCATGGAAAAAAAGACTTCTAAAAAGGGAAGAGAGGTATTTGCTTAGGACTCCCTACCTTGGCCAAGAAGGGCAAACAAGATGGCAGGTTGATGAGGAAAGGTTTCCTCCTGCTAGTGACTAGATAATGAGTTACTTCCTTAAAGTTCACAAAGTGTTGAGAAAATGGGTGCACTCTGGGTGCCAAAGGCCAAATTCAACAAGGATTATGCAGGAGCCACAAGGATCTTCACAAACTGCTGACATAAAAAATTAGGAAACACAGCCAGTGCTAACAGAGAGGACCTACACTACAATCATCAATCAATCTGATCATGAAAACCTGATCCCCATAAAGATTGGTCATAAGAAAAAACAGGCCCACTAAACCAAAGTCCAATCCATGCCAGACTAATCAGATCAGAATCACAGAGGACTAGGACACAGGCATCTATATTTAAAGCCTCCACAGGGATTCTGAGGCACAATCAGTGTGTGTGTGTGTGTGTGTGTGTGTGTGTGTGTGTATACTTGCCACATAAGGCAAAGGCTGTATATATTACTGTACAGCGCTCTCTCCCAGAAACAATCAAATCTAATCAAGAAGAAGCAACTCAGACCATGAGACATTCCATAACACAACTGGCCTGGACTCTTAAAAAATGTCATCATAAAAGACAAAAGACTAGACAAAAAAAAAAATGGCAGACAACTCTTCCAGATGAAAAGAAACCAAAGAGACACAACTCTGTAATATGTAATCTGGACCAAAACAAATACAAAAAACGGTTGTAAAAAGTCATTAAGAAGATACTAGAGACATGTGAATAGGAATTGTGTTTTAATATTACTGTATCAAGGTTACATTTCTGAGGTCAGCTAACAGTACTGCAAAGAAGTCCTAGCGCTCAGGAGACACACGCTGAAAATGTCAGACACATTATGTCAGGATGTCTGCAAAGTATTTCCAAATGGTACAGGAAAAAATATGATTGTGTATATACGAACATAAACTACTCAACTAGTTATTGTAAAGTACTACATAGACACACACACACACAACATGCACACATGCAGATGACAAATATAAAGCAAATGTGACATACCAACAACTGGCGAATCTAAGTGAAGGATATTCGGGTGCTCACTATATTAGTCTTTCAGCTATTTCTAGGTTATAAAGTTTTGAAAACAAAAAAGTGAAGAACAAGAAGGCAAACTCCCCCATTATGCTAAACTTACTTAAAACCAAAGTTTTTGGCCAAGCACCATGGCTCATACCTATAATCCCAGCACCCTGGAAGGCTACGGCAGGTGAATCACTTGGGCTCAGGAGTTTGAAACTCACCTGGGCAACATAGTGAGACCCCATATCTACAAAAAATACAAAAATCAGCCAGGCATGGTGGTAAGCGCCTGTGGTCCCTTCTACACAGGAGGCTGAGGTAGGAAGATCACTTGAACCAAGGAAGCGGCGGAGACAGTGGGCTGAAATCACACAAATGCACTCTAGCCCAAGTGACAGAGTGAAACCCTGTCTTTAAAAAAAAAAAAAGTTTTCAATAAAAGATAAATGAGACAAGTACTTTAATAATCTGTTTATTTATTTATTATTTTTTGAGACAGTCTTGCTCTGTCTCCTAGGCTAGAGTACAATAGCACAATCTCTGCTCACTGCAACCTCCACCTCCCAGGTTCAAGCAATTCTCCTGTCTCAGTCTCCTGAGTAGCTGGGATTACAGGCAGCTGCCACCACGCCTGGCTAAGTTTTGTATTTTTGCGCAAGATGGGGTTTCACCATGTTGGTCAAGTTGGTCTTAAACTACTGACCTCAGGTGATCTGCCCGCCTCAGCCTCCAGAAGTGCTGAGATTACAGGCGTGAGCCACCACGCCCAGCCAATTTGTTTATTTTTTTGTGAAACAGGGTCTTATTGTGTTGCCCAGGCTGGAAGTGCAGTGATGCGATCATGGCTCATTATAGCCTCTACCTCCAGAGTAGCTGGGACAACATGCACATGCCAACACACCCAGTTAATGTTTGAAATTTTTAATTTAAATTTTTTTAATTAAACTTTTTTTTTTTTGAGACAGAGTCCCTCTGTCACCCAGGCTGGAGTGCAGTGGCGCCATCTCAGCTCACTGCAACCTCCGCCTCCCAGGTTCAAGCAATTCTCCTGCCTCAGCTTTCTGAGTAGCTGGGATTACAGGCACGTTTCACCACGCCCAGCTAATTTTTGTATTTTTAGTAGAGATGGGGTTTCAACATCTTGGCCAGGCTGGTCTTGAACTCCTGACCTTGCGATCCACCCGCCTTGGCCTCCCAAAGTGCTGGGAGTACAGGCATGAGCCACCGCACCCGGCCTGTTTGAAAATTTTTTTGTAGGGACAGGGTCTCACTTTGTTTGTTGGTCTCGAGCTCCTGGATTCAAGCAATCCTCCCATGTTGTCCTCCCAAAGTGCTGGGATTACAATGACCTGTCCTTGTTCATTCTTGAATTTAAGTACAACTGCTCTGTTTAATTAAATGCAGTCTGTTTTCTACTACAAGGGTGCACTCACAGTTATTTCAGATTAATTTAGAAATAAATCTCAGTCAGCAACTGAGATTTGATTATGAATTTTATATATGAATACAAATATATATGTGAAAACTACATACCAAACAAATGTTCGATTCCTATAAGAAGTTACGTATAAATCTTCTACGGTAAAATGAAGGAGCTGAGGTAAAGTCAAACTTAAGAGTTTAATATTCAAGAACATGCACAAATTCAACATTATTTCTATACCTGTGTCTGTCTTCAAAAAACTGGTACTCGATTCTTGCATCTCCTTTTGGTTGTGCTGACAGGAGAGCATCCACCTTCATTACCAAGTCACTTGCCCTGAAAGAATGGGTTAGAGAAATCTTAGCATCTTTTTAACAGAAAGTTTTCCAATTATTGCCAAACATACCATCAGCCCAAATACTGAATGCTAACAAGACGGTTTGAACAAGGTCTAAAGTTTGTATTAACAGGCATGAGAAAGATTGATTATTGTTATAACCTTGAAGAAGCTGCTCATTTTCCCACATGTGAAATGGAAACAGCACCCGTTCTGCATGACTCTTGTAAAACTGCACAACTCTGCAATGCACCTAGCTGAGGCCCTCGCCTATCTATTACAGGCTGTATTGTGTATATTCTCTCTTGTCCTTTTAAAATATTTTTTAAAATAATTACTACTTTTTATGACTATTAGAGTAATAATTGACTGGAAAAACATACTGAAAAATAAATATGAAGACAAAAACTGAAATTACACATTACATCATCAAGAAATAAGCTCTGATATTTTGGCTCATAATTCTGTATTTTTAAATATCTATAACCAAAAGTGGGATTACACTGACAGCCTGCATTTTTACTTAAAAATATATCATAAAAATCCTTTGGTTAATAAATACAGCAGTATTTCAATATTTTTGCTTGTTTGTTTTAGACAGGGTCTCACTCCAGTTGTCCAGGCTGTAGTGCAGTGGCTTGATCTCAGCATCCTTGACCTTCCACGCTCAGCTGATTCCCCTACCTCAGCCTCCCAAGTCGCTGGGACTACAGGTGTGTAACACCAGGCCCAGCTAATTTTTTGTATTTTTAGTACAGACAGGGTTTTGCCATGTTTCCCAGGCTGGTCTTGAACTCATGGGCTCAAGCAATCTAACTCCCAAAGTGCTGGGATAACAGGCATAAGCCACTGTGCCTAGCCTATTTCAATGTTTTTTTATGACTGCATAAATATTGTATTTATGGACACAAAATAATCTAAATATCAAACCAATCGACTACTGAACATCTATGTTGTTTCTAATTTCACTATTATAATTAACACTGCAGTAAACAACTTTAAAAAGAATTTTATTGCCCCTGCCTCTTCTAAAATTGATTTCTAACAGAAAAAGATCTTGAACTAAACCTGAAAAAAAAAAGCTCCAATTTGCTGAACCAAAGACTAAATCCTGAGTAAGAATTTAAAAAGAGTATTTGTGAATGTATCTGAACGATAATTAAGCCTATATATTTTCTTTGAATGCAGCAAATATATCAAATTAACTATTTTGGTTCAACTTCTCAATATAAATGCCAAATATCTATAATATAGGCCATTCTCTTCCGGATGTGTCAATATGGTCACAAAACATATCAAGGGCGCTTGGTTATATGGACTGGGGTGAGAAGGCCAACAAGAAACTCCCTGAAGGCTGATGGAGTACCATGATCAAAGCATCCGGAGCCAAGCTTCAGGACAGCCTTGGAATGCAGGTTGGGTCATGAATGATAGCTGTGGCTGTCACAGGGAAGGGGACCACTCCAAGGTGGGGCAACGTATGCCTGTGGCATGGCTGCTTCGAGTCATGAGTACCTCCTGGCCCATATCATGGAAGAGTTTCATAGGCCAGGACAAAGGGCATCACTCAGGAGCCACTGAGTTAAGAGGGACGCTCCTTATTTGACCCAGTATTGACCAAAATGAGAAAAGATTTCTTCCCATATCATACCAGACATGGCAACAGTTGACTTTAACAACTTTCCAAGTCAACATTTCTCTAAAACATGCCCTTTAACTCTGCAGCATAATGATGTAAGAAAAAAACCCAGCAGAACTTTTATATATATATATTTATTTTGTTCCTTTTTATGAGATGGAGTCTCACTCTGTCACCCAGGCTGGAGCACAGTGGTGCAATCTTGGCTCACTGCAACCTCCCCAGAAGAACTTTTAAATTTTATATCCTCCAACTATGCATCAAAGAACACATCTCCACAGAATGGGAGAAAATGTTTGCAAATCATGTATCTGGTAAGAAAGTAATATCCAGAATGTATAAAGAACTGCCACATCTCTACAACAATAAAAACAACCCAGTTAAAAATGAGCAAAGGAGACGGGCATGGTGGCTCACACCTGGAATCTCAGCCCTTTGGGAAGCTGAGGCAGGCAGATCACAAAGTGAGGAGTTCGAGACCAGCCTGGCAACATGGTGAAACACCATCACTACTAAAAATACAAAAAAAAAATTGGCTGGGCATGGTAGTGCATGGCTGTAATCCTAGCTACTCAGGAGGCTGAGGCAGGAAAATCACTTGAACCCAGGAGGTGGAGGTTACAGTAAGCCAACATGGCGCCACTGCACTCCAGCCTGGATGACAGAGCGAGACTCCGTCTTGGGTCGGGGGAGCCCAAAGGACTTAAATAGACATTTTCCCAGAGATACATATGTAGCCAATCTGCACATGACATGATGCTCAACATTACCAATCATTAGGAAAATGCAAATCAAACCACAAAGAGATAGCACTTCATACCCATGAGGATGGCTATTATAAAAACCAAATAAACAAAAATCCAGAAAATTACAAATGTTGTGAGGATGTGGAGAAACTGAAATCTTTGGGCATTGTCAATGGGAACGTAAAATGGTACAACCACTGTGGGAAAAGGTATTGCATTTCCTCAAAAAATTATATATAGAAATATATCCTCCAGCCGGGTGCGGTGGCTCACGTCTATAATCCCAGAACTTTGGGAGGCCGAGGCAGGTGGATCACGAGGTCAAGAGATCGAGACCATCCTGGTCAACAAGGTGAAACCCCCGTCTCTACTAAAGATACAAAAATTAGCTGGGCATGGTGGCGTGCGCCTGTAGTCCCAGCTACTCGGGAGGCTGAGGCAGGAAAATTGCTTGAACCCAGAAGGCGGAGGTTTCGGTGAGCCAAGATTGTGCCATTGCACTCCAGTCTGGGTAACAACAGTGAAACTCCGCCTCAAAAAAAAAAAAAAGAAAGAAATATATCCTCCAACTACACAGTCATCTGATATTTAATGCAGAGACTAGGTATATATAACATGGACTACAGGTTCCATCCAAACAATTTATTTTCTTCCATTAAGAGAAATAACAAGACGAAAATACATCAGCTTATAATAACACTGAAATACTTAAAATAAAAAAAATAAAACAACCAAATCATCATCACCTTTGAAGACACAAGGGAAACAACTCAGTAGTCTTACTGGTAAATAAAAGAAAGATTTAAACTGCCTTTCTTTTCCTGAACAAAATAAAACTGAAGGGAATCAAATAGGTAATGAGGGAAAGTATCACTTTACATAAGTATTCCAGGTAATAAATAAACTAGCCTCTTTACTTCTGCACATATTTGAAATTTTTCACAACCAAAAGTTATAAAAATAAAAACAGAACTAATTCAGTTCTTTACAGAGTAGACTACAAAATAAATTCTCTTGTTTCAATAGAAGCATACATTTGAATTGAAGAGTATTATTAGATTTGAAAACTGGAAATAAAACACCATGGGATATGTAGTGAGTGACAATAACAATATACAATCCTAACTGACCAATGAAGAAATTACATAACCCCTGTAATTCCTCCTATGGCAAAACTTACACATCTTCTTCTACCCGAAGCTGTTGAATGTGAGATTTTATTTTCTGTCCTGACGTTTTTAAGATGATATTTTCGAGGAGGTGGAAATCGTCTTGATTAAAGAGCTCACTATCCTTCAGTGGCCCAATGATCTGTGAAGGAGAGAAAAGCAGGCGCTCAGAGCTGGAAGGCTGCCTGCACTCAGCAAGCTGGTAAGAAACCCTCTGGCGTCCTCAGGCTATCTCATACACCAGGTCACCTTAAAAAAGCTGAGGCAGGTACATGTCTAGATAAAATCAGTGAAACAATACAAAGTGAAGCCCAAAATAAATATTTATAGCTACATGTTTACTTATCGATTCCTCAAGGACACAGTGTAAACCTGTGTACATCACAGTATTTTACAGTAAGCGAACTCCAAAGTAAAATAAAATTGCAATGTAGTTTTCATTAATTCTCCCCGAATAAAAACAACAAAGGCCACTTAATGTGTCAAAGGCCATACTGATTTACTGTCTGAGAGCCACCACTATCTCTCACTGCCTCACACAATGGCAGGACACAAATCGACAGCAGGAAGGTTCCACTCAGGGATATTTGCCTATGTCAAAAAGCACAGCCCCTTGGAAATAGGAGGCAGAAACATCACTGGCACTTCATAAACCCCAATCACCTTTGAAAAAAGAGTGGCTCTGTTTGAAGAGTTTACTACCTTCAGAGAAGAATTCTGCAAAGACTGTTCACAGAGCTAATGTGAAGTCAAGCTTGACAAATCCTCACCCTTCCATTGCTGATCACTGCCCTCTGTCCCTTCTTCAGCTTCAGAACATCCCTGCAGTACATGGCATGAGACAAAATGAAATCCATTTTGGAAGACTCAAAGACCTCTTTAAAAAGACTGAAATCCATTCCCTAGGAAAGTAATCATTATTAAGGAAAAATAGTCATTATTAAGCAAACCATATAAACAAAAAAACACAGTGAATAAAACATAAAATTCTCTTTTCCTGGAAAGAAATAACTAATTTTCATAATTAACATTAACCTGTGTCAATTCTTCAGTCTCCCCACCATCTCCCTACTACTTAAAGTAACTGCTATTTCCTTATCTTTTCCTGTGATTTGTTTGGCTGGCAGACTATTCTTCATTCCTTTATTCTGCATTTTAAAATCTTTTTAATTTCCAGTGACAGCTTCTTTTCCTAACTGGAGTTTCAAATAATGTATACTCAACATTCTGTAAAAAATTTAAAAACTACAAAACTGTGTCAAAAAAATAAGTAACAGATAATACAAATGAACAAACACAGGCTTACTCTGGAAACACATCAAGAACCTATAAGCCTTGAACCCATAAGTGGCTCAAATCTCCATTTTTTTTGCTCTATAAATAAGTCATATTGTCTCTTTTAAAAACTGTATATAACAAAATGGCCCCATACTTAACACAAAACTCAAATGATACACCACAAGAAAGCTAGGGAAGGTTAAAACAAAGGGAATGTGACAGAATTATTTCTTGGAAAGACTCTTCCAAATTAAAAAAATTTCCCTGAGACTCAGGACTAAAATGACAAATCATGATCATGATCCGGACATGTAAGTCACAGGGAGTGAGCTTCTGCAGAGAGAATGCTGCCTCATGAGAGGCTCAGAGCCTTACCCCAACAGAGAACTCCGCAATGTCAGCTCCTGCAGCCAGGGCCTCTGCAGCCCCCTCCTTGGCCATTTTGGTGATGAAGTTCTTAGCAGCGTTGGAGGTCTGAGTTTGGAGAGCTGCCCAGATTGCTCTGGAAATCTGAGTGTTCTCATAGCTTATCTCTTTGGCAGGATTATTTATCATGCTTATTCTAACATTGTTACTGGATTTCTGTTCACAAAATGGGAAATGAGAGTCATATGGTAGGTATTTTTGAACTTAAAAAGCAGCATTAACATCAGTCATGTTTAATAAGTAGCAAATAGGATCTCTCTTAAAAGTCTCAAGTAGTTCTCCTCTGCATAAAATTAAAATGCCATCATCAAGCATTCAAAACCTTACATGTGTGGCCTCCAGCCCACCTTTCCAATTTCATTTCTTACTACCCCTGTGTGTTTGAAGAATATAAAATGTGGTATGCCTCACACTGGCATACCAACCTCAACTACATTACATCTTTACCTCCTTAAGTTCTAACCATTTTTCAGTGCTCTGCTCAAACCCATGGCCTTTCCACATTCCGAATACAAGTCAGTCTCTCCCTGGGTGAAAAGACAAGAATCCAAGTGTGTATACCCAGGACACACAAAGCCAAAAAATGGCTTGTACCGATAACATAAGCAACAGAAATTTATATTTGTGTGTACCAAGAGACATATAAGAATATTCACAGCAACAGTCTTATAATGGCACCAAACTAAAAACCCAACTGTCCTTCAAACAGCATAAACAAACAAAACTTTGTGGTACAGCCATATGATATAATATTACAGGATGAAAAAGGACTATATACCCCTACTTGTAACATCATGAATAAATCTCACAAAAAATTGAGCAAAGAAACCAAACACAAATGAAATTGCATATGATTTCATTTTAATAAACTAAAAGATAGGCAAACCTATTATCTAATGTGAGAAGAGAGAAGAGGGGTAGTGTCTGGGCACGAGTATGGGAGGGCTTTTAGGAACTTAAGAATTCTTTATTTTTCAACCTGACAGGTGGTCACAAGAGTGTGTTCTCTTTGTGACACTGATTTGAGCACTTCCTGTGAACCTACATTTTACTTCAATTAAAACAGTTATTAAAGAATGCAACTCTCCCTCCCCATTCTCCTACCCTAGTACCACTTGAAGATGTATGCATTTGTGTTAGAGTGCCTTTCACATATAACTATCACCCTTAGCTAGAACTGCCCCGATCTAACTTCAAATTGACCACAGCATTTGGTCCACTCCTTGAACAACACCAGGACACACAAAGCCAAAAAAGGGCTTGTACCAATAACATAAGCAACAGAAGGGCACTCAGCACATAAGTACAATCGAAACCACCTGGACATTTCCTTATTTCATTAAGCCTTCCCAGGTACGGGGTATAAAGGGGACCATGAGGAGGGCTGTGAGATACGGATGAAGATGCAAACTGAAACAGCTCAGGAAAAACAATTTTGACATCTTATCCTCTAACAATGATCCTCTCCAGAAGAATTACCTGCTTCTCAACCACCTGCCACTGCCACTTACTCAAGCTCAACTATTCATGGCAGCATATCTTTTCAGAGCATCTATGTGTGTTTCTCTCTGCGCATCTGGATCTACCTCTGGTAAACACACACACTAGCATTCCTGTGTGCCACTGCCCCCACGTCCAGACCTCTGTTGTGGGAAGGACCCCATCTCCCTGATACTACAAAGCACAATCGCTGGAGCAACTCTGTGGCAAGAACATGAACAGTCATGCGATAAAACTTGTCTATGATGAGGAGCTCACTATTTATTTTTGTCTCTATAAGAATCTATTCCTTTCAACAAAGCCTGGATACTGCAGTCTTAGATCTCCTTTCTTGTGAGCTGGCAGATCTCTAGAGATACGATGCTCTGTTCCCTTAATCATTAAGAAAGCAGGACTCCCAGCTCCCACTGAACAATCTGAGCTGCACAGCAATGACCATGAGGACAACGAAAGCCACAAACAAAAATATAAAATGAAGTCATAGATACTTGCCTGATGCCTGATGGCATCATACAATAACTGCCGTCCAGAAGGACTATCAAAATCCCCAACAATCCAAAAAGTTACTGGCCTAATAAAAGAATCATCTGTAGAAAAACAAAAACAACTAATTGAGTTGGAAGAGAAAAGCACATTCTGTGTTTCAACATTCTGAAAATGAAATTGACCAAATAATTTGTGAAAACCATGCAAAAAGAAGAAAATGACAAACTTAATAAAGACAGAAGGAAAGGTAGTACAATTTACTACAAGGAAAGCAGGGGAATCTTCCACAGAGTTTAGTTACAGACTAGGAACATGCACTAATGAATTCTACTGTGGTCTGGGCATCTGTCAGCATGTAAAGTAAAAAATAGCCTTTGAACATGTGGGCAACATACTGTCATTTTTTTTGACTGATTTTTTTCTGGCAGGAACAAGGAGAAGAAGGGCATACTGTCATTTTTAATCATCTTCATTTGTAATTTTCTGAAAATTCTTTAGAAATATTTATACAAAATTTATCTACATTGGCTGGGTGCAGTGGTTCATGCCTGTAATCCTAGCACTTTGGGAGGCTGAGGTGGGTGGATCACTTGAGGTCAGGAGTTTGAAACTAGTCTGGCCAACACAATGAAACCCTGTCCCTACCAAAAATACAAAAAATTTAGCTGGGTGTGGTCACAGGCACCTGTATTCCCAGCTACTTGGGAGGCTGAGGCAGGCAAATCACTTGAATCCAGAAGGCAGAGGTTGCAGTGAGCCGAGATCATGCCACTGTACTCCAGCCCAGGTAACAGAGCAAGACTCCGTCTCAAAAGAAAAAAATTATCTACATTGATATAGCCTCCTGTTACTCACAGATTCCAGAAACAGTACAATTAAGTGTTGATAAATTCTAAATTACACTGGTTGCTGAAACCACCAAAGAAAATTAAGAAATAGAACATTCTAAAGTTTTAAGTTACCATAGATTTCCTTGGAGGACATTCCTGGACAAAGGTAAAGAGAAAAGAGTAGAAGAAAAGAAAATATCATTTCTGTAATGAATGCCTACTATAAGAGTCAAAAATCTAAACAATGGCTAACATGGTCTATACTTCTTTCTCTTGCTTAGTCTCATCAGCATCACGGTACTGTCCTAGTACCCAGAGAAAGTTTCTTTAAAGAATCAAATGGAGTAATTGCCTGTATTCTACAAACTGCTGGAAAAGCAGAACGTCTCTCAGGGAGAGACCATAGTGGAAATTTAAAAATTGGATAAAAATAGCTGCCTTGAAAGGCAGCCAGCGCTTTTTTGAAGCACTGATCAGAGGGGCACAGAATCTGTCCACCACTAAAGTGCATCATTTTATAAAATCTTAGCCTAAATAAATACTTCTACATAAAATCAGCTTCAAAGATTATACAAGGCTTCCTAAAACCAACTTTTATAAAACCCAAAACAATATTAACCCTGTACTGTCATTTTAAATCCATTAACCCATTTTTACAACATAAATGTTTTTCCATTTGAACTATGAAATATTTTCCTTTTGACTTAACAGGTAATACAAAATTTATAAAGATGTTTGAATTCTTAAACAAATGTAGATTTTAAACAAATATACAAGGATTAAATTTGAAATATTTTCTAAATTCAAAGCATATAAGAAATAAGAAAAATTATGAAGTCTCTTTCCCTTAATTTTTCTCCTAATTTGCACATTAAGATGAATATGCAAATACTTTTATAAAAATGTTGAATGCAAGATAAGCCTCAAATGGATTACCTTTCTTTGTCAGATAGTTCATACTGTTGACTACAGCAGCAGTCTTGCCTTGGGAATCCAATGTAGTAAATCTAGCATAATCATCCACAAAGAAGTTATCTGGGAGAAAAAATGAAATAGGTATATATTAAGTTCCAGTTAAATCTAATGTCAATATTCAACTGATAACGTGACTTGATCATAATAATGAGACTTATAAAAATGCATGAGCAAAGTATATTAACTTCCATGTTTACTGAACAAGTTCACAACATGGTCCCATCCCTACTGAAGTCACATATCAAAGATACAAGGTTGATGAAAACATACATATCTCATACAGCTATCATATAAGTATGTGTCAGTTTAATGGCAGAAATTTTTCCTATTCCCATTCCTGTCACTTGTCAACTAGAGAATAATCTCAAAGAGATCCCTTTAACTCATTTCTCCCTTCCCCAGTCCAATCAGTAGAGTAAGCTCTTCCTGTTCCTATGGAGGAAGCAGGGGTAAAAGAGAAAACATATAATAAAACTGGTTTATTTTGTAGGTCTAACAAAATATCACTTTTTAAATGCTTAACAGAAATAAAAGGTCACTGTCACTCTTTTCAGATATGTACCTTCTCCAATTAGTGTCAAAGGGCAATACTCATTATTCATTTCCCGCTCAGATGATTATTCCTAGAACTCCAGTTTCATCAAGTCATTCTCTTGCTCTAAACTACTCACTAATTTCTTGCAGACTATAAAATGGTCTCCAGCCTAGTAACATAAACCCTCTGTCTCTAACAGTCTCCCCAATCCTAAACATTATTGCACCCTACACAAATGTCAGTCTTCTCATCGCTGTCATATACAGTTTGCCTGCCTACCCACCCATCTATTCATCTGTGCACACGCTCATTCATCTATGCTATCACTTGACAATGCACACTGAACACCTACTATCCATAAAATTCGATCCAGGAAAACAGCAGAAAATAAGTCAGACATGGTCCATTTTGTGAAGGAAGGGAGAGCACACCATACCAGCAAAAATTAGTATCCTACTAAAAAGGCTCCAGGACAGCCAAAGCCAAAGAAACATGGGTGATGGTGCCATCACCACCAGGTCAGAAGGATGTCAGTGCCTCCTAATGGACGTTTGCACTGGGTTCATCCAACAGCCGGCATCTTTGCCACTGTGGTCTAGCATTGTTTCATAGCTCATTACAGCAACACTCAATGGAAAAGGAAATTAAAAAACAGAACCGTTATTATGCTCCTATTCGTGTGTATTCCAGAGACGACCTTTCAAGTTTAAATAAAAATGATGAAAACAACAAACACTTAGGACAAAGAGTCACAACACGCTCACCTTGCTCTACTGAAACTTCAGGGAAGAAAGGAAAACCCAGCTGTGAAGAAAAAACTCACTTTCTGGGTAGTTTCTTTCTCAAATATAAGCCTATACTTACATCTTTTCCTCAGTGTGTATGCTTATGTATGTATGTTATACACACTCACACATACACACAAATATATATATACACATATATATGTATAATATATGTGTATTTTTCCTCTACCTAAAAGAAACTTTCAAGTCGATTAGAGATAGTGCATTAACAACCATAGATTCCTACATTCATTATACTCAACTATAATAATAAATGTTGGTTCCAACTTCATTACACACATCTTTCCTTCCCCAGTGAGATTTCATGGGCTAGTGACGACAGTTCCATCTCATTTCCAGGTGTTTGCTGAAGTGGCCTTCAGAGTCTCAAGGAAGGCACAGAGGACAAATTGCACCTGGACTTAACATATTTTTTGGCTCTTATAAGGTATTCCAGTGGAAAACACCCAAATGTCCACCAACTGAGGAACAGATACATGTGGACTATGCACAAAGTGGACTATAAAAAGGAATGAAATGCTGACGTATCAACAACATGCATAAACCTTAACATGTTAAAGAAGCCAGGCACAAAAGGCTTCCAACTATATTAAATGTATAGAATAGGCAAATCCATAGAAACAGAAAAGTAGATTAGTTGTTGCCAGGGGATGGGGAAAGGGAGGAACAGACAGTGACTACTAATAGGTACACGGAATTTTGGGGGGTGATAACAACATAAAATTAGACCGTGGTAATGACTGCACAAACTTTGTGGTTTTCTCATTTAAAAAAAACATTAAATTGCATACTTTAAAAGGCTGAGTTTTACGGAATATTCATTGTATCTTGGTGAAGCTGCTAAAGGCATTCCTAAGTTCTTACAGTGAAATTCAGTGAGATATCTGTGGACTTTATGGCTGATTCTAGAATGAGGATGAAGAAAGAGAACTGCTTTATGACTAGGGAAGCCAAAAATCCAGGTCAATTCTCATTATCAATTGTCTGTTTAGTTGACATTTAAATGGCACTAAATATTTTTCAAAGTTTCAGGGTTTTGTCCAGGAAGATGTTTTCTTCTTTAGGAGGAAACTCATGAATTTAGAAGGTCATAATATGAACTAAAGGTGCAAAGTGTTTACACATAAAATTTTCTCACAATCTTGGGCTATCTTCTGAACACTGCAGAAGATAATCAGAATATTAAAATCTGAAAAAATGTAAAAATTCTGAAAATCTATAAAAGTCAAAAAAAAAGTATAAGGTTCCTGAAATGCTCCTTACTACTTGCTGTCAAATCCAGGTAGTCTCGTTCAGCTGTCAAAATCCTAGAATTGATTCGTGGAACAACATTTGGCTGATTCATGATATACTCCACCACATCTTGATCATGGGGCAGTTCACCCTACAAGAAAAAAAAAGGAGTTGAGAGGGAAGCATAAAGCAAATTTGAGCAACAATAATTCATTAGGAACTAAAAACTTATTAACTTTATAAACAGCTTCCTCTGTGCTAATAATAGTTAAGACAGAAATTACCATGCTATTGGTCCCTGTCACTGCCAAGCATACCTGGGCACATTGCCTACAGCATCTCTACCTCTACCAACAATGTGAGGAAAATGTTGACATTCATTGTAAAGATGAGGAAGCTAAGGCACAGAAAGGTTAAATAACTTACTCAAACTCACAAGGCCAATGCAAAGCGATTATGAAATGCAAATCCAGACCAGGAGCAGTGGCTCACACCTATAATCCCAGCACTTTGGGAGGCTGAGGCAGGCAGATTGCTTGAGGTCATGAGTTAGAGACCAGCCTGGCCAACATGGTGAAATATACTAAAAATATTTCTGTATTTTTAGTATCTCTACTAAAAATACAAAAGTAGCCAGGCGTGGTGGCAGGTGCTTGTAATCCCAGCTGGAGGCTGATGCAGGAGAATCACTTGAATGTGGGAGGCAGATGTTGCAGTGAGCCAAAGATACAGAGTGAAACTCTGTCTCAAGGGAAAAAAAAAAGAGAAAAAATGCAAACCCATGTTTATTTGGTCTCTCTACACACCACTGTGCTTTCCCACAAGCTCAACAAACTAGTTAAGGGTTAACATAAGCAAAAATCCATCTGCAGAACTACTCATACTTAGCTTCTTTCTTAAGGAAAAAACCAAAGGTCTTCTCTCAAGCAGTTAATACGCTTTGTAATAAAACCACTTCCATCTTTGTTCAATCTCAGCCATCCAAGTAACCCTGTATCTCCAGAGTTAGAATTACAATGAGAGGAGGAGAAATCATCTGTCATTTATTCTTCCCTTTTCCATAGCTCATATTACAGAAAAAGTTATACTTCTTGAAGGTGACCTCAGAGCCATGTGTCAACAACTATGCAAATGTGCAGATTTACAAACTTAAAATATTTAACACACAAGTATATTTTAAAGGCATTTTCTTTTTTATCCTGAGACAGGGTCTTCCTCTGTCACCCAGGCTGGAGGGTATAATGAGATCCATAGCTCACTGCAGTCTCAATCTCCAAGGCTCAAGGGATTCTCCCACCTCAACCTCCCAAATAGCTGGGACTACAGGCATGTGCTACGACACCCAGCTAATTTTTGTATTTTTGTAGAGATGGAGTTTTACCATGTTGCCCAGGCTGGTCTCAGACATCTGGGTTCAAGAGCTCTCTCTCACCAGGTCCTTGCTAAAGTCATTTTCAAGATAAAGATGTGAATCAAATATACACATTCAAGTCTAAATAATTCCAATTAGACATTGCTTGTAGCTACTTAATAACGAGCATATGAACCAAACCATACCAATCAAAAGACTTACAAAGGTATTAGATGGCTCACTGTACATCTTGGCCCATGTACAAAACTTTGGTCAATACTATAAATCTACCTCATCCAATTAGAAGCCTATCTAGTTCAAGGAGGGGAATTTGGCAAAGTCTATAAAAATTTTAAATGTCAGCTGGCAGGGTCTGGGGAAGGCGCAGCAGGTGCCATGTCCAGCTGTGAAGGTGCTGCTGAAACGGGCCAAAGAGATGGATGAAGATAAGGCTTTCAAGCAGAAACAAAAAGAGGAGCAGAAGAAGAAATAAAAATAGGAATTAAAATTGAAGGCCATGGGGAAGGGTCCCCTGGCCACAGGTGAAATTAAGGAATCTGGATCCAGCACAGTGGCTCATGCCTGTAATCCCAGCATTTTGGGAGGCTAGTGGATCACCTGAGGTCAGGAGTTCAAGAGCAGCCTAGCCAACATGTCAAAACCCTGTCTCTACTAAAAATACAAAAATTAGCCACCCATGGTGGCACACACCTGTAATCCCAAATACTCAGGAGGCTGAGGCAGAAGAATTGCCTGAACCTGGAACGCAGAGGTTGCAGTAAGCCGAGATCACACCCTTGCACTCTAGCCTGGGTGATGAAGCAAGCCTCCATCTAAAAAGAAATAAAAAAATCTGGCAACAAGCAAGTTGTGCCTTGTGCCTGAGGAGATGGTGACCCTTGATTTCATTCATATTTAAACATCTGTATTCCCTACCATAACATCTTTTGCCACCTATAGCTGGAATGAAGTGTTGTCTTGAAGCCTGCTGTACATTTAAGAATAAACATTTGTAAAAAATTTTAATTAAAAAAATAAAAAATTTTAAATGTAATACCTTCTGACCAGCTCTTCTATACACACACATGTGCATGCACACGTACGCGCGCACACACACACACACACAGAGTAGTTGAGGAAGAAATCATGAGTAGTACAGGACAGGAGTGTATGGGTAAAAGTTTCTCTTCACTTACATCTCTATATTTTGAATTTCATACCATCGGCATAGCATATCTTTTATTCTTTTTAAAGGAACAAGGTCATCGTCTGTCATACAGGCTAGAGTGCATTGGCATGATTATCACTCACTATGGCCTCAATCCTCAAGCAACCCTCCTGCCTTAGCCGTCCAAAGTAGCTCAGACTACAGGTACATGCCACAATGCCTGGCTAATTTTTTTTTAATTTTGTAGAGATGGGGCCTTGTTATGTTAGCCAGGCTGGTCTCAATCTCCTGGCCTCAAGTAATCCTCTAGCATCAGGCTCACAAAGTGCTGTATTACGGGCATGAGTCACCACAACTGGCTGATAATCCAACTTTTTTTAGTGTATTTAGTTCAAATTTTCTAATACTTGGTGTTTTTCAAGACAATGTACAAAGATACACACATATTAGAATATTCACGGTAGCACTGTTTGCAACTAGTGAAAATGTAGAAGTAATGTCCAACACTAGGAAATGAAGTAAATATTTATTTATTTATTTATTTATTTATGAGTCGGAGTTTCACTCTTGTCCCAGGCTGGAGTGCAATGGCATGGCTCACTGCAACCTCCACCTCCCAGGTTCAAGTGATTCTCCTGCCTCAGCCTCCTGAGTAGCTCAGATTACAGGCATGCACCACACCCAGCTAATGATTTTTTAAATGGAATACTAGCCATGCATGGTGGCTCATGCCTATAATTCCAGAACTTTGGGAGGCCAAGGTGGACAAACTGCTTGAGGCCAGGTGTTGGGAGAACAGCCTGAGCAATCTGGCAAAACCCCATCTCTCCAAAACAAACAATAATTAGCTGCGTGTGGTAGCACACACCTATGGTCACAGCTCCTTGGGAGGCTGAGGCAGGAGGATCACTTGAGCCCAGAAGTTCACGGCTGCAGTGAGCTATGATCGCATTCCCCGCACTCCAGCCTGGGTGACAGAGACCCTGTCTCAAAAGAAATTATGGTAAGAAAAGTGATCTTTGAGGCAATTAATTTGCCACATTACTATTTATATCTCCCCAGTTGCGCAAAGCCTTAAAAAATCAAGGGCCCCAAAATGAAACAACTAGGACACTAGAGGATTCTCAGGGGTTCTCTTTATTTGGGCTGAACCAGATCTCACTCAGTGCCAACAGCTTTTTCCCTGGTGGTATTTGTCAAAAACAATTAGGCAATTGTTTAACACCTGAGGGGCAGATAGCAAACGTGAAGCTGGTCAAAAAACAAAGAAAAGGCTGGGGAATGGGGGTGTCCATATGGGGCTTTGAAAAGCTCTGACAAGTTTCTTGGAATTTGAAAGACCATAAGCATCATGCCCAGGGGTATGTGAATGCCCAGGGAAAATCTTAGAAGGCCTTAAACCCTTGCCTCTAACCTTGGGGCTCTGTGCAAGCAAAAATGGAAGACTAAGGCAGAGTTATCAATTGTCTGGTTGAGTGTGGAAAGTGTGCCCCAATACAACACAGAGACCCTTAAGAAAAACTGGGCAACTTTTTGAATCGATGCATCGAAGAAAATCTCTGTTCACTGATCAGCTGACCAGTTAAACAGCTGAAACTTGAGAAGCCACACATGAAAAAGAATACAGATGTGAAAGAATTGGTTCAGGGCCAGGTGTGGTGACTCACACCTGTAATCACGGCATTTTGGGAGGCTGAGGCAAGTGCATCACTTGAGGCCAGGAGTTCAAGACCAATGTTCTGAAATTAGAGCCTGGCCAATGTGGTGAAACCTTGTCTCTACTAAAAATACAAAAATTAGGTGGGCATGGTGGCGTGCTCCTGTAATCCCAGCTACTCAGGAGGCTGAGGCACAAGAATAACTTGAACCTGGGAGATGGAGGTTGTAGTGAGCCAAGATTGCACCACTGCACTTCAGCCTAGGTGACAGAGCGAAACTCTGTCTCAAAAAAAAGGAAAGAAAAGAAAGAATTGGTTCAGAAAAGTCACTAAATAATAGTTACAACAATTAAAAAAACAAATCCTGGTACAGTGAAGAAGTATCACATTATATTATTTCAAATTTCTAGTTATAAAAAACAAAATTATTAAATATGCAGAAATGGTGGCTCATGCCTGTAATCCCAGCACTGTGGGAGGCCAAAGCAGAAAGATTGCTTGTGCCCAGGAGTTCAAGACCTGAGACCTGCCTGGGCAACACAGAAAGATCTTGTCTCCACAAAAAAGATACAAAAATTAGCCACATATGGTGGCATGCACCTATAGTCCCAGCTAATTGGAAGGCTGAGGTGTAAAGATCATTTAAGTCCAGGAGTTGGAGGCCACAGTGAGCTAAGATCATGTCACTGTGCTCCAACCGGAGTGACACAGTGAGACCCTGTATCCAAAAAAAAAAAAAAAAGACATGCAGAAAGAAAAGAGTACAGTGTACACTCAGGAAGAGAAAGGGCCAAGACAAACTATTCTAACTACTAAATAAAATGTGTAATATATATTCTTATATTATATTCATATTCTATTTAAGCCTAAACATTGGACTTAATTAGACAAAGAATTTAAATAAATGACTGCAAATATATTCAGGAACTAAAAGAAACGATGTCTACCAAAGTAAAGTTTAAGACCGATATCTCACCAAATAATATCAATAAACCAAAGAAAATCATCAAAAAGAACAAACAGAAATCTGGATTTATAAAAACTGAAATGAAGCATTCTCTAGAGGAGCTCAACGACAAAAGAAAAGAGTACGTGAATTTGAAGATAGATAAACTGAGATTAACTAGTCTGAGGAATATAAAGAATGAAACCTGTGGGACATGAGACAGTACCAACATACGCATATTTCCAGAAGGAGAGGAGGGAAGAGAAAAGGACAGTATGTAGTAAATAATTTGGCTGGTCCTAGTTCTTGGGATGTAAACTCTAAATCCAGTGATAGGAGTGTCCTTGTCATTCATGGTAAGCCCCTTAGATCACACATGATGGTTTCTACTATGAGGTGATGCACAGCGAGCCCCAAGAGTTTGTGCTAATGAGATGACTCAAGTTGGAGGCTACTAACACTAGAAAGACCAACCACATGATTAGAGGGTTGGGGTTCTCAGCAACAAGCTATCTGTCCAATAACATCCTGATCTTTGCAAATTCAATCTGTATAAAATGTCCAGAACAAGCAAATCCATTAAGCAGAAAGTAGGTTTGTGTTTGCCAGTGGCTGGGGGGCAGAGGAGTAGGACAAAATGGGCAAAATGGAGAGGAGTAATTGTTACTGGTTATGGGGTTTCTTTTGGGGGTGAAGATAATGTTCTGAAATTAGAGGTGGTAGTTACATAACTATATGTAGAGAGTAAAAACTACTTTAAGCCTAGGAGTTTTATGCTGTGTGAATTACATCTCAACAACTATATATAAATATTTACATATAAATGAAAAATAAAATTGTCTCTCTCCAAAATCAAAATTCCCTACAAATAGAACAAATGGTTCTTAGAACTGCTTGCAATTTTTAAAATAAACATTTAATCCTGAAATCAGTAATACTAGTTATTTCAATTACTGTATATAGATTTATGAATATTTTCATCATAGCAGGACTTGCCAAGAGTTCACAAACCAATTACTAGTGACACACAGAAAATAGCTTTTCATTTTTTTTTTTTTAACAGGACAGCATCTCACTCTATCACCCAGGATGGAATATAGTGAGGCAATCGCAGCTCACTGCTACCTTGAACTCCTGGGCTCAAGCAATCTTCCCATCTCAGTTTCCTGAGTAGCTAAGACTACAGGCGCGCACCACAAAGCCTGGCTAATTTATTTATTTATTTTTTTGAACAGAGGTCTTGCCATATTGCCCAGTTTGGTCTCGGACTTCTTACCCTCAAACCATCCTCTAGCCTCAGCTTCCCAAAGAGTGATGCTAAGAATTTTACTGCCTATTACAGAGGCAACAAAAAATGTAAGCCAACTTATTCATTTATTTATTTAGTGAGACGGAGTCTCACTCTGTCACCCAGGCTGGAGTGCAGTTGTGCGATCTCGGCTCACTGCAACCTTTGCCTCCTAGGTTCAAGAGATTCTCTTCCTTCAGCCTCCTGAGTAGCTGGAATTACAGGCACATGCCACCATGTCCAGCTAATTTTTGTATTTTTAGTAGAGGCGGGGTTTCACCATGTTGGTCAGGCTGGTCTCAAACTCCTGACCTAGTGATCTGCCCACCTTGGCCTCCCAAAATGCTAGGAAATGAGCCATTTCGCCCAGCCTCCAACTGTTCTCTCAAAATCAGCCTTGAAGTGTGACTCACCAAGTACACTGCTCTTTGGAAGAAGGTGGTGGTCTCCAGGATTTTATGCATTGTGATGGTTTCTAACTCATCAGGGTCTAGCTGTTCCTTTTCAAAGGGCATTCCATTGAACAGCACTACAGGCAGGGGGCCAACTCCAGTCTGCTCATAGTAGCCTCTTGCTTCCTGAAACAAAAGAATCCACAAAAACAACAGCATATTTTTGCCATTTGTAAGACAAATGGAACAAAGCATATTTTTCTTAAATGCCTGTTCTAACAACAAAACAAAAATCAATAGAAATATGGTAAAGAAAAAATAACTCAAGAGATTTCTTTTTTAAAAAATGAAAAATGACATCACAGTTAATATCCTACTATGTCAATCTGAGACTGAGTTACTGAGTTCGAGTTTTTATAAAACCACAAAAGCTTGCAAATTATGAAGTGGGTGTGTGGGTGTGTATGAGGGTGTGGGTGTGTATGAGGGTGTGTGTGTAGCACAGGGCATCAAAACTGAACTATATACTACAGTCAGCTTTACAACTATACAATGGAACTTTCTGCAATGAGGAAAATACTCTATCTGTGCTGCCCAATGCAGGGGCAACTAACCACATGTAACTATTGAGCACCTGAAACCTGCCAGCTATGACCAAGTAACTAAATCTTTAGTTTTAATTAATTTCATTTAAAATTATACATGTGCCCACAGGCTACCACACTGGGGTGCACAGGTTTTGACTACCATACGTTTTAAGTGCTCTGTGCAAAAAGCCTGAGGTAAATATTTACACTCAATTCTAAATTAGGGTCCATACCACTAACAACGAAATTGCACCTGCAGAAAACAAAACAAGGTTTGTAGGGGGTGCTCAAAAATTGCTCTAAGACATAATACACCCAATTTTTTCCGTTCTCCGTGACAAAAGAGATTCATCGGCCGGAAAATACTGAAGCAACAAAAGGCAAATGTATCTGAGATGGACATTCTTCCTGACACAGGCAATCTTCCCTCAGACTAATTTTTCTGAGTAAAAATTGTATTACTACCCAAGACATAAAGTGGGCAACTTTACAAATATCTATTACACATCTTGTAATTGTCATTTTCTGAAAGTAGCAGAGTTTAATGATTTCTAACCATTTTAGACAGCACCAGTAGAAAAGTACTTCCATTAGGTACCTAAATCGAGTCACAGGTAACAAACTGCTTACTTTCTAATCAGACTAGCAGAGTAACAGACTTCACTGACGGATTAAAACATGGCACAGCCAAATTTGGTTGGTTTCAGCCATTTCTATACATCATAGTCTAAATGTTCTAAACATACACTCTTAAAACTCTTACCATGTTCATTCTGTTCTTTGAAATCTCAACTATTACATAGATGTCCATTTAAACTCAATTTTAATCTAATTTTAGTTTTGAAAATCACCCCCTTCAACCAATTAAAACAAGACCAGAAAACTTACATTATAAATCCAAATGACAATACGATAAATAACATCGGTTTTCACTGCAAACAGTAACTGAGTGAAAGTTAAGACAGGAAGGTGTTTTCACTATGTATCTTCCTTTTCACCACTCATAGTTTACAAGACCAAATCACAGAACGCAGCACAATTATCAAACAGCCAAACCGAAAATTCATATGGACAAATTTTCTAGCAATAGCTAACTAAAAATGTTAAATAATAATAAATAATTAACAAACATTAATTTCTGGTAGTCTTATACTGAGCTACTCACAAATAACTGAGATTAGTAAAGACTCAAAGATAATATGCTAAAGGTAAAATGCTTGCATGTGTAAGTTAGAATTTTTCCTAATGTCATTATCTTACTGGCTTTGAAAGATATAAATATATACCTATCAGACTATATTCTCAATAGTTTAAAAGTTCTACTTTAATTGCATTGCCTACTTTTTAAAATAATTATTTCTTTCAGGCATAGATCTCATAGCTTCACTGTAACAAAGGAACAGATTTACAAGTGCAATGACATTTATTAAAAGCAGTCATTTTTCCTAAAATTAACCATTTCAAAAGAATCCATTCCATTGGGCTTTTTGTATAGGGGTAAAGCTCCTGTAGTTTAAAAAAAAAAAATCTCATTAGTCATTAGATTGTTAGGACTTCTGGGATACTCTCAACATTCCTGCCTTGAGAGTATGTCTATTTCAATAGCTAGACAATTAAATGGATGAAATATAAATAATATGACCTGCTTGTATATAGAAGAGCCTCTAATAAGTACAGATGGCTGAGTCTAGGAAACTAAGGAGGATAGTGTGTAATACCCTCATTCAATTTTTCAGCACAATCAAAATTCTAACACATGTAAAGGTATAAAAATATCCCTTTCCCCCGTTTGTCTACTCTATTCAATATTTTTTAAGTAAATACTTTTAATATAATAATCATCCACAATAAAAAGCTACTGGTACTTTTTCTTCAACAGGATAAGAGTAAATGAGGCTTAAACATTTTCCAAATATGAAATATAAAAAAATTCCACAAAGTCCCTCAAAACTTTCATATTCTCAAAGCGGCCTTCTTTTTCTTTTATTTCACTTATTCTTTTTCTAAAGAGTGCTATTCTTGTTGTTTGTGTCTATCTGGGAGGAAAAACAGTTACTAGGTACCCATAGCAATATTATTTTATTTAAAAATCCAGAAAAGATAAATGACTGGACAGAAGGCTGCAATAAAATAATGGTAACCATTCTCAGGCTACACTGAGTAGATCTCATTCCCAGCTTCAATTCCAAGCTTGACTAGCTATACCTTAAAATGAGCAGATATAATACTAACACGCAAAATCAAAAAAACAGAAAAGAGAAAGAAGAGAGGCAGACTGGGATGCTCAAAGACGTTCTAGCTCCTGGTATGATTTTACCTTTCTAAAAGAGCTGGCACAGAGCTAGTATTTTAATCCATCTTGTACTCAACATCAGCTTACACATATAATAAACGTGTCCCTCTTCGAACTTGAATTCAGAGTAGGCAGCTGTCACTGTATCTAGGAAGCCTTCCACAATCACCTTGTCCCAAAGTAGCAAAGCTGCCCATCCCAGCACTGAGCCTCCATGTACAGTGTGAAAATACTCAGAACCTCACCACTGCCAAAACCGTAGTGCTCTCATCTGCTGTCTCCTCCAATGGGGCTGTGTGAACTGCCCAAGTTCATACCACATCTTGTTCAACTTTCTAGTATTACGACTGGCGCAGTTACACAATACTACTGTGTTTTAAAACTAAAGCTTTATTACTTATTCTAAAGTAATTCAGAAATTTCTCTAGTTGTTAAATTCTTGTGTTTTAATCTTGCTAAAAATGATTTTTAGTCCCTATAAAACCTGAATCGACTTACAGTAGCAGATTTCTCAACCAATCTCAATTAACTAATTTATCTCATTAACAAATACCAGCTATTAAAGTATGCTGAATATTTACACTAGCGAGAAACTCTCTAGAATGCCCACATGCTTTTTTATTTTTATTTATTTTTTATTTTTTAGTAGAGCTGGGGTTTCGCCACATTGGCCACACTGGTCTCAAACTCCTGACCACAGGCAATCCTCCTGTCTCAGCCTCCCAAAGTGATGGAATTACAGGAGTTAGCCACACCAGGCCTAGAATTTATGTGTCTTTTTTTTTTTTTGATCTGTGATTTTATTTTTAATTATCTAAGCCTTATGATCACACATAATTTTTAAACTTTTATCTCTCTACTTAAAGCCTTCTAATGAGGTGGCAAAAGTACCATTACCAAGCACACATACACAGTATATTCAGTTTTACGTGTTTTTGAATAGTTGTTTGAAGCCAATCCTAAAGTATGAACTAGTCTAACTTAGTAACTCTAAAGTTTAACTTGCTACTATTTTTGTCACACTGACCTTTAAAAGCATCTGACCTTAAAGATCATCTATAAAATGTGAGAGGTGTTCAATTTTCTTTCTTTGGTATTAAATACAAACCACACTAAAACACCTCTTAATAAATAAAAGGCAGCATTTTAAATTCAGGGAATAGGATGCCCACATCCTTCTGCTCCTCCCAGTTGAGCTATCTTCTTGCCAAGGATCAGGCTGTCTGTTCCCAAACCAACTATTCCTGTCAGTGAAATAATTTAATAGTATATAAATCAATAAAATATGAGTACAAAAAGAAGGTTACTCTTTCACTAAAACAAACTGAAAGACTAGAAAACTCACAAAGATAAGAAGCTAAAACCAAATGCTGTCTGTCAGACAACTACAAAAGACCTGGGAGGGAGATTAGAAAAATCTACAAGGTTCTAGTCAGCCATAAAAAAAAAGAAAAAAAAGAAAAATCTACAAGGATTCTGTATCAGATGAAACAGGACTCATAAACAATTCACGCAGAATATGATTTATAAAGGGATGATAGCTCAAATCTCCAAACAGGAATGAAAGGCTTTGTCTTTCATTTGGGGGAAAAAAATTCCTCCCTTGAAAAAGGAGAAAAAACATTGAAACACTGGTAGATAAATATTTTTTTAATGTTTAAAATCAAAATGTTTCAGAAATATATATTAATTCCTTTAATACAGATTTTCAACAATTTGTACTTGCAATAGGTTAAGACCCTTTACTGTGTTTAATGTCTCAAAAGAAAATTATCTTTAAGTAAAAAGATGTTAAACTTTATTAAATCCTTATTACTACAATACTTTGCCATTCTGTTTGTTACATTTCATAATATATTTCCACCCTTAGCTTAAATAACTAAATAAAGCCAGTATGATATATATTTAATTGTACATCATATCCTGGCTCTATACATCCAGTAGATGTCATCCAGAGCAAACTCCATGGAAGTACTACCATTGCATTCTGAAAAAAAAAATTGTTTTTCAATTTAATAGTTATTAAGCAAGTTAAAAATCAGTGACATCTTCACAAGACTGAAGTAAAAACTTTCTCAAACACTGAAAAGTGATCTGGTTTCTAAACTTTTAAATGCTAAGTACTGAAACACTTTAACCACCATCACTATTACTAGCAAAAGCCCCAAGCAGGGGGTTAAGGACAGTATAGTGTATCAATCAAATGACAGACACAAAGAAATTCTTTACCTTCCGATTCTGATCATAAGCGGAATCAATCCCCAAAATGCTATTCACTTCTACATATGGGTATTTCTTCTCTAGGACACTGACCACATGTTCAACTTTCACTTTTTCTCCAGTCCTCACCTTGTTATAGATCTGAAGAAAGACAAAACAGTTGGTTAACTACACTTTTAAGTTCAAATTTAAATGTTCATTCCACATTTTTTTGAATAGAGAGGAAAATATGATTTTTTTCCTTAAAAGGCCAATTGGGACATGTTAGCAATTCTTCCTTTTCCATATACCTTATTAAGATAACTCCTTAGGTTGAAAATTTTAAAAAATATATTTGTTTTTTGAGATAGTCTCATTCTGTTGCGTAGGCTGGAAGTGTAGTGGCGATATTTCAGCTCACTGCAACCTCCGTCTCCCTGGGTCAAGTTATTCTCCTGCCTCAGCCTCCTGAGTAGCTGGGATTACAGGTTTGCACCACCATGCCCAGCTAATTTTTATATTTTTTAATAGAGATGGGGTTTCACCATACCAGGTTGGTCTCGAACTCCTGACCTCATGATCCAGCTGCCTTGGCCTCCCAAAGTGCTGGGATTACAGGTGAGAGCCAACGCACCTGGCCAAAAATTAAATATTCTTAAAAAATGAACCAATCAGTTCAGCCAAGTTAAATCTCAAATGCAAAAAAAAAAAATATATATATATATATATATATATATATTAGTTAAGAAAAAATCTGAATAGGCCAAGCAGGCATGGTGGTTCATACCTATAATCCCAGCACTTTGGGAGGCTGAGGCAGGTGGATCACTTGAGGTCAAGGGTTCAAGAACAGCCTGGCCAACATGTTGAACCCCTACTAAAAATACAAAAATTAGCCTGGTATGGTAGTGCACAACTGTAATTCCAGCTACACAGGAGGTTGAGGGAGGAGAATCGCTTGAACCAGGGAGGCAGAGGTTGCAGTGAGCCAAAATCATTGCACTCCAGCCTGGGTGATGGAGTGAAACTGTCTCAAAAAAAGAAAAATCTGAACACTTATAAGTAGTCCTTGAAATAAAAACTATGTCCATGATGTTTGGGGGGGATGAAGATAGGGAGAGGGGAGAGAGAGAGAAATCTAAACTGACACTAAAATTATTTATTTGAATTTTTTTTTTGAGCTAGTTTCACTCGTCACCCAGGTTGGAGTAAAATGGTGTGATCTTGGCTCACTGCAACCTCTGCCTCTTGGGTTCAAGGAACTCTCCAGCCTCAGTCTCCTGAGTAACTGGAATTACAGGCACCTGCCACCATATCCGGCTAATTTTTGTATATTTAGTATAGATGAGGTTTCACCATGTTGGCCAGGCTGGTCTTGAACTCCTTATCTCAAGTGATCCACCCACCTTGGCCTCTCAAAGAGCTGGAATTACAGGCGTAAACCACCATACCTGGCCAATTTTTGTATTTTTAGTAAAGACAGCGTTTCACCATGTTGGCTAGGCTGGTCTCGAATCCCTGATCTCAGGTGATTCACCCACACTGGCCTCCCAAAGTGCTGGAATTTTATGTGTGAACCACTGTGCCCAGCCTTAATTGTTTTTACACCAAGCAGTTATTACTTTACTTCTGAAATAAAAACAGAAGCCATGCATCAGTGGCTCACACCTAAAATCCCATTACTCTGGGAGGCCAATGCAGTAAAGACTGCTTAAGCCCAGGAGTTTGAGACCAGCCTGAGAAACACAGTAAGACACTGTCTCTACCAAAAAATTTTTTTAACAAAATTACCTGGGTATGATGGTACATGCCTGTAATCTCAACTACTCTGGGAAGCTGGGGCAGGAGGATCACATAAGGCGAGGTGTTTGAGGCTGTAGAAAGCCCTGAGTGTGCTACTGCACTCCAGCCTGGGCAACAGTGAGCTCCTGTCTCTAAAAAAAATTTTTTTAATGAACAGCAGGTGGTGGGTGTAGCTGGTCCTGTTGTGCTGTGGCTCTGCACAGCCTGCAGTCTCAGGCCACATAGTCCACCAGACATGGAACCTGGCTTCAGTGGTCACGCTGCCATAAGGAGGCCTGGTTCCATAAGATCTGCAACTTGAGGCCCAAGGAAACCTTGTCAGTACAGATAAAACAGCTACTCTACTGCCAGCACTCATGCTCCCAGGATATCCTTGTTTTCCACAGTAAGATCAACAGAGCAGGCTGGGTGCGGTGGCTCATGCCTGTAATCCCAGCACTTTGGGAGGCTGAGACCAAAGCCAGAAGTCCAAGATTAGCCTGGCCAGTAGTGTGAAACCCCATCTCTACTAAAAATATAAAATCAAAATTAGCTGGGCATGGTGGCACTCACCTGTAGTCCTAGCTACTCGGGAGGCTGAGGCAGAAGAATCGCTTGAAGCCAGGAGGCAGAGGTTGCAGTAAGCCAAGATCACACCACTGCACTCCAGCCTCCATCTCCCAAAAAAAAAAAAAAGCCAGGCGTGGTGTCTCACATCTGTAATCCCAACACTTTGGGAGGCTGAGGTGGGCGGATCACGAGGTCAAGAGATCGAGACCATCCTGGCCAACATGGTGAAACCCTGTCTCTACTAAAAATACAAAAACTAGCCGGGCATGGTGGCACACGCCTGTGGTCCCAGCTACTCGGGAGGCTGAGGCGGAAGAATCACTTGAACCCAGGCGGCGGAGGTTGCCGTGAGCTGAGATTGCGCCACTGCACTGCAGCCTGGTGACAGAGCAAGATGCCATCTCAAAAAAAGAAAAAAAAGACCTACAGTTTGCTGGTGTTAGATGGCATCATCCCCTTTATAAACAGGGACAAGTTCTACCAGGAGATGAGAATCAACCTGCCACTCTGCAGCCACCCCATCCCACAAAAGTTGCTGATCATCGGGGACAGAGATGGCATCCTGCACAAGGTAGTAAAGCACCCTTCTGTGGAGTCTGTGATCCAATGACAGACTGAAGAGGGTGGCATCCAGGTCCCTAACAAGTTCCTGCTGGGTAAGGCTATTGGCTACTCTAGCTCTGAGCTGACCCTGCATATGCGTGACAATTTTGATTTCGTGAAACAAAACCAGGATGCCTTCAATATTATGATCACTGACTCCTGGGCTCTGCTGAAAGCCTCTTCAAGGAATCCTATTGCCACTCACGAAGATGGCCCTCAACAAGGACACCATTCTCTTCTGCCAGGGTGAGTACAGTGGCTGTACCTGGACCTCATCAAGGAGACACAGTGGTTCTGCCAGTCACTCTTCCCCACAGTGGCCCATGCCTACTGTGCTGTCCCTATCTATCACAGTGGCCAAAATGGCTTCATGTTCTGCATCAAAAACTCGAGCACCAACTTCCAGAAGCCCAAGCAACAAATGACACAGCAGCAGGTGGAGCAGGTGCAGCTGCTCAGATGTGTACAGTGCTGCCTTTGTTGCCCCAATTCACCTGCAAGTCCCAGAATGATGTGAGCTGAGCCCAGAAGCCAGAGCAGATGCCAGTCGGGACCTCAGATCTGGAAGCCTCCAGGGTGCCTGGGCTCCCTTTTAGCCCTAGGCCAGACCCCCTGCTGACTGCCACATGCCAACTACAGGCCCCAGAATACTGCCCAGTCTTCCCTGCTGAGTGCTGGACTATTTCTGTGTCTGTCTCTGTGTGGCACTCAGCCTCCAAGCCTATACCAGCTGTGAACAATACAGTCTCTCTGCCTTTTGTGACCCCCTCAATCAAACAATAAAAAAAAAAAATGAATGAATAAATAAATAATTCAAAAAGCAGACTTTAAAATACTTATTCTCTGGGCATGGTGATAACACAGCTGTAACCCCAGCTATTTGAGGCTGACGTGGGAGGATCCCTTGAGCCTAGGAGTTTGAGACCAGCCTGAGCAACATACCAGAGCCAGTCTCAAAAAGTACACAAGTAAATAAAATTTTAAGGTAGCTGTTTTGAAAGACATATTAAAACAAAAAAAGAAACAAAAACAAATTTTAAGCAGACACAAAGTTTATAAAATAATGAAGTATAAAATACTTATTATTCTGAGTGACTTTTTGAACCTATTTCATTCTCCTCAGCCCTGCTGCTACCTTCCCCATTACTTCTCATGGAGATCACTGCAACAGCTCATCAAATGGCATCCCTGCCATTTTGCTTTGCCCTTCCTCAGATCCGTCTCTATACATTGCAGCAAACATGACTTTTAAATTCAAGATCCACTCCTGAGCTCTAGACACCCTAGGTGCCTGACCTACTATAGTCATACACTGTTTTTAAGAGTAAATTAGATCTGAAAAAAGTATGTGCCATTCTGAACAAAAACGTACATGTGTCAGAGTCTGGAAGGCATGATAATCATCCACATCCTGGGCAACATAATTATATGCTCTAAGAACAGCCACTCCAGCATCTTGCATCCCATCAACATCTTCAGAGTCATTAACCACAAAGATAAAACCAATTCTGGAGGGAAAGGAAAAAGAAGAAAAAGAAACATGTCAAAGAATACAAATGGTTTAAAAAAATGACATTCTTATACCCTTCTTATACACTGTAGCGAAGAAAGGAAAACTCTTTGGGTGAAAAGCATGGTTCACAGCCTACTCTAACATGATTGACACAGAAAATTATACATACACCACTTACAAAGTATTTTTCTTTCCTTGGGACAGAGTTTCATTCTTGTCGCCCAGGCTAGAGTACAATGGTGCAATCTAGGCTCTCCGCATCCCCTGCCTCCCAGGTTCAAGTGATTCTCCTGCCTCAGCCTCCCCAGTAGCTGGGATTACAGGCTACTACCCCTGGCTAATTTTTTGTATTTTTAGTAGAGACGGGGTTTCACCATGTTGGCCAGGCTGGTGTCGAATTCCTCACCTCAGGTGATCCATCAGCGTCGGCCTCCCAAAGTGCTGGGATTACAGGTATGAGCTACCACACCTAGCATTAAAAACCATACCTACAAAGCATTAAAATACTAAAAATAATACCTACAAAACATTAAAAAATCAGGCTCTCAAATGTGGCTTAGACCTTTCTACAGTTAAAGCAAGCCATTTCCATGTCATGAAAAGATTCCTTTACTGACATGAAGAGTGTTGCTACAGTTTTAGGATTTTTTTTTTCTCCTTTTAAACAAAATTTAGAAGACATACAAATTTTCACACTGTAAAAGTAAACAGAAAGTGGGGGACTGTGACATTTAGCATATGCAGTATGAGAATTATTGGTAAAAGAAAAGCCAGAAAAGGTTTACAACTGTCCCACAACAAAAAGCAATAACCAAGGTTAAAGTTTATCTGATTTTAAATTTTAAAATAAAGGAATTAACCACAGAGACGCCATTACATAACTACAGATGGGCTGGCAAAAAAAAAAAACAAAAAACTTTGCACTAACTACACTGGGGCAAAAGCAGTTCAATGGATAAAGAATCACCTTTTCAACAAATGGTGCTGAACAACCGGACATGCACGTGCAAATTAATCAGTCTAGACACAGACCTTATTTCTTTCACAAAAATTAATTCAAAGTGGATCATAGATTCAAATGTAAAACACAAAAACTAAAATTCCTAGACAACAGCAAAGAAGAAAATTAAGGTGATCTCGGGATTGGCAATGATGTTAGATCCAAAAGCACAATCCATGAAAGACAACATCTGGTTAATTTGGACTTCACTAAAATTAAAAATGTCAGCTGGGTGCCATGGCTCACGCCTATAATCCCAGCAGTTTGGGAGGCCAAGGCAGGTAGATCATGAGGTCAGGTTCAAGACCAGCCGGGCCAAGATGGTAAAACCCCAGCTCTACTAAAAATACAAAAAAATTAACTGGGCATGGTGGCATACGCCTGTAATCCCAGCTATTCAGGAGGCTGAGGCAGAAGAATCACTTGAACCCGAGAGGCAGAGGCTGCAGTGAGCCAAGATCGTGCACTCCAGCCTGGGTGACAGTGTGAGACTGTCTTGAAACAAAAAAAAAAAGTCTGCCCTGTGAAAGACATTATTAAGAGAACAAAAGGGCCAGCTGTAGAGTGGCAGAAAATCTTTGCAAAACAACCATCTGATGAAGGACAGGTAAACAAAATATGCAACTCCTTTTGCTTGTTTCTCAGATGGGGTCTTGCTCTGTTGCTGAGGACAGAGTGCAGTGGCACGATCAGCTCACTGCAGCCTCAAAACTCTGGGTTCAAACAATCCTCCACTTCAGCCTCCCAAGTATCTGGGACTACAGGCATGTGCCACCATGCTTGGCTACTCTTTTTTAATTCTTTGTAGAGATAGAGTCTTCCCAGGTTGCCCACAGTGATCTCAAATTCTGGCCTCAAGCAATCCTTCCACCTTGGCCTCCCAAAGTCCTGGGATTATAGGCATAAGCTACTGCACCTGGCCTACAAAGAACTTGTGAAACTCAACAATAAGAAAACAAGCAACGGAAGTGTTAAAAATGGACATAAGTATGGGGGGAAAAACAAGAAAAAGGACAAAAGATCTTAACAGACACTTCACCAAACAAGATATACAGATAGATGATAAATATAAGTAGATCCTGAACATCATATGTCATTAGAGAATGGCAAATTAAACAACAATGACATACCATCACACACCTGTCAGAATGACCAAAATCCTAAATGCTGGCAACACCAAATGCTGGCAAGCCTGTGGAGCAACAGGATCTCTCATTCACTGCTGGAGGGAATGCAAAATGGTGCCGCTACTTTGGAACACAGTTCAGCAGGTTCTTACAAAACTAAGCACAGTCTGAACACATGAGGCAGCAATCATGCTTCTTGGTATTTATCCAAAGAAGCTGATGGCATGTCCACACAGATACCTGCACCCAGATGTTTACAGCAGCTTTATTCATAACTGCCAAAACTTGTAGGTAACTAAGGTATCTTTCAATTAAGAGAATGGATAAGTAAATGGGGGGACATCCATATAATGACTATTATCCAGTGATAAAAAGACATGAGCTATCAAGCCATGAGAAAAAACAAGAGGAAGCCTAAATGCACATTGCTAAGTGAAAGACACAAATCTAAAAAGGCTATATGCTGTACAATTGGAACCATAGAACGTTCTGGAAAATAAGAAACTATGAGGAGAGTAGAAAAATCAGCAGTGACTACAACCATAGAATATTCTGGAAAATGCAAAACTACGAAAACAGTAGAAAGATGAGCAGTTGCCAAAGATATAGGGGTAGGGAAGAAGAGATAAACAAGTGAAGTACAGGAGATTTTTAGGGAAGTGAAACTAATCAGTATTAAACTGTATTGTAATGTGAATACTTGACATCATACATTTGTGTTATCAACACAAATAATGAATCCTAATGTAAACTATGGAGTTTAGTTAATAATAATGTATCATTATTTAGTAGTCAACATGCAGGACCACATGAGCTCCTACAAAGAAGAAAAGAACAGTCTATATGCCTGGCTCTCTCCACCTATTCACAATCTCTCAGTTGCGTGGGAGTTCAAGTGCCTTATTCTCACCTACCTTTGCAACCTGAAGGCCACATGCCCTCTTCTCATCCCTCAATTCAACAAATATGGTATTAGGGCCAACTGTGTACCATGACCTAACTTCTATGTTCTTATGTTTCTCTTCTAATCAAAACATAGCTCTGGCTTTAATCCAGTAATAGGTTCTTCCATCTAACCAGATGTATTCATGCTTTATATGAAAAATGTCATTATTCAACTACAGAACCCTCTGTTTTCCTCAAAGCCTATCCGAAATCCAACTTCTCCATAAACCTTTGTGCTTCCCAAATATCTCAATGAGTTTTTGTTTCCCTGAAATTCTAATGCACTTATAACTAACCAGTAGGTTATAACTAACCTTGCAGTTGATCATATATCTCCCTAAAGCATCTGAAAGTATACAGATCTTTTCCAAGAAGGTAGAATAAGGCATATATACTCACAGCATTTAGCTCAGTAGTAGTCATGGAACACACAGTAATATTTATTGAATAAAGGGTTAATTTCTTCTTTCTTTTCACATTTTCTAAGAATTAAAATTTCACCAACATATAGGATAATTATTGAGAATGCAGGTGAAAATATCTTAGCATTTATATGTAAAACCTTTAAAAAAAAAACTGTTCTTAAAAGGACAGTGGAAATCCAGCCATTCAATACCATGTTGGTAGGTTTGGCAACAGAAATGAAGTAACTGTTACTGTTTGCATCTACAAAAGGCTGTGTATATATTTGGTCCTTGACAGTCTAACAAGTTATTGGCAATGCTTTATCTCTCTTCTGAAAGTGGAAATAGGTTTTGTGATGTGGACACTCACCTGGAAAAATTCCCTTCCACTGGGAAGCAAGCTGCAGCCACAAACTATTTTTACATGGGCTATTTATTGATAATTCAATGGTGGTAAGCTTCTATTCACTGAGAAGCAAATTCTCAGTCCCAAAAGACACTGGCTTCATACTGACCAGAAGATAAAATTGCCATTAGTGATCTACACTATTAATTATCCTACAACTAAGTAGCACCAGACTTGCATTTAAAAATGACAAATAAAATCTCAGCTAAATTAGATATATCATCAAATCAATAACAGTGTTACCTTAGTGGTATATGATTACTAAGGAACATCTCAGCTGTGTTAATCAACTCTGTTGTGGTCTCATGTGCGGGATCAACTATGAAAACCTGTTGAAGAAAGGGACAAGAACACATGAAATGACATTTATTCAAATATCTGTGGGGCAAGAAAAATGTTCTTAGTCACTGTACATGAAGCCAACCTTTTCTGAACTATGCTTGAACCACATAAAAGATGAATTATACAAATAGCAGCTACCTCCCTCTATGTTCAAAAAATGTGGTACTGAAAGGCTAGGTGATTTTCTCATGGACTTATACTGGTAACATGGGAACTGTACTCCAGAGTGCTGATGCCTGTTCTTTAACTACACCAAACAAAAACCAAGTTTAGCAACTCTCTCACCTTCACAAATGGAGCCTACCTTTCTGTATATTCACTTCTGAGGATCTCTGAATTAAGAATTCACTGAAAACCTAATTATGGGACCACAGTCACATCTGTCAGGTAAGTACATAAGCACGTATTATGAGCTAGGCAACTTACACGTATTCTTTCACTTAATAAAATTCAGACACACAGTAAAACAGAACAAGATTTAAATTCTGACTAAAAGGGAGAGAAGCATTTTCAAGAGAAAGAAAACTGGCCAGGTGTGGTGGCTCATGCCTGTAATTCTAGCACTTTGGGAGGCGATGGTGGACGGATCACCTGAGTTCAGGAGTTTGAGAACACCCCGGCCAACACAGTAAAACCCCATCTCTACTAAAAATATAAAAAATAAGCCAGGCGTGGTAGTGCATGCCTGTAATCCTAGCTACTTGGGAGGCTGAGGCAGGAGAATCGCTTGAACCCTGGGGGCAGAGGTTGCAGGGAGCTGCGATCCTGCCACTGTACTCCAGCCTGGGCAACAGAGTGAGACTCCATCTGAAAAAAAAAAAAAAGAGAGAGAGAGAGAGAGAGAGAGAGAGAGAAGGAAAAGTAGAGAGGGCAATTTCCCCTGCAAGTTCTAAGGAGGCAAACCTTGGCATTAACCCTACCCTTATCTCTTTCCCAGCTGTCAGGGAAGGGAAAGAAATGAGAGGGAAAAAGTGGGCCAGTTAAGAACCCTCATTCTCTCTCTCTAAAGCAGTGCAAGAAGGAATAACAAGTAGGAGTTGACAAACAGCTTTATTTAAGGGAATAAATTAAACTGCTGAATTTTAGGGATTAAGATATTAAAGAAAAACAGTAGCAATATGCATCTTCTTACATAAAAAAGAGAGCTATCTTAAAACTAATAAAACAACATTGCTTATAAATCTAAAACTGCTCTAAAAAACAAAGTCTTAAAATAAAAACAAAAACATCATTGAATGGTGTGAAGAGTATGAAGAGAGAAATTTTTCAATCTGGAAAAGCTGATTTGAAAAAATAAAAATTATAAAATAAAAAATATTTTAAAATTAAAAATAGGAACGATCCAAGATGGCCGATCGCTAACATCCCGGGATTGCAGCTCTCAGGGAAGGTGCGGAGAACTAAAGGACGCCACGCTTTCAGACAAATTCTGGTCGCTCACGGAGCAGAAGATCCCCCAGTGGAGGAAACACACAGGTGGCCAGCACGACTCTCGTGGCTGGCGCAGCGGTTCCACCAGTACCTCAGCGTGGCAGCTCTCAGAGCAGAGTAAACAGGTTCGGAGGACCCGCACGGGTCCCCAGCAGGACACCAGAGCCGTGCAGAGTAAACGGGACCGGTTCCCCTTCTGACCGAGGTTTGGAGCCCCAGGAAGGCAGAGTCACCTACTACGGACACAAGAAGGAAGCCAGACAGGAGAATCCTGGGCAGAAAAGCACCATCAGTTTTAATGCCACTGCTCTGGCCCTGGGAACTAACAACCTGGACGTCCACTCAAGAGACCTAATCTGAAAGTTGGTAATTTCAAAGACGACAGGAGGATAAATTTACAATGATGGGAAGAAACCAGCATAAAAAAGCTGAGAATACTCAAAGTCAGAATGCCTCTCCCTCTAAAGATGATCACAGTTCCACATCAACAATGGAACAAGGCTTGATGGAGAACAAGTGCATCCCAATGACAGAATCACTCTTCAAGGGATGGATAATAACAAACTTCGGTGAGTTAAAAGAACATGTTGTAGCCCAACATAAAGAAACTAGGAACTTTGAAAAAAGGTTTGATGAAATCCTGTTGAGAATAGACAACTTAGAGAGGAGTATGAGTGAATTAATGGAACTGAAGAATACAATACAGGAACTCCGAGAAGTATGCACAGGTTTAAACACTCGAATTGTTCAAGCAGAAGAAGGGATATCAGAGGTCAAAGTCCAACTTAATGAAATAAAACGTGAAGAAAAGATTAGAGAAAAAAGGATAAAAAGGAATGAGCAAAGTCTCCAAGAAACGTGGGACTATGTGAAAAGACCAAATTTACATTTGATAGGTGTACCTGAATGCGACAGAGAGAATGAATCCAAGCTGGAAAATACCCTTCAGGATATTATTCAGGAAAATTTTCCTAAACTAGCAAAGCAGGCCAACATTCAACCCCAGGTAATACAGAGAATACCACAAAGATATTCCTCAAGAAGAGCAACCCCAAGGCACATAATCGTTAGATTCACCAGGGTTGAAACAAAGGAGAAAATACTAAGGGCAGCCAGAGAGAAAGGTCAGATTACCCACAAAGGCAAGCCTATCAGACTTACAGCAGATCTCTCAGCAGAAACTCTACAAGCCAGAAGAGAGTGGGGGCCAATATTCAACATCCTCAAAGAACAGAACCTTCAGCCCAGAATTTCATATCCAGCCAAACTAAGCTTCACAACTGAAGGAAAAATAAAATCTTTTATGAACAAGCAAGAACTCAGAGATTTTATTACCACCAGGCCTGCTTTACAAGAGCTTCTGAAAGAAGCATTACACACAGAAAGAAACAACCAGTATTAGCCTTTCTAAAAATATACCAAAAAGTAAAGAGCACCAAGAGAAGAATTTACACCAACGAATGGATAAAACAGCCAGTCAACATCAAATGGCAGTAACCCTAAATTTAAATTGACTAAATCCCCCAATCAAAAGACACAGCCAAAACCCAATGGCATGTTACATCCAGACCTGTTTCACATGCAAGGATACACAAAGACTCAAAACAAAGGGATGGAGAAAGATTTACCAACCAAATGGAGAGCAAAAATAAATAATAAATAAATAAAAAGCAGGAGTTGCAATTCTTGTATCGGATAAAATAGATTTTAAAGCAACAAAGATATAGTGGTAAAAGGATCAATGCAACAACAAGAGCTAATGATCCTAACACCCAGATACAAGACTTAGATTCAATGAGACAGAAAATTAATAAGGATATCAAGGACTCGAACTCAGATCCGGAACAAGTAAACTTAATAAATATTTATAGAGCTCTCCACTTCAAATACACAAAATACACATTTTAGTCAATACCACACCACACCTACCCATAAGTTTAAATGAAACATTGATGGGCCATTATTAATACCCAACTTTTTTCAAAATAAAGCAATATTTCCATTTACTCTCCCTCTTTCTTTTCCTCTTTCTTCCTCTCCTTTACTTATTTTTTTTTTTCTTTCTTTCTTTCTCTCAAAAAAAAAGAAATCAACTTGTAAACCTCTAGATCCAGGTCGGCAATGTCTCTCTGATTGCTTGATTCCCTTCCTTCCCTTCCCTCCCTCCCTCCCTCCCTCCCCGCTTCCTCCCTTCCTTCCTTCCATCATCCCTTCCTTCCTCCCTACCATCCTTCTTCTCTCCCTTCCTGCCTTCCTCCCCTCCCAAAAAAAAAATTAAATTAAATTAAATTAAAAATAAAATGTTTTAAATCTAAAAATAAACTAAATGACTAAAACAAAGTCTAAACCTTTGTGTTAAAAATGTGCATTTCCCTACACTCCAAGCAGGGCTGAAATGCTGCTGTTACATCCCACAGCCCCAAAAGTGGTCAGTGCATTACAGTTCCTTCCAGTGTGAACAGAGTATTTGATGGGGGCCTGGGGAGGAAGCAGCTAGTAAAGGTGAGAAGTGACATTCTATATATGACAAAAAAAGAGGGACCAGCCAAGGGAGAAACAGAGTTCACAGCCAGACAATAAGTTTTACTTACCATATTATGTAAGTTTTTCCTGATCTGTCGAATAACACCAGGAAAAGTAGGTCGAAGCAACTCTTGCAAACTAGAAGGCCACGAATTATATCTGCTATCAACCTCCAGGTTGTTGGCCCACTACAAAAAATAACACAATAAAATGCATGCACATTAGTCACCAGTTAGTAATATTGCAATAACAACAGTAAGTCTTCAAATTATTTTTAAGAATCACAAGACAAGACCATTTTCAAAGATAAAATGATTTCGGGCAGTGGCTCACATCTGTAATCCTAGCACTGTGGGAGGTCAAGCAAGGCAAGAGGACTGCTTGAGCGCTGGAGTTCAAGACCAGCCTGGGCAATATTATGAGACCTCCATCACTTTCAAAAATATATAAAAATTAGCCAGGCATGGTGGCTCCTGTCCCAGCCAGTCAGGAGGCTGATGCAGGAGAATCACCTGATCCGAAGGGGTTTGAGACTACAGTGAGCCATGATCGTGCCACTGCACTCCAGCCTGGGCAACAGAGCAAGACCATATCTCAAAAAAAATAAAAATAAAAAATAAAAAGATCGAGTAGAAAAATGAGTGACTAAAAGACACGCCACGGAACAGATGAAGGCATTTGTAACCAACAAACCCAATAAAGGACTAGTGTCAAGAATGAAGAAAGACATAAAAGTAAGAGAAAGAAGCAAAATAACTTATTTTTTGAGATGGAGTCTCTCTCTGTCAACCAGGCTAGATAGAGTACAGTGGAGCAATCTTGGCTCACTGCAATCTCTGCCTCTTGGGTTCAAGTAATTCTCGTGCCTCAATCTCCCAAGAAGCTGGAACTTCAGGCACTCACCACCATAACTGGCTAATTTTTATAGTTTTAGTAGAGACGGGATTTCGCCATGTTGGCTAGGCTCATCTCAAACTCCTGACCTCAAGTGATCTGCCCACCTCAGCCTCCAGATGTGCTGAGATTACAGGCATGAGCCACTGCACCCAGCACTAAACTTTTTAAGAACAAAGGAAAAAAAAAAGTAAAAAACTTAGAAAAAATAGTACAAATAAGAAATTTACAGAGGAAACCCAAAATGGACAATAAACGTAAGAAATGTGTACACCCTCAACTGTAATCTAGGAACTATGAGCTAAGACCTTAATGAAATTTCACACTTGCTAGACAAAAAAAGTGAAAGTTTGTCAAGATCCAAGAATAAGAAAAGATACAAAGCAAAGAGAACTCTCATGCAACGCAGGTGTGTGGACAATCACTCTAGAGAACTGGATCTAATAAATTTGAAGACTATATTGACACTAATTTTTCTAAAATAAATCCAGTACCACTAAGTACTCTAGATCCAGGTATCTACCCCAAATAAATTCACATGTATACATAAAAAGAGAGGGAAAAAAGAACCTAACTACAGTTGTTTACAACAGCAAAATTAGAAACTACTTAATATCCACCAAGAGCAATGGATCAGAAGGCTGAAGTGGAAGGATCTATCGAACACAGGAGTTCAAGGCTACAGTGAGCTATGACTGCTTCCCCACACTCCAGCAGGGTTTTACCATGTTGGCCAGGCAGGTCTCAATCTCCTGAGCTAAAGTGATCTGCCCACCATGACCACCCAAAGTGCTGGGATTACTGGCATGAGCCAATGAACCTGGACAGATTATCAAAATTTTTATATCATTAAATAGGAGCCAGGCAAGGTGGTGCATAACTATGATTCCAGCTACTCAGGAAGCTGAGGCAAGAGGATTGCTTGACCCCAGGAACCTGAGTCCAGCCTGGGCAAAATAGTGAGACTCGTCGCTAAAATAACAAAAGAAAGAAAGAAAAAAAAATTTGATAGGAAATAAAAGGATAAAATAAAAGGGAATGCACACCAACTTGAGAAAAGAAACAAACTGCAGGAAGGAGGGGGAGGCTGGTAAGGAACAAAGAAGGGCTTCAACTAAAACTTTCTTTTCCAAAAAACAAATTAAATCTAACACAAAATGACTAAATGTTAAGATAGTAAGCACAATGATGGGTCCTATGGTTGTTAGTCCCTTTATGTTTGTATAAATGTGTGTCATGTTGATGTTATTATCCTTTACTCCTCAAAGTATTGTTAACAGAAAAACAAATGACAGGAACAATGTCTTCATCAAAATAAGTTGTATCACCAAGTGTGAATTCAAGTAATGATCATCTACATTCTACATTATTTCTCTTAAATAAATATGCAGTACAGAAACCAAAAAAAATTAGGTCAGCTCTCCCCTTTTATTTTTACCATGACTGCCCAAGATGACACTATTCCCCACCTTCTCTCTCTCTCTTTTTTTCTTGAGATGAAGTCTTGCTCTGCCACCCAGGCTGGAGTGCATTGGCATGATCTCAGCTCACTGCAACCTCCACCTCCCAGATTCAAGTGATTCCTGCTTCAGCCTCCTAAGTAGCTGGGATTACAGGTGCGTGCCACCACACCTGGCTAATTTTTGTATTTTGAGTAAAGATGGGGTTTCACTATTTTGGTTGGCCAAGCTAGTCCTGAACTCCTGACCTCAGGTGATCTGCCCGTGTCCAGCTTCCCAAAGTGCTGGGATTACAGGCATGAGCCACCACGCCCAGCCCTATTCCCCACATTCTCTGACAGATGATGAGACAACAGCTCAGAAAGATCACACAGCAGGCAAAAATCTATATAAATCCTTCAAATACCAAATACTAAAATTCTACTAAAGAAGGTTCTTAACTAAAAAGTGACATTTTTGATAGTAGTTTTAATTTACAGATGTCACAAAATCACACAAGATCTCTATGCAATTGAGAAAATACAAACTAAACACTTTTTCCCAAGAGATGATCAGCTGAACCCTAGGGGCATGTTGAAGTGAAAAAAAATCACTGTTTGGCGAGGCGTACTGGCTCACACCTGTAATCCAAGCACTTTGGGAAGCCAAGGTGGGTGAATCACCTGAGGTCAGGAGTTCATGACCAGCCTGACCAATATGGTGTAACCCCGTCTCTACTAAAACTACAAAAATTAGTTGGGCATGGTGGCATGCACCTGTAATCCCAGTTACTCAGGAGGCTGAGGCAGAACTGCTTAAGCCTGGGAGGCACAGGTTGCAGTAAGCCAAGATCGCACCACTGCACTCCAGCCTGGACGACAGAGCAAGACTCTGTCTCAAAAAAGAAAAAAAAAAAAAAAATCACGGCCTTAATCACATTAGCAACAATAACTCAACTTTTCTGGAACATTTAAGGGCCTATTTTATTACACACACAAAGTCCCATATAAGTGACTATAAATCTTTCACATCAACAAAAGGGATGGTGTAAGTGACTTCACCCTCATAGGAGACAAATTAGAAAATCATAACAAAGATTCCTGGTCAGAAAATCCTTTGATCACCCTAAAAAAAATACTCACTGAAATAGCAGGACTCCTGATGTCTACTGCATAGTCAGCCTCAGAGGGCTGGATGTTCAGCTTCAAAACATTATGCAGAGAAAGGCCTTCTATTCCCAACCTATGCAGACCCTCCATGACCCGAGCTTCATTTCTCAACACATCAAACAGACTGAGGGGAGAAACAGAAAGGTATTTAGTAGGAGAAAAATGCTTAAAAATATTCTCACCATGAAATAAAAAATGTATCAGTTCAACCTCAATGCCAAATCAAATTAATTGAGAAATTAAGAAATGAAACTCCTCTCCAGTTTCATCTCTCAAAGTATGCAGAAGAAAGCAGTTAAGACTGGTTTCTTGGTTCATCTTTATTCATACTCACTGTTGTATATATAAGTTATCTCAAAGAATAAACATACAAATTGAGGATGAAATAACCCATTAGGGTATTTTAGGGTATGCACTTTTATACCACATGATTCTAAAAACAGTACATTAATCTCTCTGTATTCTTTCTTACAACTGCATGTGAATTTATAATTATCTCAAATTAAAAATTAAAAAGAGATACTACATTATATATGCTTAATATATGTTTCAATGTCAGTACCAATTCACAGAGGCAAACATATGACCACAGAAAAAAGTCTGGGAGAATCCACACCCAACTTAGAAGTTTGGTGTGAGAGATAGAAAAGATAGAGAGGAAGGAGAAATAAGATGATATGACAAAAAAACATTTTGAGACTGTCTGAAAATAACAAATGAATAAAGTCTGAATTCTACCTGAGTGCTACCCACCCCAGAATCATGAAGACAATAGAATGCAATTTAATCCTGAACCACATTTTAACAAGAAGTGGATATATTCAAATAATATATTTAGACAGAACACCTTCTGAGACACAAGAACAGTATTTTCTTTCTGTTTTTTGAGATAGAGTCTTGCTCTGTGGCCCAGGCTGGAATGCAGTGGTACAATCTGAGCTCACTGCAACCTCAGCCTCCCAAGTAGCTGGGACTACAGGCATGCACTACCATGCACAGCTAATTTTTGTATTTTCAGTAGAGATGGGGTTTCACCATGTTGGCCAGGCTGCTATTAAACTTGTGACGGAAAGTGATTTGCCTGCCTCAGCCTCCCCAAGTGCTGGGATTACAGGTGTGAGCCACTGTGCCTGGTCACCAGAGACAGCATTTTTTTTTTTTGAGATGGAGTCGTGCTTGTGTTGCTCAGGTTGGAGTGCAATGGCGTAATTTCAGCTCACTACAATCTCCGCCTCCTGGGTTCAAGTGATTCTCCTGCCTCAGCCTCCTCAGTAGCTGAGATTACAGGCACATACCACCAGGGCTGGCTAATTTTTGTATTTTTTTTTTCCTTGCCTTGTGGGGACAGAAAAAAAAATTTTTTTTTTTTAAGACAGGGTTTCACCATGTTGGTCAGGCTGGTCTTGAACCCCCAACCTCAGGTGATCCGCCCACCTTGGCCTCCAAAGTGTTTGGATTACAGGCGTGAGTCACCACGCCGGCCAGAAATTTTTGTATTTTTAGTAGGGACAGGGTTTCACCATGTTGGCCAGGCTGGTATCAAACTCCTGACCTCAGGTGATGTGCCAGGCTCGGCCTCCCAAAGTGCTGGAATTACAGGCATGAGCCACAAGGCCTGCCCAAAGATAGTATTTTTAATAAATCTACTTCACACTGTTCCAAAAGCCAAAGCACCTGTTCTTTTCTGTGTTCCCATGGTTAGTGGAAAAGTATAGCTCTAAAAGGGCAGCTTCTGAAAACACTCAGGCCTTGAACACAAGATGGAGACATGTCATCCTGCCCATCCTAGTCACAGCATATGCCCACTACCCACCCACCCAGCTGGGCCTGGTAAGCCATCAAGCTTTCCATCATACAATATCAAGAAGGAATGGCAATATGAACATGTCACAAGGAGCTACACATTACAAAAATTTTTCAGAGAATGAAAAATATTATCCATACCTGAATATATCCTGTGTATCTAAATCAATGTGAAGTCCATTGATGAAGAGAGCTGAATCTCCAGGTTGTAATCCTAAAGTTCCCTTGAAATACTGAAAAATTTTAATAATTATTAAGGAGATGTGAGAGAATATTTTCTTAAAAATTTCAGTGTTTCTGGGCTTCACTATCTTTACAAATCTTGGCATCCTAAGGCAGGGCTAAGACCTACTTCAAGGTGCCACTGTGATTCAATGGCAAGCAAGACAGGGATAATACTTTAGTGTATACACATTTCAAAACACGTTGTACGCCACAAAAATATCCAAGTTTTACTTCTCGATTTTAAAAAGAAGAGAAAAAAAAGGAGATCATAGAAAGGTATATCACTTGAAAACTGGCATTTCTTCCAAGGGAGAGAATTCATATTTACTTACACCTGGATGTGTACACAGCACCCTCAGATGATAACAAAGACTGACCTGGGCCAGGCACAGTGGCTCACTTCTATAATCCTAGCACTTTGGGAGGCCAAGGCGGGTGGAGCACAGGAGGCCAGGAGATGGAGACCAGCCTGGACAACATGGCAAAACCCCGTCTCTACTAAAAATATAAAAATTAACCAACTATGGTAGTGTGCGCCTGTAGTCCCAGCTGCTTGGGAGGCTGAGGCACAAGAATCACTTGAACCCAGGAGGTAGAGGCTACATTGAGCCAAGATCACACCACTGCACTACAGCTTGAGTGATAGAGCAAGACTGTCTCAGAAAAAAAAAAAAAAAAAAAAAAAAAGACTAACCCTGAGCTGCTGAATACAGTCATATCTATTTCCAGGTATGGATGATGGTTAATATAGATGGGTTCATTTTGGGAAAGTTCATCAAACTAATGACTGAGGATTTGTGTACCTCTTTGTATGTGTTTCATATAAAATGTATACATTTTGGGCCAGGCAAGGTGGCTCTTATTTGTAATCCCAGAACTTTGGGAGGCTGAGGCAGGGGGTTACCTGAGGTCAGGAGTTTGAGACCAGCCTGGCCAACATGGTGAAACCCCGTTTCTACTAAAATTACAAAAAATTAGCTGGGCATGGGGGCAGACACCTGTAATTCCAGCTATTCAAGAGGCTGAGGTAAGTGAATTGCTTGAACCTGGGAGGCAAAGGTTGCAGTGAACCAAGATCGTGCCACTGCACTTCAGCCTGGGTGACAGAGCGAGGCAACGTCTCAAAAATGTGTGTGTGTGTGTGTGTGTGTGTGTGTACATAAACACATTTTGGCTGGGTGTGGTGGTTCATGCCTGTAATCTCAGCACTTTGGGAGGCTGAGGCAGGCAGCTCATGAGGTGAGGCGTTCAAGACCAGCCTTGCCAAAATGGTGAAACTCCATCTCTACTAATAATACAAAAATTAGCCAGGCATGGTGGAGCACACCTATAATCCCAGCTACTCAGGAGGCAGGAGAACTGCTTGAACTGGGAGGCAGAGGATGCAGTGAGCCGAGATCATGCCACTGCAGTCCAGCCTAAGGAACAGAGCAAGACTCTATCTCAAAAAAATAAAATAAAAAATAAAAATTAAAAAATATATATACACACACATTTTATGCTTTAATAAAATGTCTTACTCAAAATAAAGACTCCATGAAACAGTAATACAGTATAATTTTGTCTTCCTTAGGGGGAAAAAGGCCCTAAATTTAAGATAATATTTGATATTTTTATTTTGGAAATTAAAAAGTAAAAACTCTCAATAAGGTTTTTCAATTTAGCAAACATTTGAGAAACATTATTCTTCATATGTACTTCATTAACAAATATCTCAAATGTAAAGATTAAGGAAATCTGGGGTAAAGATAGTTAACTGAACATAAGAAATTTTTCCCTCCTGAAACTCTATTGAAATGTAAGCAGAGGGACTTTTCCAGTTATAAATCCACAAAGACAAAATGAACAGGTTAAAAAAAAAAGCCACCAAATTTTGGAAGCTGGAAGAGAGGTGGGTAAGGAGTTACTGTCCCAACAGATCTGAGAAAGCTGAATGCTAAGCCAACAAACGGAAAGGTCAACAAGAAACCTGTGTCACCCTGTGGAATTCACCAAATTCACCAAAGACTGGCAGCACACAGGATATGTACAAGGGGTGATTATCAGCTAAACAACAAGTTCTGATATAAAGACAAAACCCTCCAGCCCCCCAACTGATTTCCCTCAGCCAAGTGCTGCAGTCAGTGCTCCCCCATTCCAGCAAAATGAAGGCTCATTCCCTGGAAAAGATCAAAACAGAACATCTGTGGACAATGGCAAATCGAGCACACAGAGGAAAGGGACCCCACAAAGAAAACCAGGAATCAAAGGCAAGTCACCAAATACTCTTCCCTACTTTGTTTCTACAGCTCTAGCAAACAGATTTCACCTTCCAGATGGAAGACTGATGGATCCTTTTCTGGAGACTGACAAAAACTGACCAAGCCAAAAGAAAAGGGACAAAGATACTATCATTGGGGTTCCCTAGGAAATGGTCACAACAGAACACCCTAGAGTCACAAAGGCACATAATTAGGATTTCCAACCAGGTCCTCAGTGCCTCTCTGAGTGTGATTGCTAGATACCTAAGGAAGGCCTCTACCACTAAAGAGACCAAAGCCCAAAGATGCAGCTTAAGAGGAAACAGATTTTGCAGACAGAAAACACAAGCACCGCTGTCTTCAGAGAGACAAAGGAACACCACAAAAAGAACAACAGAAACATTTGAAAATTAAACACTTGACAACTAAAGGAAAAAAATATAAACAGGTTGAAAACTCTTCCCAGAAAGTTTTTTATTTTTTGAAAAAAAGAATAGGAAAGAAATGACTTTTAAAACTAGACAGAAGTGCAACATTTAAAAAAATAAAGAAATAAATATCTCTAGGAAAAGAGGAAGATAAACCAGAGAAAAGAAATACAAAGAATTCAAGAAAATTTCCCAAAACTAAAGGATTTTCCAGATTTTAAGGGCCCACCAACCACCCAACAGCAGAGATTTTTGAAAAACACATATAATCATGAAATTTTAGATTACTAGAGTCCAGCACAAAGATTTTTGAAAAACACATATAATTATGAAATTTTAGATTACTAAAGTCAAAGAAAAGATCCTAGAGAGATCTTACACAAAGGCTTCAGACTTCTCAACAGCCGCAATGGAAACCAAAATTCCAAGGGGTGATGCCTTGCTTCAAATTTCAAAGTGACTTCCAACCTAGAATTGTATAACCTGCCAATATTGTACAACCAGCTATCAACAAAAACAAGTAGAAACTTGATTTCTCAGAATTTCAAATTTGCCTCCCAGGCAACTTTTCTCACAAAGAATGATGTGCTGTACCAAAATAAGGAAATAAACCCAAACCAAAGAAGACATGGAATCAAGAACAGAGAATCCAACAAAGGAGGTTAAAGAAAGGTCCCAGGATGATGACCAGCATGCACTAGGCATAAAGAACAACCAGTCCATGTCAGACCATAGCAAAGCCAGATAAAATCACAACATCCAACATGGGGAAGACAGACAGACAGAGCAGTGTCAACATGGAACAGTGGTGGTACACAGAGGGGGAGTCAGTGAAAGAAAGTTAAGCCTCATTGTTTAACTAGGAGACCAACATATACAGTCTGAACGTAAAAATAAAGCACCAATGTAAGCTAGAATTCTGGAGAGAAATATCAGAAGAATCAGCTAAATGTTGAACATAAATGTCTTCAGGAACAGGGTGAGACAGGGTAGGGGCACTGCTTTGCTAAACAACACCGTAGCACCATTTCATGCTTTCAGTTAGATGCATACTGAACTTCAATTAAAAACTGAAAATACAAAGATTACAGAAATAAAAATCATATCAGCATCTTAGATAAAAGAAGACTGGCCGGGCGCGGTGGCTCACGCCTGTAATCCCAGCACTTTGGGAGGCCGAGGCGGGTGGATCATGAGGTCAAGAGATCGAGACCATCTTGATCAACATGGTGAGACCCCGTCTCTACTAAAGATACAAAAAATTAGCTGGGCATGGTGGCGCGTGCCTGTAATCCCAGCTACTCGGGAGGCTGAGGCAGGAGAATTGCCTGAACCCAGGAGGCGGATGTTGCGGTGAGCCGAGATCGCGCCATTGCACTCCAGCCTGGGTCACAAGAGCGAAACTCCGTCTCAAAAAAAAAAAAAAAAAGAAGACTGACACTGTTAAATGCAGCTGATTTAAACCCAGATTTCCTTATCTTTAAAGATAGAATACAAAACAGGTGTCAACATTTTCCATCGGTGAATACCTTCTGATTCTCTTCCACTTCGGTTCTAAGTTCTGAGCTCACAGCTGTTTTTGTTATTGCTCTAAGGAAATAAAAACATGAGTGCTTGGCTTAATATTTGATATAAAGTCTTCAATTCCCATATTCTTAAATATGAAACACATTATTCAATAAATTACAAAATATTAAATGGAAAAAACCTTAAATCTTTATAATTGATAAGTACATTTCTTTCTTAGATGTGTATATTTTTTGTAAGATACAAAATCAAAGAAATGTGGCAGCCATAGCATTATAAAACAAGTGCGGTTGTTTCCAAGTTCTTAAACATATGTACCCTATTTCTATATATGATCTCTACTACTCACACACTAAAGGATAATGTTGAATACACCAAGGCAGCAGATTGCTCTTCCCACTTGAGCACTTATGATGGAGGTAGAATCATTCATGTACACTTTCAAGCAGCATGCTGGACTAAATGAGAATTTACTACATGTTGTCTAAGTCCCAAATAAACAAACTTAATTATAAAGTATCTAACATCAGAAGTCAAAACACTTACTTCAGTGACTCAAGAAAACTGGAAACCATTTAAGTCAATAGTTTCTAAAACTTTGGCTTTTAAAACCATCTTGCCGGCCGGGCACGGTGTCTCACGCCCATAATCCCAGCATTGTGGGAGGTCAAGGCAGGCGGATCACAAGGTTAGGAGTTTGAGACCAGCCTGGCCAACGTGGTGAAACCCCGTCTCTACTAAAGATACCACAAATTAGCCAGGCATGACGGCGTGCACCTATAATCCCAGCTACTCCACAGGAGATGGAGGTTGCAGTAAGCTGAGATCACACCATTGCACTCCAGCCTGGGTAACGGGGCGAGACTCCATCCCAGAAAAAAACAAAACAAAAAAACATTGTGCCTTGCATTTATGAGATGTGGAGCAATTATTACAGAACTGAAAGCAATGTCAGAAAACTTAAAAACAAAATATTTTTTCTTGAGATGGAGTTTTGCTGGTTGCCCAGGCTGAAGTGCAATGGTGCGATCTTGGCTCACTGCAATCTCCACCTCCCAGGTTCAAGCGATTCTTCTCCCTCAGCCTCCCAGGTAACTGTGATTACAGGCTCCTGCCACCACAGCCGGCTAATTTTTTGTATTTTTAGTAGAGACAGGGTTTCGTCATGTTGGCTAGGCTGGTCTCAAACTCCTAACCTCAAGTGGTCCACCCACCTCGGCCTCCCGAAGTGCTGGAATTATAGGCATGAGCCATCACGGCTGGCCCACTTCCCCCTTCTGGAAACCAGACAAGGCCAGCAGATCACCTGAGGTCAGGAGTTTGAGACCAGCTTGGCCAACATGGCAAAACCCAGTTTCTACTAAAAATACAAAAATAAGCCAGGCCTTGGCCTCCCAAAGTGCTGGGATTACAGGCGTGAGCCACCTTGCCCAATCCAAAAAAAATCTTATTCTGTCACTATGAACCAGTCCCTTAGCCTCTATGACTCAGTTTCAAGATTCAGTAAGATGACATATATAAAACCTTTCATGAAGAAAACCACTATGGTGTGGGATAGACTCTAGATTAGTTATTTACATGAGTAAGACTCATCCAATCCTGAAAGACAAGTATTTTTCTTCCCATTCCACTGCTGAGGAAAATGAGGTAAAGAGGGGTTATTTACAAAGGTCACACAACTAATAAGTGGAAGTGGCAAGAACATAACCTAAATCTGTCACTTCAGCCACACAATACATGGTCTTTCCATCTTCAAGACACAGAGCACCAGCCGCAGTAGTAGTGGTGGTGGTCATAAAGAATCTTAATTTTCTAAGTATTTTCATATTTGTATTACCTCATTTGGCAAGTGAACATGACAATAACTGGGTATGATGTTACGGAGAAGAGCATTATTCTCTATTACCTGGCTTTGGTAGGAAAATTTTGACTAAGATCCTTCATAACAACCAAAGCCAACTCAACAGGAGAAGCCAAGATTCGAGCAGCAGTCTGGAAACTGAGATCTGCAACGAAGTCAAATGTAATTAAAAGTGGATTACTCTAATGCAATGAGAAGCAGAAAAGAAAATCGTATTTACTTCCCACTCTTTTCTTGGTAATTAAGAATGTCTTAGAATGCAATCATTTCAGAGTGTGCCCATGATTTAATTTCAGGTTTTATTCACTTCAAAGATCCCTGAGGGTTCAATTGAGCCATTTCTGATATATCTGCAGAAAACACTATAGCACACACAAATGCATGTAGCAAAGGCTAAACCAGACGCAAATCCTTTTCTTTTTTCTAATCTGTGATGTAAATACATCACAAATACAGCGTTAAGAGTCTCAGTAAATTATGTTAGGAAAAAACCTGAAAACCAGTTCTTCGGGCAGAGAAATACACATACATCCTACCACACTGACATGTCTTTAATGCTCTGTAGATAAACCGCTGAAGAAATGGAGATACATAGGAACTTAAAGACTAGGACCTATTTCTCATATTACAAGTTTATTTATGGTCACACAGAAAGATTTGCCACATGTATATATAGATTGCTTCCATCTAGTGTTATCTGTTTACAAAAAGACTTCCTTTCTTCCCTGATTAATCATAAGTAATCACTCTTATCTTTAAAATCTGAGGCACCCTCAGAATCAAGTACTACATACTATTAAATTCGAATTTTACATTTTTTAAAGCCACAAAACTTAGCCAAAAAGTAGGCCAATTATCTCTCCCTGTTTTCATTACCTTGCAACTGCCAAACTTTTAATGGTGCCATTTCATTGGTGCTCTCTACAAGATGCTTTCTCAGTTCTTTCAACTGTCCCTCCAGGTCAGGGTGCAGGTCTCTAAAAGAAACATAAAAATCAGTCCTTTTCATTATTTTTTCTTTCCCAGAGCACAAAAAGAAGTAAACCACCTTTATCTTCATGGTTTTCCTCTCCCAACCCTAGGAAAGTTTCTACACTATAGGGGAAAAAAATAAAGTATAATTATTTCTATTTTAAAAAAATAGAGAAAATTAGAAGTTAGTTTAAAAATCATAAAGTTTACAGAAAATTTTCTAGAATAGTGATTCCCTATGAGGTAGATAAGGGGACTGAGAGTGGTTAACAAACTACTTTTCAGGCCAGGTGTAGTGGCTCAAGCCTGGAATCCCAGCCACTGAGGAGGCCAAGGCAGGAGGATCACTTGAGCCCAGGAGTTTCAGGTTAACCTGTGCAAAACAGCAAGACCTTGTCTCTTTTTTTCTTTTTTTTTTTTTTTTAAAAAAAAAAGAACAAAAAAGGCTTCAGCTATACCTGTAGTGTTTACTGACCTGTTTTATTTTTTGTTTGGTATTCTTTTGTTCTTAAAGTAAAATAAAGCTTATACTGGGGGGGAGAAAAAAGAAAACTTAATAAATAGTTCTATAGAACAGAAAAGCAAGTATGATAACAACAATCTATTCTGGGTTGTAAGCATGTGGGAATATATTCTCCTCCATGCTTTTGTGAATCATTTTAATCTCTCAAAGTAAAACGGGAAAAAAACCGCTGCCAGTCCCAAAATGAATTTTTTTAGCCTACATGCTCATAAATCTTTTAGTCACATGAATACAATTCAGGCTAATTATAGTTATTGGGTTTTATCTTTAAATATAGCATATTCCACTATAGTAAAAGACAGGTGATCTGGGGCAGAGATATAACATTTACATTAGACAGATAGATGGCTAGTAGATTACTTTTGTCCTTTAAATGCTATAAACTCAAAATTTCTTAATACAACATAAAGAAATTAAACTTCCCTCAGACTGTTCACTGTCCAACCAACCCATTTCCAGTCAGTTACTACTGGTTGAGCATCCCAAATCCAAAATTCAAAATCCAAAATCCTCCAAAACCCACTAAATGTCAATATGACATTCCAAGAAAATGATCATTGGAGCATTTCAGATTTCACATTTTCAGACTTGGGGTGCCCAACTCATAAGTATCATGTAACTATTCCAAAATTGAAATCTGAAACTCTTCTAGGGTAAGCATTTCAGAAAAAAGACACTCAACCTGTACAAACTCTTAAATGCCAAAAAAATGAGGCCAGGTGCAGTGGCTCACACCTGTAATCCTAGCACTTTGGGAGGTCAAGGATTCCTTGAGCCCAGAAGTTCAAGACCAGCCTGGGCAACATGGCAAAACCTGATCTCTACTACAAATACAAAAACTGAGATGAGAGGATCACCTGAGCCTGGGGAGGTCGAGGTTGCAGCAGGCCATGATGGCACCACTGCATTCCAGCCTTGGTGACAGACTAAGAACCTGTCTCAAACAAACAAACAAAAAGATCCAATTACTTTGGAAGGCAGCTACGCTCACCACTATACCACCAACGCACCTAAAGATCCAGTTACTTTGGATAGCTAAATAACTATTCTGAATGTCTAAAAGGTAAAATAGCCTCAATATTCTATATAATACCTTTGTGCTATGAATGCATAAAATCATAATGCTACCAATATAAATATAAACAACATAAATGTGAAAAAGGATTCTGAAGCTGGGATTGGTGGCTCCCACCTGAAATCCCAAAACTTTGGGAAGTCAAGGCAGGACAATCACTTGAACCCAAAGTTCAATACCACCCTGGGCCACATAGCAAGACTCTAACTTTACAAAACACTTAAAACTTAGCCAAAAAGTAAATAAATAAGTAAAACATAGCCTACATACTCATAAATCTTTTAGTCACATGAATACAATTCAGGCTAATTATAGTTACTGGGTTTTACCTTTAAATATAGCATATTCCACTATAGTAAAAGAGAAGTAATCTGGGGCAGAGATATAACATTTACATTAGACAGATAGATGGTGGCATACACCTGTAGTCCCAGCTATTTGAGAGGGTGAGGTGGAAGATCCCTTGAGCCCAGGAAGTCAAGGCTGCAGTGAGCCATGATTGTGCCACTGCTCTCCAGCCTAGGTGACAAAGAAAGGCCCTGTCTCAAAAAAAATATTTTTTTTAAGGATTCTGGAAGCCTAGGTCAAATAAAAATAGAATATGATTATATTCTAATGAGGCCAAAACTGATGTTAAACAAGAAGAAATGTATGTATGGGTAGAATGAACTCAACATGTAATTCAATGTAAACTAAGATATCTCTTCTAAACTGTTAAGCTGGTGGCCAAACGTCAGAGCTGAAGTATATAAAACTGAATCTGGCATATCATACACTATTTCTACATGATGACTTTCTCTCTTTCTCTCACTCTCTCTCTCTCTCTCTCTCACACACACACACACACACACACACACACACACACGAAGTCCTAATAAAAATTTCCAGATAAAGTAGAATTCAGGGCTCTAAACAATTATCAAGCCATGAGGGAAATAACTACAACTTTTAGAATAACAACTAAGAAGACTTTCCAGCTATAAAATACTGTGATGCTTTCATTAAATGATTATGAAGTTATGGAATTTTTAAAAATAACATTCCCCTTAACATAAAGCAAATTCTAATAAAATGTTTTTTTCTGGGCCAGGCGCCATGGCTCATGCCATGGGATTCCAGCACTCTGGGAGGCTGAGGCGGGCGGGTCACTTGAGATCAGGAGTTCAAGAGCAGCCTAGCCAACATGATGAAACCCTGTCTCTAATAAAAGTACAAAAATTAGCTGGGCATGGTGGTGGGATGCCTGTAATCCTAGCTACTCAGGAGGCTGAGGCAGGAGAATTGCTTGACCTAGAGGGCGGAGGTTGCAGTGAGCCGATATTGCATCAGTACACTCCAGCCTGGGTGACAGAGCATGACTCTGTCTCAAATAATAATAATAATAAAATGTTTTTTCCATTGAGCATGTACAGAATTTACTACATCTATTTTTTCATTTTTGCTCAGATTATGTTTGGAAAAAACTTTTTTTCTTTTTTTGAGACGGAGTTTCGCTCTTATTACCCAGGCTGGAATGCAATGGCGCAATCTCGGCTCACCGCAACCTCCACCTCCTGGGTTCAGGCAATTCTCCTGCCTCAGCCTCCTGCATAGGGATTACAGGCACGCATCACCGTGCCCAGCTAACTTTTTGTATTTTTAGTAGAGACGGGGTTTCACCATGTTGACCAGGATGGTCTCAATCTCTTGACCTTGTGATCCACCCGCCTCAACATCCCAAAGTGCTGGGATTACTGCGCCCGGCCAAAAAAAACTTTTGAATACATTTTTCTCCTGGAAAAATATTAAGTGAAACAATTCAATTTCTCCTATTACAGCAATCAAAAAATGGTATGTAACTTAATGCCATGAACTGAGAGACAAGAAAAAGAAATGCACTTAAACTGTGGGCAGGTAACCAAAGTATCAATTAAGAATAATGTGGTTGGCCGGGCGCGGTAGCTCACGCCTATAATCCCAGCACTTTGGGAGGCCGAGGTGGGTGGATCACAAGGTCACGAGATCAAGACCATCCTGGTCAACAAGGTGAAACCCCGTCTCTACTAAAAATATTAAAATTATCTGGGCATGGTGGTGCGTGCCTGTATTCCCAGCTACTCAGGAGGCTGAGGCAGGAGAATTGCTTGAACCCAGAAGGTGGAGGTTGCGGTGAGCCAAGATCGTGCCATTGCACTCCAGTCTGGGTAACAACAGCAAAACTCTGTCTCAGGAAAAAAAAAAAGAATAATGTGGGACTGGGCACGGAGGCTCATGCCTATAATCCCAACACTTTGGGAGGCTGAGGCAGGTGATCACAAGGTCAAGAGTTCCAGACCAGCCTGGCCAGTATGGTGAAACCCTGTTCTACTAAAAATACAAAAATTAGCCAGGCATGGTGGCAAGCACTTGTAGTCCCACTACTTAGGAAGCTAAGGCAGGAAAATCGCTTGAACCCAGGAGGCGGAGGTTGCAGTGAGCCAAGATAGCGCCACTGCACTCTAGCCTGGGCAACACAGCAGGACTCTGTCTCAAAAAATAAATAAATAAAGTGCTTCAGAATAATATGAAATTATAAACTGTACCATAAACTAAGTGATTGAGTCTCTGGACTGCAAACATAAAATACTGTTAGGAGATAGGTAACTCAGACGGTAATGAGTAAGATGATGCTTAAAATGCAAGAAAGCCTGAAGGCTCCACTGGGCGCGGTCGCTCAAGCCTATAATCCCAGCACTTTGGGAGGCCAGGGCAGATGGATCACGAGGTCAAGAGATCGAGACCATCCTGGTCAACATGGTGAAACCCCGTCTCTACTAAAAATACAAAAAATTAGCTGGGCATGGTGGCGCATGCCTGTAGTCCCAGCTACTCAGGAGGCTGAGGCAGGAGAATTGCCTGAACCCAGGAGGCGGAGGTTGCGGTGAGCTGAGATCGCGCCATTGCACTCCAGCCTGGGTAACAAAAGCAAAACTCTGTCTCAAAAACAAAAAAAAAGAAAGCAAGCAAGCCTGAAGGCTCAAGGAAAATGAGGGCATCTCCCAAAATACACAGAACATACGTACCTCAATTTTCCAAAGAGAAAACCCTGAACCTCATCAATAGGATCATTTTCGCCAATCACTGTGGTATTTACCTCAGTTCCTATGAAAAAAAAAACAAAAAAATACATGTTATTAATAATTGCTCAGATTAGAAACAAAAATGTAACTAGTCTCATGAACTTTATAAAACTGAATAATGTGAAAAAAATCGAAAACCCCTGAAATTATACCATTTAAAATGCTGAATATCACAATACCCTTTGGCAATAGTTCTTTAAACAAACAAAATAAATGCATTTTAATATCTCCTGTGTTCCTGGATAAAGAATACATTTTTCCCTTAAACTCTGGAAAATATTATATGCTAAAAATTTCAAAATTAATAGTTTTAAACATTATGAACAAAAAATTTTCCAATTACCAAAATTCTGAAGAATTTATAATTAGTCAAACTTAATCCTAAATACAATTATTGAAGAAAACAGGATGAGGTAGTAGGTTATTTTCCATTTGCTATACTACTCAGATTTATTTTTTTTATCTTTAAAATGAGCTTAAAAGAAAAGATAGCGCATAAAACTTGTCGATGAAGTAATAAATTCAAAATCCTAGAGTATTACAACAGAAATATCCATAGTAAAATGTTCCATGTACAGAAATAATAAGCAACATAAAATTCCTTGTTAAATATAGGATAGTTTAAGATTTCATGTTAAAGTCACATGAATGGCTATTTGTAAACTGATAACATCAACAATAGCTACTACTTAATGAATATTTTTGTGCAAACCAATGTGCCAGGTTCTTTTGTTGTTATATATTTTTTTCAGTGCATGAAAAACTTCTTTACCTACACATCTTATCCTTCTCAAATAATGGAAGAGACATGTATCATTACCTGCATTTTACACAAGAGAAAACTGGGACCTAGAGAATTTGCTTAAGGGTCACCCACTCACATGTAACAGAACCAGGATGCAAATACAGGTTCAGTATATGCCTAAATCTATTATTTTTCATATAGAAACAAACTCCCTTTTAACTCATATTTGAAGAAAACACATTAGTCTTATTTTTACAAATTCACCTTTCACCTGAGTATCATCCTTGGCCTTGTACTCAGTGCTCTTAATGGCCAATTCCACACCATAGCCAGAGAGGTAAACAGGTTCCTTCCTGAGATTCTGCAAGAAAAGCAAGAATTCCACCATCACCACCTCACAGCACATGGCATGACCATGCTAATGTTGCATCTAGTATCCATTACCTAGGATTATGCACTCAAAGTATCTTTAAATTGTTTTTTAAGGATATTAAATATATGGCTAAGTAAGTCCACTAAACAAATTTTTTTAGTCCAAAACCTACCAAAAAATCAAGAGTAATAAAAGCACTTATCTACCATTAAAATATTGATTATACTTTTTAAAAATCAATTCAGACTGTGTGTCTCTCTGTTATAAAATCCTAGCCTCCTTTTATGTAGGCTGCTACAACTGTGAGAATGGAATTCCAAGGTAGAAGCAAAACCAGATGAATGGACAGCTGAAAAGGCTAAGGTCCCAAACCATAAGAAATGGAGAAAGAGAAAAAGAAGTTCCAGAACCCACAGAGCAGGGTTAAAAACTGATGAGTTCTCAATCCCAGAGGTGCTTTTTGAGGCCCATGGGAGTAGTTTTTTTATTAAATTTAAATGCCTTCAAGCAGAGCTTGGGCTGACCAGATGTCACAGGCTCACCAGCATCCTGACTGAAGATGGCCCTTCAGATATTAACATTTATCCTAACAGCAATGGAGGGGATAGAGGGAGAGTTAAAAACTGGACTTTGAGAAAACTTTCTGCTTGTACAAATTTTCATGAAAAATGTTATGGCCGGGCACAGTGACTCACACCTGTAATCTCAGCACTTTGGGAGGCTGAGGTAGGTAGATCACGTGAGGTTAGGAGTTCGAGACCAGTCTGGCCAACGTGGTAAAACCGTGTGTCTACTAAAAACACAAAAAATTAGCCAGGTATGGTGACACACACCTGCAAGCCCAGCTACTCAGGAGGCTGAGGCAGAAGAATCACTTGAACCCAGGAGGCGGAGGTTGCAGCGAGCCAAGATCAAGCCATTACACTCCAGCCTGGGCGACAGAGCAAGACTCTGTTTCATAAATAAATAAATAAAATTTTTACTGTTTTTTTGCATAAACTTAGTACTGAGCTTAATATGATATAGAAACTTTAAGGGCTAACAAACTTTACATTAAATATTTTAAATGACTAAATATTACACAGTCTTAAAAGCTTAATATTACATCGAGTCTACCTATGAAGACTCTGTTTAGAAAATCCTTCCAATTCCGCCAAATTAAAAGGTGGCAAAGAGAAAACAGAAGAAAAAAGGTTGAAAAAGAAACTGAATTCAACAGTCAGTTGCATAGTATATGACCATTACTAAAGTCAGAAAAGATTATTTACATGGTTCATTTTGAAATAAAATATAAACTTTATCAAGCCACTTTTTTAGCATAAATGTTTTATTATATGTCTTCAGAATATGTGCAAATAAACTCAATGAAACTACTGGATTTCTCAAGCAGTTCAAATAACTAGAGTATTTTATTAAAAGGGAGATTATTAGCTTATGTTCTAAGGTCATGCTGGGCAAACTGAATTCAAAACAGGTGTAAAATAAGTCAATACTTACAAATATATAATGTCTGAATACATAACTGATTTTGCCTGCATTGCTTTTTGATACAAGTTGACGGTGAACATTAGAAAATTCCTCAGAGCCAATCTCAGAATAGAAAATCACCACTGGGCTTTCAGGATTAGACGAGGGATATCTGTGATCTCCTTTGAACAATAAAGGTTTGGGTCTGAAAATAAATAATAAAAACTTAAAATTTTATAAATAATTACAAAACACTAAAAATGTCACAAAATATAAAGTTCTGCTATGAAAATATAAAGATGATAAGCATCAATATGAAGGGTAGCATGATCTTAAATACTTTTCACTTACTAAGATTACTATCAGGAATGAGTCTTATTTATTCATGATTAAAAATAACAAAAGTACATTATAAAAAACACTAACTATAAAATGTAAACACTGGCCAGGCCCAGTGGGTGATGCCTATAATCATAACTAAGACAAACCTAGGCAACATGGCAAAACCTCGACTCTATAATAAATAACAAAAATTAGCTGGGTATGGAAGCGTGCACCTGTAGTCCCAGCTACCCAAGAGTCTAAGATGGGAGGATCACCTGAGCCCAAGAGGACAAGGCTGCAGTGCTCCATGATCACGCCACTGGACTCCAATTCCTAAACTACCAATTCCTAAAAAGGGAGAAAAAGGGACAAAAAAAGGACACATATTCAAATGACTACTAAAACTTGAGTACGACATAAGGTAATATGTTTGTTTGTTTGGGAGATAGAGTTTCGTTCCTGTTGCCCAGGCTGGAGTGCAATGATGCGGTCTCAGCTCACTGCAGCCTCCACCTCCTGGGTTCAAGCAATTCTCTGCCTCAGCCTCCTGAGTAGCTGGGATTACAGGTGCCCACCACCACGCCCAGCTAATTTTGTATTTTTAGTAGAGATGGTATTTCATCATGTTGGCCAGGTTGGTCTCAAACTCCTGACCTCAGGTGATAGGCCCGTCTTGGCCTCCCAAAATGCTGGGATAACAGGCACGAGCCACTGCACCCAGCCAATGTAATATGTTATACTATGTTATATTTTGAGAAGTCTCAGTCTGTCACCCAGGCTGGAGTCCAGTGGTGTAATCTCTCAGCTCACTGCAGCCTCGACCTCCAGGGCTCGAGGAGGGACTACAAGTGCACGCCACCATCCCCAGCTAAATTTTGTCTCTTTTGTAGACATGGGGTTTTGTCATGTTGCCCAAGCTAGTCTCAAACCCCTGGCTCAAGTGATCCACCCACCTCAGCCTCCCAAAGTTCTGAAATTATAGGTGTGAACCACCATAGCTTGACAAGTATATTTTTCTACCATACAAATAAAATATGATTACCTTTTTATTTAAAAATATAAATAATGCAAAAAGCAGAGAATGACATCAAGCATATTACTTACCAATTTACTAAGTCTATTTCCTCTACTATTTTTACTACTATGATCTTCCTAATGGATGTTTTTGTTTCTGTGTTTGTTTTGCAGTCAAGGTCTCACTCTGGTGCCTAGGCTAGAGTGCAGTGGCATAAACATAGCTGACTGCAGTCTCTACCTCCTGAGCTAAAGTGATCCTCCCACTGCAGCTTCCCAAGTAGCTGGGACCAAAGGCGTGTGCCCAGCTACTGCCACAATACCCAGCTACTTTTTGGAGAAACAGGGTCGCACTTTGTTGCACAGGTTGGTCTGGAATTCCTGGGATTAAGCGATCCTCCTATCTCAGTCTCCCAAAGTGCGGGACTATAGGCTTGTGCCCCAATGAACTTAATATTTCAGTTTTCCTCGTAAATTTTAGAACTTCTCTCCAAAAAATTTATCTAAGGATGGCATCAAGATATTAATAGATCTTAATGCAAAGACTTTATGACCTACCAATCTCTATTATAATAAACTATCTAATTCAGCAGAAAGCAAAGATATGAATAAGGATGCTCGATATAGCCTTATTGTAATAGGGGGAAAAAAGAAAATGACTTAAAACCCATCAGTAAGAGGTCAATTACCAATTATGGGACAGTCTTACATAGGTTATGCATGTGTTAAAAATAATGAGGTATACCCACTCATACTAAATGGAAAGATGCCTTTTATAAAAATAAAACTACCTACATTATACAGTTTAAAACCATAGGAAAAAGTGTGAAGGTATATATGCCAAATCATTAAAAGTAGTTACCACCTCTGAGAGAGGAGACACTGTTGTTCTTTTCTTTATAAAGGTGTGCATTATTGTTGCAGCAAATTTAAGTTTTTTACAAGAATTACAAAGCCACCAATTTTGTTTCCCCCAAGACAGAGCACTACTGTATTACCATGCAGCTATTTCTGAATGTCCATGCCTTGACCCTGAGAAGGCTGGAACACACACTATGTTTTTTGGTTGGCACTCTGAGTGCCATTTGGTGGGCAGAGGATGGGTGCTGGGCAATGTCACTAAAGAAGACCTACACCACTAACTGCCATTAGCAGCACTGACAGGACAGGACAACCCCACGGAGAGATCACTGTTCTATCTATGAACGGCATTAGAGGAGGTACAGAGGGCTTGCTGCCATAGCTAGACAGCAAAATGATACACAGTAGAGTTGTCTACCACAGGAAACCTACCACTGGGCAAAAAAGCTGGTACACTAGTTACCAAATTAGTATTCAAATCAAGCCTGCAATTATCTTTCAAATATCCTCCTTTGTCTAAAACTAATTATATCCTGAGAGATCAGTATCATTAATATCATTACTTCAGGCACTGGCTTTAATACACTTAGTGTTCCTTACTAAGCTAATGACAAAGCCTATGTCATTGCTCAGATGCAGTCATTACTAAATAACAACAGTTAATACCAAACACGTTTATTTCCATTTTGAAATAAGATTAGGAAAGTAATTTCTTTCACAAAACTACTTTAAGTGATAGAGCTGAGATTCAAATCTAGTCAGTCTGGTTCCAGAAGCCATACTCTAAACCACTATACCTAATAATACAAAACAGATGAGAAAATCAGAAGGTAGACTAAATACAGAAGCAGCATTGGAAATGCATATTAAAATAAACACAAATCCATGTGTGGTGGCTCACCCCTATAATCGCAGCACTTTGGGAGGCCGATGTGAGCAGATCTTGAGGTCAGGAGATAAAGACCAGCCTGGCCAACATGGTGAAACCCCATCTCTACTAAAAATACAAAAATTAGCTGGGCGTACTGGTGCATGCCTGTAATCCCAGCTATTAGGGAGGATGAGGCAGAAGAACCACTTAAACCAGGGAGTCAGAGGTTGTAGTGAGCCGAGATCATGCCACAGCACTCCAGACTGGCAATAGAGCAAGACTCTGTCTCAAAAAGAAAAAACAAAAAAGAAAAAAAAGAAAAGAAACAACACAATCTACCTTTCAGAGGCTGTCAGTAGAAGAGTCTCAAGGGAATCAAATTCACAAGTCTTCTTTCCATGCACTGAAAAAAATGAATTACATCCTTCTGGCGGAGGTTCATCAGCTGCTATCTGTCACATAAGACATAACACATACTTTTTAACTTCTTAATCAAAGATGAAATAAAGACATGTATAATCAAAATAGGTGGTTAAAATATGACAAAACAACATCAGTGAAAGTGGCTAAGTGTGGTAGCTTATGCCTGTAATCCCAGCACTTTGGGAGGCCAGAGTAGGAGGATCACTTAAGCCCAAGAGAGTAGCCTGGGCAGCACAGTGAGACCCCATTTCTGAAAAAAAAAAAAACCATAAAAAATTAGTTAGGCATGGTGGCATACACCTGTAGTCCCAGCTACTGAGGAGGCTGAGGTAGGAGGACTGCTTGAGCCTGAAAGGTTGAGGCTGTAGTGAGCCATAATCACAGAACTGCACTCCATCCTGGACAGCAGAACAAGACCCTGTCTCAAAAAAACAAAATTGATAAATGCAAAAACAGTAATGGCTCATATCTGTAATCCCAGCACTTTGGGATGCAGAGGTGGGTGGATCACCTGCAGTCAGGAGTTCGAGACCAACCTAGCCAAAATGGTGAAACCCTATATCTACTAAAAATACAGAAAGTAGCTGGTAGGGCAGCAGGTTACCCCAGCTGAGGTTGGAAAATCATTTAAACCCAGGAGGTGGAGATCGCACCATTGCCCTCCAGCCTTCCAGCCTGGGTAACAGAGACTGCATCTCAAAAAAAAAGTATCAGTATCAGTATGAACTCACAAAGTTACCATGTATATACAGCTTTATAAATTACATCTTAGATATGTCTTTTTTTTTTTTTTTTTTTTGAGACACAGTCTTGCTCTGTTGCCAGGTTTTAGTGCCATGGCACAATCTCAGCTCACTGTAACCTCCGCCTCCCAGGTTCAAGCAATTCTCCTGCTTCAGCCTCCCAAGTAGCTGGGACTACAGGCACATGCCACCACGCCCAGCTAATTTTTGTATTTATAGAAGAGAAAGGGTTTCACCATATTGGTCAGGATGGTCTGTATCTCTTGACCTCGTGATCTGCCTGCCTCATATAGATACTTAGATATCTGGCTGGGCAACGTGGCTCACGTCTGTAACCCCAGCACTTCTGGAGGCTGGGATTACAGGCATGAGCCACATTGCTCAACCAGATATGTAAGAATCTTAAGTTATTTCTTATCTCTGTCCATTTAAAAGGTCTAAGTATATGGCCAGGTGCGGTGGCTTCTTAGACAAATAACTGATTGCTAAGCTAGTGACAGAGATACAAAATGAGCCTGAAATTTCTTGATATACCAGATGGCAAGAATGCAGTCAAAGAATACCATGGTGGCATCAAAAGACAGTTGAGAATTCACACTTTCTCATTTCCAAAATTAGTACAAAGCAACAGCAATCAAACAGTGTAGTAATGCTAAGCACAGACATACACCCTAATGGTGTAGAATAGACAGCCTAGAAATAAACCCTCATGTATGTGGTCAAATGATTTTCAACAAGGTTGTCAAGATTATTCAACAGAGAAAGGACAGTCTTTCCAACAAATGATGCTGGGAAAACTGGATATCCACATGCAAAAGAATGAAGTTGGAACAAATGTGGTGTTGTGACCTTATAGTCCCTGCTACCTGGGAGGCTAAGGTGGGGGCATTGCTTGAGCCCAAGAGTTCAAGTCCAGCCTGGGCAATGTAACAAAACCTTATCTCTTAAAAAAGAAAAAAGTTGGACTCTGACATAGTGTGGATGTTGTACCCTCTAAATCTTATGCTGAATTATAATTCTCAACATAGCGAAGGTGGGGCCTAGTAGGAGGTGACTGGATCATGGGGACAGATGGATGCCTAAAGGCCTGGTGCTGTCATAATGACAGTGAGTTCCCTTGAATAAAAAATAATAATTTTTATTTTTTATTCCCTTGAATAAAAAAATTTTAAAAACATCTAGGTTTTTTTTTTTTGTTTATTTTAAGATGAAGTTATGCTCTTGTTGCCCAGGCTGGAGTGCAATGGCAAGATCTCTGCTCACCACAACCTCCACCTACTAGGTTCAAGCAATGCTCCTGCTTCAGCCTCCAGAGTAGCTGGGATTACAGGCATGCATCACCACTCCCAGCTAATTTTGTATTTTTAGGAGAGACGAGGTCGAGGTTTCTCCATGTTGGTCAGGCTGGTCTCAAACTCCCGACCTCAGGTGATCCACCCACCTACCTCATCCTCCCAAAGTACTGGGATTATAAGCATGAGCCATCACGCCCAGCGATATCTACTAGTTAGAAGCATGTGGCACTCCCTGCCTCCTCTCTTGCTCCCACACTCGCCATGTGAAACGCCTGCTCCCCTTTCACCTTCCACCATGATTATAAGCTTCCTGGGGTCTCACCAGAAGCCAAGCATCATAAGCCAATTAAATCCCTTTTCATTATAAACTGTCTAGCTTCTTGTGTTTCTTTTTTTCTTTTTTTCTGTGTTTTTTTTTTTGACATGGAGTTTCACTCTTGCTGCCGAGGCTAGCATGCAAGGGCGTGATCTTATTATTAGCTCACTGCAACCTCTGCCTCCCAGGTTCAAGCAATTCTGCCTCAGCCTCCTAAGTAGCTGGGATTACAGGTATGTGCCACCACGCCTGGCTAAGTTTGCATTTTTAGCAGAGACAAGGTTTCTCCATGTTGGTCAGGCTGGTCTCAAACTCCTGACCTCAGCTGATTCACCTGCCTCAGCCTCCTAAAGTGCTGGGATCACAGGTGTGAGCTACTGTGCTGGCCCAGGTGTTTCTTTACAGTAAGCCAAGAATGGACTAACGAAGACCATTACCTTACACCATATACAAAAATTAATTCAAAATGGATTAAAGTCCAAAACTTAAAAGCTAAAATTAAAACTATAAAACTCGTAAAAAACATAGGGAAATCACTTCTCAGCCTTTTGGCTAAAATAAAGAATAAAAATCATATGGGGAGGCTGGGCGCAATGGCTCACGCCTTTAATCCCAGCACTCTGGGAGGCCGAGGCAGGCGGATCACGAGGTCGGGAGTTCAAGACCAGCCTGGCTAATAAAGTGAAACCCCATTTCTAATAAAAATACAAAACTTAGCTGGGCGTGGTGGCCTGTGCCTGTAATCACAGCCACAGGCAGAAGAATTGCTTGAACCCAGGAGGTGAAGGTTGTGGTGAACCAAGATGGCGCCACTGCACTCCAGCCTGGGCAACAGAGGGCGACTCCGTCTCAAAAAACAAAATCACACACGGAATCATCACAACATTGGACACTTTCTTAGCTATCACACCAAAAATACAAGCAACAAAAGGAAAAATAGGAAAACTGACTTAAAATTTAATACTTTAGCGTATTATCAAAGTAAAGAGGCAACTCAAGGAATGGGAACAAATATTTACAAATCACGTATCTAATAAGGAGTATCCAGAATGTATGAAAAACTATATAACTCAAAGCAAAAAACAAACAACCCAATTCAAAAATGGGCAAAAAACTTGAATAGACATTTCTCCAAAGAAGACATACAGATGGCCACTAAGCATATGAAAAGACGCTCCACATCGTTAGTCATTAGGAAAACGCAAATCAAAGCCACAATGAAATATCAGCTCCTACCCATCAGGAAGGCCTCTTTTTACAAATCAGTAAGTAACAAGTGCTGAAAAGGACGTGGAGCATTAAGAACCATCACACTTTACTGGTAGGAATGGAAATGGTACAGCAACTATGAAAAAATTTGTTGGTTCCTCAAAATGTTAAACAGAATTATTATGTGATCCAAGAATTACACTCTTTTTTTTTTTTTTAAACTGTCAGGATTGGTTTCCTTGCCCTCGATCCAAGAATTACACTTCTATGTGCATACCCAAACGAACTGAAAGCAGGGACTCAGCCAGATATTTGCATCCCAATATTCCACAGCAGCATTATTCACAATAGCCAAAAGGTGGAAACAACCCAAATGTCTATTAGGGAATGAATAAACAAAAGGTGGTATATACATACAATGAAATATTACTCAGCCATTAAAAGGAGTGAAATTTTGATGCACACCATACATGGATTAGTCTTGAAAACATGACACTATGTGAAATAAGCCAAACACAAAGAAAAACATTAAGATTCCCCTTATGAGGTACCAAGAATGGTGCCTAAACTCACAGATTTACAAAGTAGAATGGTGGTTGCCAGGGGCTGGGGATTAGTTGGGGACGAGAGGGGAAATAAGGAGTTATACTATTATGGGACAGAGTTTCAGTTTCCTAAGATGAAAAAAGTTCTAAAGATGGAGGGTGGTGATGATTGCACAACAATATGAATGCACATAATACCTTGTAAACCATACACTTAAAATTTGTTAAAATGGGCCAGGCACAGTGGCTACACCTGTAACCTCAGCATTTTGAGAGGCCAAAGTAGGTGGCTCATGCCACCTATGAGGTCCCACCATGAGGGCATGAGGTGGCTCATGCCCACCAGGAGGTCGGGAGTGGCTCATGCCTGTAACCCCAGCACTTTAAGAGGCCAAGGCGGGTGGATCACCTGAGATCGGAAGTTTGAGACCAGCCTGACCAACAGAGAAAAACCCCGTCTCTACTAAAAACAAAAAATTATCCGGGCGTGGTGGCACATGCCTGCAATCTCAGGTACTCACGAGACTGAGGCAGAGGAATCACTTGAACCTGGGAGGCAGAGGTTGCAGTGAGCCGAGACTGCGCCATTGAACTCCAGCCTGGGCAATAAAGAGTGAAACTCCATCTCAAAAAAAAGAAATTTTCTTGACTGTTTTTAGACCTACAGCAGGCTGTGATTAGATGCTGGCTCACTAGTTTAACAAGATTACATCTCCCAGGCTGTGTTGTATAAAGTCTTGCCATCTCTTTTCTATATAGATATTTCTTTTCTTATATATTTTTTAATCTGTGGGTTGAAGACTTAACATTGATTTTGCTTATTATTTAAAATAAAATAAAATAAATCCTAGAAAATTTCAGGCAAAAAAAGCGATGGCTCTATAATTCAATTCTAGGACAACTGCAATCTATCCATTCATCACAACATATGCTCTAAAATGCTGTTCTTTAAGAGCACTGGACCCACCTGCTGGAAGGCTTGGATCGTAGCTGAGTAGGAACGAAGAGACAGGCAAAATTTTAACAAATTCTGCTGGAGAGGTGACAGAAACTGAAATGCGGCTTCCAATATTGCATGATAATAGGAATAATCAGTATCTGTCAAGGAAAAACATTAACCAAAGTAATTGCATGTGACTAGAGATACCTAAAAAAGATAGTTCATGAAGCATAAAGCTGTGTTACAAAGGTATGTGATGGAAGTTTTATGAGTATGTTGTCTTGAACTATCAACAAATGCTTAAAACTCCCCGGAGGACACAATGCAGCTGGGCTCTTCCTCTCTCTTCTTCCCTTCTTCCCAACTATTTCTACCCCTGGACCACTATTTTCCCACTTACCTGGATGACTTACTGGTATGTACTTCTTCAGAAAGAATTTAGCTGTAAAATCACCTACTCCAGGAAGTCTCCACAATCCCTACCCCATGCTTCAGTGGACCAGTTAAATCTCTTCATTGATCCCAGAACACTTCTCTGTTTACCTCTTCAACTTATCATATCATTTACTAAATTATTTATTGACTGTCTGTCTATACCCCAACTAGATATTTGGTCCCCAGAGGCAGAGACTATGAGCTATTTATCCTTATATCCCTGATGCCTAGCACACAGTATCTACTCCAAAAACTAAACAAAACTGAGTAGTGTGATGATGAAGTTACACACTATTAAAGAATACTGATGAAATTGTAAAGTTTGAAAAGAAGCATTTTAACAAAAAGTTGGACCAATCTATTTTGAAGAAAGAAAAAAAAATCCATGTACTAATGTGAAAAAATCTCCAGCATAAATGAAAAGCAAAGGCACAAAACAATGTACAAAGTAACTTACTTTTTTTAACCAGGAGAAAGAATGAGAAATAAGAGTATATATGTACATACTTGCCATTAAAAACACTGAAGCCTAAATAAACTAATTTAAAATGTTATAAAAAGCAGGAAAAACACAGAAGAAACATGGTCAAGAAGGAAACAAGATTTTTCTGTGTATAACCTTTCATATAGCTTTGACTTCGGAATCACGTTATCCATGCAAAAAACGTAAATTTTCCATTTTAAAAGACAAGCACAGTGATTCATGCTTGTAATCCCAGCACTTTAGGAGGCTGAGGCGGGAGGATTTCCAGAGCCCAGGAGCTCAAGAAATCAGCCTTGTTAAAATAGTGAGTCTCCTTTTAAAAAAATAACAATAGGCTTGCACAGTGGTTCACACCTGTAATCCCAACACTTTGGAAGGCCGAGGCGGGTGGATCACGAGGTCAAGAGATCGAGACCATCCTGGTCAACATGGTGAAACCCCGTCTCTACTAAAAATACAAAAATTAGCTGTGCATGGTGGTGCGTGCCTATAGTCCCAGCTACTCAGGAGGCTGAGGCAGGAGAATTGCTTGAACCAGGGAGGCGGAGGTTGCAGTTAGCCGAGATCACATCACCACACTCCAGTCTAGGCAACAGAGCAAGACTCTGTCTCAAAAAAATAAATTAGCTGGGCATGGTGGCAAGTACTTGTAGTCCCAGCTACTCAGAAGGCTGAGCCAGGAGAAATGACTGAACCCTGGAGATGGAGGCTGCAGTGAGCCCAGATTGCACCACTGCACTCCAGCCTAGGCAACAATGACTTCTTCTCAAAAAATAAAAATTAAAAAAAAAAAAGAACCTATATCTGTCAATGTAAATTAATATTCAAGGTTCTAACTACTCACATATCAGCATGTCCAACTATTAATGTTTACACTCTGTATAGCTTATATCAAGTTTTAAAAATGTGAAAGCACATCATAAAAACTGCAAATGAGGTTTTACAGGATAATAATTAATTTGATACCTTACTCAAGCTGTGGGTGGCTGGCAGGCATAATGGAAAACATTCTGGATGATACTAACTTAATGATAATGAACTTAACAGACAATAGCTCAGTTTGGTAATTAGTTCATAGCAGCAACAAAAACCAGTGAATCAGATTAGATGGTTATTAATACTGAATGATTTGAAATGAAATGTACTTGCACAAAATATTCACATAGCACTTTAATAAAGGATTATGATAGAACAAAAACAAAAGGGCAGAAAACGAAGGCACCCCTATAGCCAAAGTTATAAACTGCTTCAAAAATATTTGTGTTGTGTTGGCTCTTCTTGAGAGGCATCATAACTCCAGTCATCAAAGACAACAATGTTTTCCATTAACTGCCATGCCACACATAATATAAAGAGACCGCTTTTTCCTAATATTTTCCCAGACACCAAAGTCAAAGAAGCATTTGCTTCAATTTTACCGTGATGATCTGATGATCCAACATTTTGACTGGTTTCTACAAAATTCCAAAATTTCTCTTGACTGTCTTCTGCTAAAAACTCACTGGGAGAAAAGGAGGAAATATCAGAAATAAAACAATAAAATTTTCTAATATAAACTGTATTACTAAAAAGAGTAAAAATAAGTTCTGAAGTTTCTAAATGTCCGTAGTTTGAGTTTTAATCTATTATATATGTTATACTCCTTTATGTATAATATATATATATATTTAATGATAAGCAAGTCCTACCAACTTATTAGTTACTAACAGCTTATGAACTTTTTCACTTATTAGCGATTTCTTAAGAAACCTGGAATAATAAAAACATAACAGGAAAGTCCCAATATAAGAAAGCTTATGAAACCCCACTGGCAAAAATACTATGCGTAGTGAAAGCAGAATTAGGAACTGATAATTCTAGTGCTAGTTTTGCTTACTTATTTTCTAAAAGACCTTACAAAGAACCAAAAAATATTTTGCCTAAAGTTCTCCCACAGTAAAATATGAACCCTAGAAAAATTTCTGGGAGACTAAAGGCAGCATGTTGTAATCTTTTAACACCAATAAATCCAAATTTTCAAGATCACCAAATTTAGTTTAAAATTACCACTGATCTAACAAAATCAGATCCAAGAACTTAAAGCTATCTCAACTTTTTTTTAATTTTACACTACTAAAATAATGGTCAATCTAAATTCCCCTTCATTCAAGAGTCTAAAACCCCTAAAAGGAAATGCATGTAGTAATTGAATGATTCACGTCAACTGGTTAACCTCTCCTCTGAGCCATAATACTAATGCACTGGTGATCTTTCACTGTCTTAAAGCAAACTACAAATCTGGATCTCAGCTTACCTAGCCAAAGGAAGACTTTCCCATTACTTGTCAACACTGGGGTGTACAATCTCACTCTACTTCACAGCTAGACACAGAAATACGGGAAAAATAAGAAACATTTCCTGGTAATGCACAGCTTCTCTAAAAGTAGGTTTCTGAAAATACCCATTATCATAATATATTAAATTTCTTAATGCCTCCTTGAGAGTAGTATTTACTAGGCTTTCTAGTAACTGACATAGACACCACACCAAGCTTACCATAGCTTATAGTCTAAGAAAACAGGTACTAAGACAGATACATTAGGATATGCAAATAAACACTAAATTAATTAATTAAAGGCACATTCACAAGATAAGTTAGCAGAAAGGGTCAGGGTAACACACTCATCAGTATGGTGAGAAATAGGATTCACTTGAGCTAAGACTCTCCCAGTAAAGGCCATACAGAAATAAATATATGCTTTTCATACGATTACAGGGAAACTTCTTGAAACATGCGTTCTTTTTCACGCCACTGCGTACATTAAGTCTTACAAGGTCTAAACTTGTAATAGTCCTAATATTACTTACTAGAGCCACTGAGACAACCCAGGGGAGAAAAAGAACAAGATATCGTTAAATAAATGCTGCTGCTTTTTTACAGTATATTTTTGTTGCTTTTTGTTTTTTTAGCTTCTCATATAACACTTATTCCATTAAGTATAAATTATGATTTTACAGGCGAGGCGTAGTGGCTAACACCTATAATCCCAGCACTTTGGGAGGCCAAGGCGGATGGATCACCTGAGGTCAGGACTTCAACAGACCAGCCTGGCCAACATGGTGAAACCCCTTCTCTACTAAAAATACAAAAAAATTAGCCGGACATGGTGGCGCATGCCTGTAATCCCAGCTACTTGGAGGCTGAGGCAGGAGAATCGCTTGAACCTAGGAGGTGGATGTTGCAGTGAGCCGAGATGGCACCACTGCACTCCAGCCTGGGCAACAAGAGCGAAACACCGACTCAAAAAAAAAATTTTGATTTACAAATTATACGATGTCTAGGATTTGCTTTAAAATATTCCAGGGCAGGAGGAGAGAAGGTGGTGGTGATGTGGTTATTGGACTTACATTGATAATTTATAAAACAGAATGCTTAGTACAGAGAGAGTACATTATACCATTCTCTCCATATATAAATGTTTTGAAATGCCATAATCTAGGACAGGTTTTTAATCTACAACACAAAAAACTACAAACAACTGGAATGAATGCCCACAAGATAGTACAAATCGGGTGGCAACTTGTTCTCTTAGATTTCCAAAGCTATGGTGGGAGATCAGCATTGGCCTTCCTTCTATGCAGAACCAGAAGGAGAGAAGAAACTAATATTTAAGGAGGGTCTACGGTGTGACAGTCACTATGCTTGGCATATTCACCCAAGTCTTCAAATCCACACAGCCACCCTTAGATATAACCATTTTTCAAATAAAGAAGCTGCAATTCGGAGATGCTACAACTTGCTTAGGGACATAGAATTAGTCAATGGAAAAGCTGGAATATAAACTCATGTCTATTTAATTTATACCTCTTTCATGCTACATTCTTGGGTCATTAGAAAATTTAGCACTCAATAAATGATTATTGGCTTTGATTTTAATAATACTTCCTTGTAGAATATTTCTGTAACTACAGCTGCAGAAAACGTATTTAGTGTTTTACTTCAATTCAAGGTAAGTATAATTTCATGAACAACCACAAAGCAACTCTGTCACAAACATCAGATCCAATCTAAAAATATACAACAGAACTATTTTTAGTCCCTAAGAGCTAGATGCAAGGAAGGCAAAAGATCTGTGGTGGCTGCATGTCATAAAGTGTAGTAAAAGATTCTGATCCTTCATCCCTAATCAAATGAATGGAGTGCCTCAATCCATCATCAGGGTCTCCCATATAAATAAGACGGAAGGATGGTGGGCTCAACTAGCTCTGGAGGCAAATACTACATGGATTCAAATAAGCATAGCTCATTTATACGTGTTGCCTACATGTCCTATTACCTTGGCAAACTGTATGCAAATCACTACAGGAAAAAGAGGCCTAAAAATAGTAAACCAAAATGGCAAGTGTAGCTCTTACCTCACATGCCAAGGAAAAAAATTAATAAAAATAAGTATAAAAGGCCAGGTGCAGTGGCTCATGCCTGTAATCCCAGCACTTTGGGAGGCCAAGGCGGGCAGATCACTTGAGGTCAGGAGTTCGAGACCACCCTGGCCAACATGGTGAAACTCCAACTCTACTAAAAAGACAAAAATTAGCCAGGCCTGCGCCAGCTACTCAGGAAGCTAAGGCAGGAGAATGAGAATGAGCTTGAAGCCGGGAGGCAGAGGTTACGGTGAGCCAAGACATTCCACCCCAGGTGACAAAATGAGACTCTGTCTCAAAAACAGGGGGTGGGAGAGGGGATAGTAAATCTCAATGACAGATTTATACCAAATAAACCATCCAAAATAAGATTAGCAAAAAGAAAAAGAAAAACTTTAGTTTTTAGAGTCCAGGCTCAGGCTCTAGCTCAGGCAGTCTCAAAATATCTTTGGTCACTGTTTTTTGTTGGTTTTGTTGGGCTTTTGTTCCCCATAATAAGAACTCGAAAAAAAAGGGCCACTTCATTTTTACAACTACTCCGTATCTAAGTTCTGACACTTGAGAAGCTTGACCCATTTATCAAATTAGTTATCATAATATCACTATGTATTATATACAATGGTTTTGTCTTTGTTGTGCCACTTCTGTGCTGAGAAAGAATGGCAGAGAGAGGTGATGGAAGGAAGTCTATTTAGCAGAAAGTCGGCTAGGCTCCTAAACCAGACAAGACCGGCTCCTGCATGCCCCTTCCCATTGGTCCTCTTAGCAATATCAAATGAGGCTTTTTCCTTAAGAGGTGCAACCACTGGTTCACGCAATCAACATAACAAAACTCTTCATCCTCATTTTTCTAGGAATTAAGGGGAAATGTTAGAATACAAAATTCTAAAAGCCAGGCATGGTGGTTTACCCCTGTAATTCCACCACTTTGGGAGGCCGAGGCAGGTGAGCTCACGAGTTCGAGACCAGCCTGACCAACAAGGTGAAACCCCATCTTTATAAAAAATACAAAAATAAGCTGGGGTGGTGGCTCATGCCTATAGTCCCAGCTACTCGGGAGGCCTAGGTAGGAGGACTTCTTGAGCCCAAGAGGCAGAGGTTGTAGTAAGCTGAGATCATGCCACTGCACTCTAGCCTGGACACTAGAGACAGATTGTCTCAAAAACTCTCAAAGAAGAAAAAATTCTAAATTTAAGATGAAGCAGACAGACCACAAAGTGATTGAGGTGATATGATAGTCCAAATTTCTAGTACGATCAAACACCGAGACTTGCTCCTCAATCTACCTACACTTATCCTTTGGAAAGTCTCTGCTAGTTCTACCTCTACATTACTTGGATATAATCAAAATAAGTTTCTATCCATAAGCATATGAACCCTACCTATAAAGACAGTATCTCATTATAATTATTTATAAATGCTAGCAAAAAAGCACACTTGGAATACAAAATTTCCCATGAAATTGACTATATTATATTTCACTAATTTTAAGACAACTATTGTTTTATGAAAAAAACTACCCATTTTAATTGTAACATAACTTCTTTCTTTTTTTGAAATGGAGTATTGCTCTGTTGCCCAGGTTAGAGTGCAATGGCACAATCTTGGCTCACTGCAACCACTATCTCCTGGGCTCAAGTGATCCTCCCACCTCTGCCTCCCAAGTACCTGGGACTATAGGCACCACGATCAGCTTGTTTTTTTTGGAGAGATGGGTTTCCTCATACTGCCCAGGCTGGTCTCAAACTCCTGGACTCAAGCAATTCACATACCTCAGCCTCCCAAAGTACTGGGATTACAGGCATGAGCCACCAGGCCTAGCCATGTTTTTAATCATTTAAAAAGAAAGACTGAGCTTCGTGGGCAAAATCTCCTAATCTTATGCTCAGCCATGCACCAGCAGGCCCAGCTAATTGTTGCCAGGCTGGTGGTGAACTCCTGACCTCAGGTGATCCACTCACCTCGGCCTCCCAAAGTGTCGGGATTATAGTTGTAAGCCAACACACTCAGCCTTCTTCTAGGTTAAGGGAAATATGTCCTCTTTCCCCGACATTGCTAAGCCCTCTTCTCTTCCTTTTATCAGTCACCTCTTAAAACTTTCTTCAAATAAGAAAAAAATTTAAATACAACTGGCCAGGCATAGTGCTTCACGTCTGTAATCCCAGCACTTTGGGAGGCCAAGGTGGGCAGCAAGCAGATCACATGAGGCTAGGAGTTCGAGACCAGCCTGGCCAACATGGCAAACTCCCTGTCTCTACTAAAAATATAAGGATTAGCTGGGCGTGGTGGGGCACTTCTGTAAACCTAGCTACTTGGGAGGCAGAGGCATGAAAATCCCTTGAACCCGAGAGGCAGAGTCATAGTGAGCTAAAATCTCACCAATGCACTCCAGCCTGGGAAACAAGCAAGACTCTATCTCAAAAACTAAACAAATAAACATAACTCTCTCTTCCCTTGTTATGCTTTTTGGAAAGTAACATACTAACTTACCCAACACAGTTATTTGCCTAAAGTTCCTACATATCTCATAGAGCCCTTGTCCTACTGAACAATGTTGTTCCCTATGTGAAGGGAAAAAAAATGTTCTCTTACCTGGCTTCTAACAACAATGGAGTGGAAAACCATTTTGTTGTAAGAGAGGTTGTAATGGCTTTTGAGTCCGCCTTTACTGAGGAGAACAGCCACAGAACCATGAGTACAATCAGAACTCCCATTTTACAGCAAACTCCTAAAAGGAAAAAAAGAAAAAAAGTTTTGCTACAAGGTAATTTTTTTTGTGGGGAGACAGAGTCTCGCCCTGTCACCAAGCCTGGAGTGCAATGGCACAATCTCAGCTCACTGCAACCTCTGTCTCCTGGGTTCAAGTGATTCTCCTTCCTCAGCCTCCCAAGTAGCTGGGATTACAGGCACATGCCACCACGCCCAGCTAATTTTTTGTATCGTTAGTAGAGACAGGGTTTCACCATGTTGGCCAGGCTGATCCTAACCTCCTAACCTCGTGATCTGCCTGCCTTGGCCTCCCAAAGTGCTGAGATTACAGGCATGAGCCACCGGCCAGCCTGCTATAAGATAATTTTAACCTCATACTTGGAGACACAAAATAAGTTAGTGAAACAGAAATGCTTCTGACATATAATAGCACCTAATATCTAGCTAGTCCAACAGATATTTGCTGAGTTACTGACATGTAACTGATGGCATATAGGTTATTACATTCTTTCCTACAAAGGCTCTGCTTCATTTCCAAAGGAATCTACACTATACAAGGGTATAAAAACCAATTGGTGGCACACCAGGTTGCACACAACCATACTTTATAAAGAATGTAAGCAAATAAATCTGAGATAGGTGAAAATGTAAATGATGGGCATTAAGGATTGAACTGTACCCCCCACCAAAAAAATATGGAAATCCTAGTCCCCAGTACCTCCTAATGTCAACTTATTTTTAAGTATGGTCTTTACAGAGGTCGTTAGTTAAAATAAGGTAATTAGGTGGGTGCTAATCCAATGACTGATGTTATAAAGAGAAGAAATCTGAACAGAGATAGCACAGAGGGACAACTACGTAAAGAGACACCGGGGACTACCAGAAGCTGAAGAGTCAAAGATTCTCCTCCGAAGATTTCAGCGGCAACGGGATCCTGTGAAACCATAATCAGGAATTAATCAGGACTTCTAGCACTGTGAGACAGTAAATGTCTGTTGTTCTAAGCCACTCAGTTTGTGATACTTTGTTGTGGCAGCCCTAGGAAACTAACATAATGGGTCTCAAATGTAAACTCAGACAGGTTCTAAAATGTAGAAATGTAAGATTTTAGTGGTTTCCCAAGCCATCTACAAAATGAGGAATCTGATGTCACTGGCAAAGTGGATGGCCACAGAATGCAGGCCTCCTGACTCCCTCAGCAGCCTCTCCAAGCCTGTCAAGATCCTCACAGACAGCATCCATAAAATTTCAGAAAAAGGTCTCTAGCTGCAGATTTCTCTGATCTGATTTTCATTGCAAAAGTCCACCTAACAGAACCCTAATCAGACCTCCCCTGAGCTATATAAAAGTCAATATCCAAGCTCCACCTATGTGAATGACAACTAAAAGGGGGTGTGAATATGTGGAAAACACTAACCTATCCTTGGGCTACAGAATGTTAGCTCTGGTAAGGCTCACTTCCATCTCATCCCAGTTCCTTAATACTGGTTAAAAAATCTATCACTGAGTGAGGCTGTCCACATTAAGGACCAGTCAACAGCTTCTTTTTATAAAAAGCATCATTTGCATTAACATCCTGTTTCATATAACATACAGTATCTCTGAAGAACGATCGTCAAAAGCAAAATAAATCATACCAAATAGAAAAGTGGCTTTTAGAAGCATTCTAAGTTCAAGGCACTGCCAGCTTCTTTTGAGACAAAAAAAAAAATTAATTAGCCAGGCTTGGTGGCACGCACCTATGGTCCCACCTACTTGGGAAGCTGAAGTGGGAAGAGAGTTTGAGCCCAGGAGGTCCATGCTGCAATGAACAATGATGGCACCACTGCATTCTAGCCTGGGCGACAGGGCAAGAGCTGTCTCAAAATCTAATAATAAGATGAACATCTCACTTATAAATAAAAACACTCAGAAGTCCTTTTCAAAAATCAACATTTGTAAAAACTGCTATAGAGGCTACAAGAACGAATGAATACACACACAAAAATGGAACCCACTGAAATTAGAGATAACCAAACTAGATTTTATACAATGAAACCTGCTAGCAGTAATGCCTGGCTGAGCCAGGTCAGGGAAGAGGATGTAGGCCTTCTTTGGAATCTAGTAAAGTTACTGACATTTCTCACAGAGGAACAAACTTTTTTTTTTTTTTTGAGACAGAGTATCACACTGTTGCCCCAGCTGGAGTGCAGTAATATGATCTCGGCTCACTACAACCTCTACCTCCTGGGTTCAAGCGATTCTCCTGCCTCAGCCTCCCAAGTAGCTGGGGTTACAGGCAGCCACCACCATGCCGGGCTACTTTTTGTATTTTTAGTAGAGATGGGGTTTCACCATGTTGGCTACGCTGGTCTCAAACTCTTGACCTTATGATTTGCCTGCCTCGCAAAGTGCTGGGATTACAGGTGTGAGCCACCATGCCCAGCCGCAAGACCCAAACTTTTATGTACGACTTCAGATCACCCAAGAATTCTCTTAGGACTGGCTGGGCACGGTGACCCACACCTGTAATCCCAGCACTTTGGGAAGCCGAGGCAGGCAGATCACTAGGTCAGATCAAGACCATCCTGGCTAACATGGTGAAACGTTGTCTCTCCTAAAAATACAAAAAATTAGTCGGGCATGGTGGCATGTGCCTATAGTCCCAGCTACTTGGGAGACTGAGGCAGGTATTGCAGTTAGCTGAGATGCCCCACCACACTGCAGCCTGGGCGACAGAGTGAAACTCCATCTCAGGGACGTTCTCTTAGGTCTAACCACAGACACCCTTTCCCACAGGCCCATAGACTACAGCCTCAAAAACCTGTTCTACGGGACACAATAGACATGGTTTGTTTAAAAAAAAAAAAAGAACCTTTTAGCATCAGGGCAGGCAGCAGTGATCAATTCCTCAGTTTGCTACTTACTATCACTTTAACCATATATGTGTTACCTAATTTCTCTGGCCCTTAGTCTCCAAAACTATTAAAGTAGGACTAACAGTATCTGCCTCACAGGGTCAACATGAAAATGAACAGGCAGGCCCCACGCGATGGCTCACGCCTGTAATCCCAGCACTTTGGGAGGCCAAGGTGGGCGGATCACTCAGGTCAGGAGTTCGAGACCAGCCTGGCCAATATGGTGAAACCCTGTCACTAAAAAGAAAATGAACAGGCAATAAAAAAATCACTTTGTAAAGTGGCAAGTACTATACTGGAATTGATTGTTGCAGTAAAACATTTTATCGTAAGAAAAAACTATTTTCTAGATTATAGAGTATATCATTGTTAATAAATAACCTCAAAAATATACACATTGGGAATACATCCTCTGTGGCTGAGAGAAAAAAATTCTCCCCAAAAGTTACTGAGTTTTTCTTCTTTTTTTTAATCTGGCCTTACTGAGTCAATGAGTTTCTAAACTGGAGACAGAGCATCATATGAACAGGGTTCTAGCAGTGTAACACTATTAGCTATATTACAATTTGTCCTGAAGGGGCCTAGATGTGTAAGCCTCAGAAAGTGGTGATTCCTGATGATAAATTGGATGCCACTGCACAGTAACCCCAGGTAGACAGCATGTAGAGTGGAGAGGAAACTGGGAGTACGACAAAGCCCCCGAGGAAACGTTAGCATTTAACAAGCAAGGACTCTGGGCTGTGCTTTACATACACAATGTTATCTAATCCTTATATACAACAACCCAGGGCACAAAAGTTCCCTAAGGGCAGCAACCATGTCTACTTTGGTCACCAAAGCGCCAGATGCCTGGCTGGCACGCAGAAGAAATTCCATGAATATGCTACATGCATGGATGAAACATTATCATCTCCACTTTAAAAATAAGTAAAGTGCCAGGCACAGTGGCTCACGCCTGTAATCCCAGCACTTTGGGAGGCCCAGGCAGGCGGATCGCCTGAGGTCAAAGGAGTTCAAGACCAGTCTGGCCAATGTGGTAAAACCTCGTTTCTACTAAAAATACAAAAACTAGCTGGGTGTGGTGGCAGGAACCTGTAGTACCAGCTACTTGGGAGGCTAAGGCAGGAGAATCACTTGAACCCGGGAGGCAGAGGTTGCAGTGAGCTGAGACTGCACAACTGTACTCCAGCCTGGGCAACAGAGCTAGACTCCATTTCAAAAAAAATAAAATAATAAAAGAAAAAAGAAAAGTGAAAGCTCAAAGACACTAAGTACCTTGCCTAACTAATAAATAGCAGTGCTTAGAACCCACACCTTCCTGGCCGAGCTCAGTGGCTCAAGCCTATTCCCAGCACTCTGGGAGGCCATGCAGATCACCTGAGGTTGGGAGTTCAAGACCAGACTGATCAACATGGAGTCTCTACAAAAAATACAAAATTCGCCAGGCAAGGTAGCACATGCCTGTAATCCTAGCTACTCGGGAGGCTGAGGCAAGAGAATCGCTTGAACCTGGGAGGCAGAGGTTGCAGTGAGCCGAGATCTCGCCATTGTACTCCAGCCTGGATGACAAGAGCCAAACTCCATCTCAGAAAGAAAAGAAAATGATCACATCATCTTGTGTTGTCACAGGGAAACTTAAAAAGAAAATGCTCACAGACAGCTGCAGGTAAGTTTTAAAAGAATTTTCTTTATAGTTTAACATATTCCCCTGAAGTTCAATACACATTATAAATGTGCCATGCTACTGAAACAAAGTATTATGCTTACTTCCTTTAATAAAAATAAGTGGCCAGGAGCTCAAGATCAGACTGGGCAACGAAACAAGACCTCATCTCTACAAAATAAATAAATGACAATTTTTTAAAAATAAGCTTCAACTAAGTTTATCAAAAGCAAGTCAAGTGTTGCTAAATTCGACTAGCTTTATTAAAAAAAAAAAAAAGTGCAAAGGCTACAATCATTCCAAGTTTTGTGGTGTTATTAAATAGCTATTTAAAATGTCTTCAAAGGCTTGCAAATGCAAGATTCTTGAAAGAAAGAGGGCACTTTATACTAAAATCGGCTGGCAAGTGCATCAATGAATATTTCCGAAACAGTGCAGCACCGTGAGGCAAAAGTCCCAGGACTTCAAACGAACAAAATATGCTCCTTCTCAAATCTGCCAAGAAATGCAGAACAAGCTGCAGATTCTGGCCAAGGAACAAAAACAGTTCACATCTATAAATTATTGGCAACGGACGTAGATCTCATTCTGGCAGGTCCCACACTAAAAGTGAAACCGGATCATCCAAATTTCCAGCCAAGAGATCACAGTTTTAAACGAAAACAGCAACCAATACGCATCAACCCGAATTCATTTTGGGAAAAACACGAATCTATTTTTAAAAGCACGTCGTTCTGCTGTCAGGGACCTGCAAAGTGCTGGTTCTCAACTCACTGAGGCTCAAGCTTGGTCTAAATTAATGGCAGGACACTTCCCCCACTTCCCTCTGCACTTGGGCACAAGGATCCAAAGCTCTTCAAAGAAGGTTCAAGATCGCTGAACAGAGCCCGCCGCCATCCCCGCGGAAGCGATACCTTGCCAAGAAGACCACTGAGGGCGCTAGAGAATAGGGGAAGAGTTGGGACACCGGATGGGAAACTGAGTCACGGTAGAGACGGAAGCTCAATGTGACGGGGGCACAGGGTCGCCTCGCGCCTCAAACTCTCTCTCCGTCCATGAGGCCTTCTCATGCCACCCCTGGGTACCTGTCACCGGCAGCGCAGCCGCAGCACACGCACCGCTCGCGTCTCCCTTGCTGCCCATGCCCGGGCCGCGGCTTGTCCCCTACAGCGCGAGAGACAACGCCAGGGCAGGGCGGGGCGGAGCGGCAGCGGCGGTGCAGGCTGCGCCAGTGAGAAGCCGACACGCGCCTCTCCCGCGGCCCACTCTGCAGCCTGCCTCTCAGAGAAACTGCCCAGCGGCCGGCCGCCCTTTTACTTCCGCTTCCTAAAGACGAACGCTGGAGGACTTCCGGCTACCGAGTCGAGACCTGGCAACCCAGATCGTCGCGCGGTGGCCATCTTCTCTCCGAAGGAGTCCCGCCTCTCTCCTCACTTCCGCCCTTCAGGGTGGCGGAGCGGCTGTCAGTCTTCAAGGTCTTGGGAAGGTGCGTTGGGCCAACTACAGAGACCCGGAAGCTGTAACAGTCGGTGAAGGTCCAATTTAGACTCTGGGACTTAGTCCCTTAAACCTGTGTTAAAATCTTACTTCGGTGGCACAGTAAGGACAATTGTCTTAATGTTTCTAAGCGTCTTAGACTTTATACTAAACCCTAAAGTTTTGATAGCTACTTTCCTATCATGATGGGGGCATGATGAAAGGAAGACTTTTTAAATTTTATGAGCCAGTTTAGCTTATCATAGTCGGGCAGCGGCAGCTTAATTTACAGGGACTAGTTTGTCCTTTGATTTTTTTTTTCTTTTGAACAATCAGGACACTGATGATTTTTTTTTTAACTAATATAAACCAGTTTAAAATTGTTCTGGAATCGGTAGCATATCACCCACCCAGAAATGAATACCTCTTTGGAGGGTATATTTTTTAACTATTTTAAGTCAAAGTGTTCCTGCTGGCAGGTGGTGGTTAAAAAAAATTGAGAAGTCAAAGTGAATGAAAAGCCAAAAATACTTCTTTATTGTTTTTGATTTGGAGTCTTGCTCTGTCGCCCAGGTTGGAATGCGGTGCCGCGATCTCAGCTCACTGCAACCTCCGCCGCGGCCCCCTCCCCCGCCCCACCTCTCTCGACCGATTCTCCCACTTCTCCCACCTCTGCCTCCCGAGTAGCTGGGATTACAGGCGTAAGCCACCATGCCCGGCTAATTTTTGTTTGTTTTGAGACAGAATCTCGCTCTGTCGCTGGAGTGCAGTGACGTGGTCTCGGCTCACAGCAACCTCCGCCTCCCGGGTTCGAGCAATTCTCTGCCTCAACCTCCCGAGTAGCTGGGATTACAGGCACCCGCCACCACAGCCCGCTAATTTTTGTACTTTTAGTAGAGGCGGGGATTTCAACATCTTGGCCAGGCTGGTCTTGAACTCCTGACGTCGTGATCCACCTTCCTGGGCCTTCGAAAGTGCTGGGATTAACAGGCTGGAGCCACTGTGCCTGGCTAATTTTTGTATTTTTAGTAGAGACGGGGTTTCACCATCTTGGCCAGGCTGGTCTCTAACTGCTGACCTCAGGTGATCCACCCACCTCGGCCTCCCCAGTGCTGGGATTACAGGCATGAGCCACAGCGCCCGGTCCAAAATAATTTTAAGAAGTAAACATGAGCCAAGATGATGATGAAGCGGAGGAAGGAGAGGAGAATGAAGGAGATGACTAATAGAACACTGATGGATTCCAACCTTCCTTTTTTTACATTTTCTCCAGATCCTGGGAGCAAGTTACAGTTTTGTTTTTGTTGTTGTTGTTGTTGTTTTCCTTTCCCCTTGTGCTCAGTCGCCCTGTTCTTGAGGTTTCTTTTCTCTACACTATGGTTCTCAGCTTATTTTGGGGGAAATGCCTGGAGCAGAATACAATGGGGAAAGAGTCTCGACCTCTTTCTGTCCGAAATTCATTTTTCTACCTTCCTGTCTGAGCAAAAACTATGGACTCAACATCACTGAGCTCTGTGAGAAAAAAAAAAACTGCTTTCCTCACTCTGCTGGAAGCTGGAGAGCTCTAGGCCCCTGGGGAGCAAAGCCTTCAATTCTAGCTTTCTTCCTGCTTCCTCTGTATATTAGGCTCTGAGAGTACACTGGGTCTCCATGGGATCATGGACAGTTAGCATTTACGAACGTGTATCTGTCTTTTTTTTTTTTTTTTTTTTTTTTGAGACGGAGTTTCGCTCTTGTTACCCAGGCTGGAGTGCAATGGCGCGATCTCGGCTCACCACAACCTCCGCCTCCTGGGTTCAGGCAATTCTCCTGCCTCAGCCTCCTGAGTAGCTGGGATTACAGGCACGCACCACCGTGCCCAGCTAATGTTTTGTATTTTTAGTAGAGACGGTGTTTCACCATGTTGACCAGGATGGTCTCGATCTCTTGACCTCGTGATCCATCCGCCTCGGCCTCCCAAAGTGCTGGGACTACAGGCGTGAGCCACCGCGCCCGGCCAGTATCTGTCTACTTTCTCTTAAAAGAAGAAAGAAAAGGCCGGGCGCGCTGGGTCACGCCTGTAATCCCAACACTGTGAGGCCAAGACAAGCGGATCACCTGAGGTCAGGAGTTCGAGACCAGCCCGACCAACATGGAGAAACCCTGTCTTTACTAAAAATACAAAAAAATTAGCTGGTCAATGGTGGCGGATGCCTGTAATCCCAGCTACTCAGGAGGCTGAGGCTGGAGAATTGCTTGAACCCAGGAGGCGGAGGTTGCCATGAGCCGAGATCGCGCCAGTGCACTCTAGCCTGGGCAACAAGAGCAAAACTCTGTCTTAAAAAAAAGAAGAAGAAAGAAAAAACTTTGAAAAAATGGGATTATAGAAATCAGCAAAAGTGGCTCTAAGATGTTTGTGTGGGTTAAGGGGCATTTTTGACAACATGGCTTCTCCTTTGGCATGTTAATTGTGATGTCTAACAGACATCCTTGCAGTTTAAGATGACACTTTTAATATAAATGTTCTCTTAATGATGACTTGAGCCCTGCCACTCAATGGGAGACTCAGCAGAACCTGTAGGATCTTATTTGGAATTGACATTCTCTTTTGTAGTTTTGTTCCTTTTATTTTTAAATTTTGTTTCACTGGAAAGGAAAGATGCTCAGTTTTAAACTTTAAAAGTGTACAAGTTGCTTTGTTACAATAAAACTAAATGGGTATCCACACATACAAAAAGAAAGAAATATGAGCATTTAAAAATTTATTTCACAAGGGAGCTGTCATATTAGCTTTCCATAGTGTGTTTTCCGGCCTTCTTTAAATCACTTCAGCTAATGCTTCCATAAAAAGGAAATCGTTAATTTACCACTTTACAAAGTTGATTATATACTTTTTTTGGCCTTTACTTGATCTTCTGCTATGTGATACATGATCAAAACCAAAATTTGCTTAGTTTTAAAATACAACTAAGTGGTAGTGCAGAACTTCTAAGAAAGTTGGATTTCACCTTTTCTAAACCTTTCTCTGTAGAGTGCTACCTTGCCAGGTACAGAAGCTCACACCTGTAATCCCAGCACTTTGGGAGGCTGAGGTGGGTGGATCACCTGAGGTCAGGAGTTCAATACCAGCCTGACCAATATGGTAAAACCCTGTCTTTAAAAAAAAAAAAAAAATTTTATAAAAAATAAAAAGAAAAGTGCTACCTTATTTGAACAAAACCAGATTTTTAAATTTCTTAACTTTGTATTTAGAAATAATTATAAATTCACAAGAAATTGCAAAGGCAGTACACAGAGGTCCTTTGTACCCTTAAGCCGGTTCCCCAATGATTACATTTCACATACCTATATTATGATATGAAACCAGAAATTGACTGTACATTGTGTGGGGAAACAGGTATATTTCTGTCATTTTGTATATTTCTGTACATTTGTGTAACCACTACCAAATGAAGACCCACAGCTATTGCAGCACCACAAAGATCTCCCTTGTGCTACCCTCTGATGATGTCAGAACTACTTTCTTACCCCCAAGACCCCTAGCCTGTGACAACCATCATTTTGATCACTAAATATAAAATTTTACTTTTTTTTTTTGAGACAGAGTCTCGCTCTGTCACCAGGCGCCAGGCTGGAGTGCAGTGGCACAATCTTGGCTCACTGCAACCTCCGCCTCCTGGGGTCAAGCAATTCTCCTGCCTCAGCCTCCTGAGTAGCTGGGATTACAGGCACGTGCCACCACGCCCAGCTAATTTTTTTGTATTTTTAGTAGAGACGTGGTTTCACCATGTTGAGCAGGATGGTCTCGATCTCTTGACCTCGTGATCCACCCACCTCGGCCTCCCAAAGTGCTGGGATTACAGGCATGAGCCACCATGCCCAGTCTAGACCTAAGTTTTTATTTACCTGGGATGAATGACCAAGACTACAATTACTTGATCATATGGTTGAAAATTAGAAGTATCATATTTTGCTTGTAAGAAACTGCCAAACTATTTTCTAGAATGGCTGTACCATTTTACATTCTCACCACCAATGTATGAGAGAATGCAGTTTCTCTGCATTCTTACCCACAATTGGTACTGTCATTATTTTTTATTTTCGTTATTTTGATAAATGTATAGTAATTCCTCATGGTTTCAATTTGCATTTCTCTAATGGCTGGTGGTTATGAACACATTTTCACATGATCATTTGCAATCCATATATTCTTTGGTGGAATGCCTCGTCATGTCCCAGCTTATTCTCTAATCAGATTATTTGGTTTTTCACTATTGAGTTTTGAGGGTATGTTATGTATGATAGATACAAGTTATTTGTCAGATATGTCATTTGGAAACATTGTCTCCCTGTGTGTAGCTTGCCTTCTCAGGCCCTTATCAGGATCTTTCTCAGAGCAAAAGTTTTTAATTTTGATGAAGTACAGTCTATCCATTTTTCTCTTATGGACCTTGCTTTTAGAGACATGTCTAAGAACTACTCACCAAACCCTGTGTCCTGAAGATTTTACTCTATGCTTCTAAACTTTTTATAGTTTTATGTTTTACATTTAAAATCTTTTTCCACCTGAGACAAGGTCTCACTCTGTTACCCAGACTACACTGCAGTGGGAAGATCACACCTCACTGTAGCATCAACCTCCTGGGCTCAAGCGAGCCTCTCACCTCAGCCTCCCAAGTAGCTGGGATTACAAGTGTGTGCCTCTACACCTGGCTAATTTTTCTATTTTTAGTAGAGACAGTGTTTCACCATGTTGGCCAGGCTGGTCTCAAACTCCTGGGTTCAAGTAATCTGCCTGCCTTGGCTTCCCAAAGCACTAGGATTACAGATATGAGCCGCCACACCTGGCCCCAGCACCATTTTTTAAAAAGACTTTCTTCCATTGAAATGCTTTTAAACCTTTGTCAAAAATCAATTGTTAGTACTTGGATGGGGCGATCTTCAGGATCTATTCCATTGATATGTATCTTCTTCCCTCCATCAATAAAAAGCGTTAAATCTTTATTTTTTATGTATTTTATTATTATTTATTTTTAGAGGTGGGGTTTCACCATGTTGACCAGGCTGGTCTCAAACTCCTGAGCTCAGGCTATCCGCCTGCCTCGGCCTCCCAAAGTGCTAGCATTACAGGCATGAGCCACCACACCCGGCTCAGTTAAATCTTTATTACAAAATAATTTGCTTTTAGATATTTTTTGAAAGGGTTGGGCATAGTGGTTCACGCTTGTAATCCCAGCACTTTGGGAGGCCAAAGTGGGCGGATCGCCTGAAATCAAAGGAGTTCAAGACCAGTCTGGCCAATGTGGTAAAACCCCATTTCTACTAAAAATACAAAACTTAGCTGGGCATGATGGCGGGTGCCTGTAGTCCCAGCTACTACTCAGGAGTCTGAGGCAGGAGAATTGCTTGAACCCAGGAGGTGGAGGTCCTAGTTAGCCAAGATTGTGCCACTGCACTCCAGCCTGGGCAACAGAGCAAGACTCTGTCGAAGGAAAAAAAAAAAGATATTAAGATATTTTCTGATGCTATTTTTCTCATTGTAGAAAGATAACTGAGTCCATCCATGCTGCCATTTAAGCCACATGTACAAGAAATGTGGGTTCTTTTCTCTAAGGCAGATTTCCCTCTTGATATTCATTTTTATTGCTAGCCTTTGTCTAGCAATAAAATTCTTGTGGTCAACTGACTGTTAACTGGGAAGATGCTCTCCTTTTGAAAGAGTGTTAGAAAAATGCAATTTGGGCCAGGCACAGTGGTTTACGCCTGTAATCTCATCACTTTGGGAGGCTGAGGCAGGCGAATCGTTTGAGGTCAGAAGTTCAAGACCAGCCTGGCCAACATGGCAAAACCCTGTCTCTACTAAAATACAAAAAAGTTAGCTGGGCATGGTGGCAGGTGCTGTAATCCCAGGTACTCAGGAGGCTGAGGCAGGGGGAATTGCTTGAACTTGGGTGGTGGAGGTTGCAGTGAGCTGGGATTGAGCCACTGCATGGGCAACAGAGCAAGACTGTGTCAAAGGAAAAAAAAAAAAAAAGGAAAGGAAAGGAAGAAGGAAGGAATTTGAAGTTAACATCATATCCAAGAGGATTTACTTTGAGCAGGATTTAGGTGATTGGTGGGATAGGAAAGATCATAGGTTAGGAAGCAAAACACATCACAATAAATTTCTCTGTGATGCCTGTGCAGCTGAGAAAGTGAAACAATCAGAAATGGGCAGTTAGACTGAAACTACCTTTGCAAAAATTAAAACAGTGATCACATTTCAAATTGAGATTAAAAAAAAATTAAAACAGAAAATTATGGCACTGGGGGAGATCTGACTTAGCCAACCCTCCTCTTGCCTTTAGCTTTCAAGCTGCCAAACTACTTTTGGAAGACATTTAGTGTATAGTTTAAGTGGTAATAGACCTTCTCCAAAACCTAGCCACCTTCATAAAGCTAATGAAAGGCCACCAGGCTAGGAGTAGGAGGGAGCCTGAACTCTGCTAAGGTATAGACTGCAGCCATTCCGGAGGACACAAGATATGCAACTTCATAATTTCTCCTGCAGATAACATTGCAATTGTTGATTAGCCTTTAAAGATACATTTTCAGGTTTTGGGGGGTTTGTTTTGTTTTGTTTTGTTTTGTTTTGTTTTGTTTGAAATGGAGTTTCTCTCTTGCTGCCCAGGCTGGAGTGCAATGGTGTGATCTTTCATTGCAACCTCCACCTCCCAGGTTCAAGCAATTCTCCTGCCCTGCCCTCCTGAGTAGCTGGGACTACAGGTGTCCACCACCACACCCAGCTGATTTTTGTAATTTTAGTAGAGATGGGGTTTCTCCATGTTAGCGAGGCTGGTCTCAAACTCCTTACCTCAGGTGATCCGCCCACCTCAGCCTCCCAAAGTGCTGGGATTACAGGTGTGAGCCACCATGCCTGGCCTATTTTCAGGATTTTTGCATGTCTGACATCCAAGGTTCCACCTGAACCCACCAATGGCTCCTGTGACCCCATCCAGAAGCAACTCAACACAAGAGGACAGCTTCAACTCCCTATGATTTTATCTCTGAGCCAACCAATAAGCAGTAACACTCATTACTCACTTCCACCCCTTTCCCCAAACTACCTTTGAAAAACCCCTAATCAATGACCTTCAAGGAGACTCTGCTAACCACTGCACCCTTCATCTAAAATAATAATAATAAGGCCAGGTGCAGTGGCTCATGCCTGTAATCCCAACACTTTGGGATGCTGAGGTGGGCGGATCACCTGAGGTTGGGAGTTCGAGATCAGCCTGACCAACACGGAGAAACCCCGTCTCTACTAAAAATACAAAATTAGCTGGGCATGGTGGTGCATGCCTGTAATCCCAGCTACTCAGGAGGCTGAGGCAGGAGAATCACTTGAACTTGAGAGGCCAAGTTTGCAGTAAACTGAGATGGTGCCACTGCACTCCAGCCTGGGTGACAGAGCAAGACTCCATCTCAAAAACAACAACAACAACAAAAAGGAGCTTTCCTGGCTTTTTGAAGTTCACTCCTCAAACTATTACTATATCTCCTCCACCTTTTCTATTTTTTTTCCATTCTACATATGTTGATAGTTTGCATCCCCCACTAGGTGTCACTCCATGAGGACAGGGACATGATTTAGTTCAGGGCTACATCCTTAGCGCCTAGGACATTGCTCAACCAATATTGGATGAATGGCCATCTCTTCATCTCCCTTCTCTATCCGTGAAGACACACCCAGCTGAGATGACCAGCTATTACTATTCACATCCAGGTGGCTGATGGGCACAGGACACACCTTGAAATCACTAAATGCCACTTGAGCTGCTGGAGACACAGCATAGAATCCTCTAGGTTGGTAAACTCCCACCCAAATCTCATGTTGAATTATAATCCCCAGTACTGGAGGTGGGGCCTTGTGGGAGGTGTAATGATGGTGGCAGATCCTTCAAGGCTTGGTGCTATCTTCATGATAGTGAGTTCTCTTGAGATCTGGTAATTAAAAGTGTGTGGCACCTCCCTCCTCCCCACTCTCTCTCTTACTTGCTCCTGCTTTCAGCATTTGACATGCCTGTTCCTTCTTCGCCTTCTATCATGATTGCAAGCTTCTGAGGCCTCCCTAGAAGCCAAGCAGATGCCTGCGTCATGTTCCCTGTAAAGCCTACAGAACTGTGAGCCAATTAAACCTGATTTCTTTATAAATTACCCAGTCTCAGTATTTCTTCATAGCAATACAAGAGTGGCCTAATGCAATAGCCAAATAAGTTGATTGTGGAAAGCAAAGTTGGCATTTATTTTTTAAATATCTTTTTTTCTTTTTTTTTTCTTCAAGATGGGGTTTCATCATGATTGCCAGGCTGGTCTTGAACTCCTAACCTCAGGTGATCCACCCACCTCGGCCTCCCGAAGTGCTAGGATTACAGGCGTGAGCCACCGTGCCCAGCTGCAGAGTTGGCATTTAATATTTGTTTTCCAGATGGAAAAGGAGTGCAACTCAATGAGATTTATAGTGATGAGACCAGGTACAGTGGCTCACACCTGTAATCCTAACACCTTGGGAAACCAAGGCAGGTGGATCATGAGTTCATGCGTTCAAGATTAGCCTGGTCAATATGGCGAAACACCATCTCTACTAAAAATACAAAAATTAGCTGGGCATGGTGGCGCACACCTGTAATCTCAGCTACTTAGGAGGCTAAGGCACGAGCATCGCTTGAACTCAGGAAGTGAAGTACGGTAAGCTGAGATCTCACCATTGCACTACATCCTGGGCAACAGAGCAAGACTCTGTCTCAAAAAAAAAAAAAAGATATTGATGGACTGCATATGTACAAAAGGTGACACATGAGAAGGCCATCACTTGCACTCCAATTTGGTGAAACAGAATACAGAAAAAGTGTTGTGGTCACTAAAATAGTGCTCTCCATACACTGCCCATCTCAGAGGAGACTTGTTCAGCCATGAAAAACAGGGTAACCCAGAGGAGGAAGATGAGTTCATTAGGGAGGTACAGGAAATCACTGAGAGCAACATTTGGGGGCTGGGAAAGGTGGTTCATACCTGTGATATCAGCACTTGGGAGACAAGGCAGGAGGATCACTTGAGCCCAGTTCATGAGCAGCCTGGGCAACATGGTGAACCACTCCTCACCACAAAAATATTCAAAAAAAATTAGCCAGGCATGGTGACTCGTGTCTGTACTCGTAGCTACATAGGAGGTTCAGATGGGAGGATCACCTGAGCCTGAAGAGGTTGAGGCTGCAGTGAGCCGTGATCGCACCACCTCCCTCCAGCCTGGGCAACAGAGCAAGACCCTATCTCAAAAAAAAAAAACAAAGATAAAAAGATTTGGCACTTGTTTCCTTCTAATTCCTAGAGTTTGGGGCAGGAGGGAGAAAAGTATGGCCAAACAGGCTATCTCACTGAAGTGGAGTCCCTCAGAAGAGCCGAATGCTTTCTAGCAAATAGGACAACCTCCCAGAAAATCTCACTGTCCCAAAGCCCTCGTACTCCCATTGTCAGATACTCTGTATGTTTAGTCTTGAACTAGAGATTAGCAACATCCATTTTGTGGTTGTGGCCTTCATGAATCATGCCTCTCTATTGTGTAATGTTACGATTCCTGCCATCCAGAAGTGGAGTCTGTTTCCTCACTCCTTGAATCTGGGGTAACCTTGTGACTTGCTTTCACCCAAAGAACGCAGTAGATGTGTCATTCTAGGACTTTCAAGATCTGGCATCTTCCACTTTTGTTCTCAGGGCTCAGCCTCCAAGTAGAAAAGCTCAAGGCTACCCTGCTGGAGAAAGAGATCACTTTTTTTTTCTTTTTTCTTTTCTTTTTTTTTTTAAAGAGACGGGGGTTTCATCGTGTTGGCCAGGCTGGTCTCGAACTCCTTACCTCAGGTAACCCGCCCATCTCGGCCTCCCAAAGTGCTGGAATTACAGGCGTGAGCCACCACGCCCAGCCAGAGATCACATTTTGTTTAAGAACAAGTTGTTAGGCCGGGCATGGTGGCTCCTATCTGTAAGCTCAGCAGTTTGGAAGGCCAAGGCGGAATTCAAGACCAGCCTGGCCAACATGGTGAAACCCCATCTCTACCAAAAATGCAAAAATTAGCCAGACATGGTGGCGTGCCACTGTATTCCCAGCTACTCAGGAGGCTGAAGTGGGAGAATTGCTTGAACCCGGGAGGCAGAGGCTGCAGTGAGCCAAGACTGCATCACTGCACTCCAGTCTGGGCGATAGAGTGAGACCCCTTCTCAAAAATAAAAACAATTATTAGTTAAATACTTACCAATCTTGAAAGGGAATGAAGTATTTCACTCTCTTTCCTAGCCTTTACATTTTAAAACATGCAAATATCACTGTGTAAAAAATGGGAATGGGCCAGGCACGGTGTGTCACGCCTGTAATTCCAGCACTTTGGAAGGCCAAGGCAGGAGGAACACTTGAGGTCAGGAGTTCAAGACCAGCCTGTGCAACATAGTGAGACCCTGTCTCTAGCTCTAAAAAAAAAAAAAAAAAAAAAAAAGAAATGATTTATTTTAAAAATATATTTCAAACATGGTCCAAAAATGAAGTAGAAAGGAGAAGAGGCAGAAGGAATGCAGATGGAGGCTGCAAGGGAAAAAGAAGGCAACACCTTGCAATCCACCCCCCCAGTGAGACTAGGGCACTGGCTTGACTGGTCTGTGTTGAGCAGGGAGTTCCACATGTACCTGCCTTCTCCCCTGCACAAGAAGCCCTGATTCTACAGTCTAACTAACCACGGCCCCTCAGGGCTTAAGATAAAGCCTGACCTTTAAGGTAATGATGGTACTGGGGTGGGCCAGCTGTACCATCTGCCAGGACTCCAGGATCAGCCCCACTGCTCACCAGCTTATTTCATGCCCGTATTCCTGAGTGAGCAAGCTCTCCAGGCATAGCTCTGACTCTCCTCATTACCATTTCTTCCCCAATCCTCTTGAGGGGAGGCCCAGTGGAGCCCTACCCAAATTGAGAGGATACTAATGTGTAGTTCCTAGGAGTTATCACCTGCTTTCAGTCCATCTTAGTCAGATCACCCCATCATCTGCACACATTGTAATCACCTGACTACAGGGTTCTTCCTGCCTGCTGCTCAGACAAAATTAATTCAGTGAGACTGGGGCATTGTAGTAGAGAAACAGTTTGACTCAAGGCCAGCCCACACAGGGAAACTGGAGCTCTCACTCAAATCAGTCTCCCTAAAGGCTCAGAAACCCGGGGAATTGTATGGACAATTTGGTGAGTAGGGTAACTGTGGAATGGGTGCTACCAATTGGTTGGGGATGAAATTATAGGAGTGTGGGGCCAAGCATGGTAGCTCACCCCTGTAATCCTAGTACTTTGGGAGGCCAAGGCGGGCAGATTGTCTGAGCTTAGGAGTTTGAGACCAGCCTGGGCAACGTAGTAAAACCCCATCTCTACTAAAAATACAAAATATTAGCTGGGTATGGCAGCATGCATCTGTAGTCCCAACTACTCGGGAGGCTGAAGTAGGAGAATGGCTTGAACCAGGGAGGTGGAGGTTGCAGTGAGCCGAGATCGTGCCATTGTACTCCAGCCTGGGCAACAGAGTGAGACTCTGTCTCCCAAAAAAGAAATTACAGGAGTGTGGAAATGGTCCTTGTGCACCAAGTCCGCCTCCAGGTGGGGGCCACAGAATCAACTGAGTCATGGGTCACAAGTCCAGGCCTACCTGGGTCTATCTGAAAAATATTCTCAAAAAATAGTTTCTACAATACTGATGTTATCTGTAGGATCAACTGGGAAGGTCACAAATCTTGTGAGCTCTGGCCACATGACTCCTGAGCAGTAAGGGATTAAAGAAACTACACCTGTCTTATGACCTCTCATTCATGATATAAAGGCAGTTTCAGGAAAGGGGTTAGTTTTAGCAACAGACAATTATTCTTGTTTTGTTGTTGTTGTTGTTGAAGATGGGGTTTCACCATGTTGGTCAGGCTGGTCTTGAACTCCCGACCTCAGGTGATCCACCCACCTTGGCCTCCAAAGTGCTTGGATTACAGGCATAAGCCACCGCGCCCAGCCAATTATTCTTGTTTTAAAGTAAAACTCCCAAAGTTAACTTGGCCAAGGACATGACCAAGGACAACTTGGAGGTCAGAAGCAAGATAGTTTCAACTATGTAAAACTTCTCTTTCTGTCATAATTTTGCAAGGGCAGTTTTAATATGTACGGCAGTCAAACCCAGAGGTCATTGGTCACAGGAAGTAGTGCCATCACATGGTATATTTTCAGATGGCAACTGGACATACAATTCCCAACTGTCGTCCCCCTCAAAAAAAACCTTCAAATTTGGAATGGGAAGATTGATTTCCAAGTCTTAATTTTAAGTACTTCTATATCCTAAGATTCTTTGTTTAGTAAGGCATTCAATTCACAACAATTTCCTACCGTTGTTGCAATATGGGTTCAGCAATCAGGCATCCTCTCATTTCTAGGCTGATATCAATTACATTTTTGCAGAACCTTGAACTATCATTTAGATCTACCTTATGTGACAGATTGCTTCAGGAGGTAATGGGGAGACTTGGAGATGGAAAACTGGGCATAAAATAACTGCCCTGGCCGGGCGCGGTGGCTCACCCCTATAATCCCAGCACCTTGGGAGGCCGAGGGGGGTGGATCACAAGTTCAAGAGATCGAGACCATCCTGGTCAACATGGTGAAACCCCCTCTCTACTAAAAATACAAAAATATTAGCTGGGCATGGTGGCGCGCGCCTGTAGTCCCAGCTACTCGGGAAGCTGAGGCAGGAGAATTGCTTGAACCCTGGAGGCGGAGGTTGCAGTGAGCCGAGATCATGCCATTGCACTCCAGCCTGGGTAACAAGAGCGAAACTCCGTCTCAAAAAAAAAAAAAAAAACTGCCCTGTATCTCAACAGTACGTAAAAGATTTATAGTGGCAAGCCAGGCATGATAGCTCACTCCTGTAATCCCAGCACTTTGGAATGCCAAGGCAGGTGAATCATCTGAGGTTAGGAGCTCAAGACGAGCTTGAACCATGTTGAAACCCTGTCTCTACAAAAAGTACAAAAAAACTCCAGACACGGTGGCTCACTCCTGTAATCCCAACACTTTGGGTGGCCGAGGCGGGTAGATCACAAGGTCAATAAATCGAGACTATCCTGGTCAACATGGTGAAACACCATCTCTACTAAAAATACAAAAAATTAGCTGGGCATGGTGGTGCGTGCCTGTAATCCCAGCTACTCAGGAGGTTGAGGCAGGAGAATTGCCTGAACCCAGGAGGCGGAGGTTGCAGTGAGCCGAGATCGTGCCATTGCACTCCAGCCTGGGTAACAAGAGCGAAACTCCGTCTCAAAAAAAAAAAAAGTACAAAAAAAATAGCCAGGCATAGTGGCATAATCCCAGCTACTCAGGAGGCTGAGGCAGGAGAATCGTTTAGAACCTGGGATGTGGAGATTGCAGTGAGCTGAGATTGCACCACTGCACTCCAGCCTAAGTGACAGAGCAAGATTCCATCTTAAAAAAAAGACTTATAGTAGCAAAGGAATTAATATTAATTAGGTCTTATTAAATCTAGTTGTTAGGCACGTGAATATCTATTATATTCATCTTTCCATTTCTCTGTCCATTATTGTATAATTTATACACACACACAAACCCAGAGTGAAGGGTGATCCTCTCAGCCCTGCCAACCCACCAGCTTACCCTCTGACCTGGCAGTTACGAAACTAGTGGAGCAGAGTACGGGCAGAAGCAGCCTGCAAGGAGGAGTGATACGTGCACTTAGCAAGGGCTGACATGGACAAAGGAAGCCAAGTGGGTCAGCCGGTGGCAGAGAGAGATGGAACAGTTCCCATTTCCTCCCTGCGTCTGCCTTATTCTCCACAGGTTAAGTGATCGTTTTTTTATGGGCATCTCCATATTGCTGCCTATGATGGCCATCCTTCAAGATGACCTCCAAAGATGTTTGCCTCCTGGTATTCACACCCTTGTGTGATCCCCTGCCACAGTGGGCACAGATGAGCTGGAAAACTGATAGGATATCATGGATATTACATAATCAATTTTTTGAGGTTGAGACATGAAAAGCAGTGCTGCTCCATCTTGCGCTCTCTTGCACCATCCGCTCTGGGGTATGCTCATTGCACCAACTGCCATGTTGGTGTTGAGACTCACACAGTCCCACGTAGAAGCCCATGTGAACCAGAGATGAGGCTTCTGACACCAACTTTATGGCCAAGTGAGTGAGCCATGTTGGGACTGGATTCTCGCCTTCAGATGACTGCAGTTCCTGCCCGTATCTTAACTGCAACTGTTACCAAAACACCAGAGGTTTGGTCTAGGTCCTGCTGCTTGCTGCGTAGAAAGCCAATCACTGAGACAACAAATATTGCCAGGGAAAAAGGCTTTTTGTTTGGGAATGTCAGCCAGAGAGATGGAAGAAAAACCTTTTATCTGTCTCTCCTGACTGAAATTGGAGGTTTATATGTGTGGGAAGGAATAAGTGAGAGGTCATGAAGGAATCATGATGGATGAGGGGTCTTGATTGCATTATCTAGATGCTGTGACTTGATAAGTTCCAGTCCCTTGTCTGAGGATTGGTTTCCTGAGGAAGGAACCCAGGTAAGACAAATCTAAGTATCAAGTTTTAAGACCAGCGAGGGTCAATTTTTGTATTTATTTATTTTTAATGGTAAACATTAGTTCTATGGGGCAATTGAGCCAGTTTCACAACCTCATGAGAGACCCCCAAGGCAAACTACTCAGTTTTAGCCATTCGTAAATGGCCAACTTATAGAAACTATGTGAGATCATGTTTCTTCTTGTTTAATGTCATTATGTTTCAGCAAAATTTGTTAACACAACCCAAGGCCACAAAGCAGTGTGGCCCTGTGCTAGTGCACACAGTGTGGCCTGGACACACAGGTCAGGCAGAACTGAAGTCAGGTGGCTATCGGGGAGGTCACAAATTTTGTGACCACTGGCCACATGATTCCTGAGCAGTAAGAGATTATAGAAACTATGCCTGGCCTGGTGTGGTGGCTCACACTTGTAATCCCAGCACCCTGGGAGGCAAAGCTGGTGGATTGCTTGAGCTCAGCAGTTTGAGATCAGCCTTGGCAAACATGGGGAAACCCTGTCTCTAGAAAAATTTAAATAAATTATCTGGGTGTGGTGGTGTGTGTCTTTAGTTTCAGCTACTTAGGAGACTGAGGTGGGAGGATGGTTTGAGCCCAGGAGGCAGAGGTTGCAGTGAGCCAAGATCATGCCATGACTCCACCCTGGGTGACAGAGCCAGACCTTCTTGTTTTTTTTTTGTTTTTGTTCTTTGTTTTTTTTTGTTTTTGTTTTTGTTTTT